TTTGGAGTTAGGTTTTTCTATAGTTTATAATGCGACACACCACATAACTTTAGAAATTTATGCTGAATTTGTACTGAATGTTTGCATATTCAATCTTTTCCATTTCATGTTTGGTGCTGTAAAAGTAGAAAATAATTTACAAAATGAACCAAAATAGTTTACCAGTACTATAAAAGTCTGATGCCATTAAACTTCAACATTTAACAGAAGGGATTGATATACTACTCAATATACCTTTGCAGCTGAGACATAGTTTCTTATATCACTGCTGGAATCAATTGGCTTAGTAGAATCTTGTTGGTTAACAGACCAATTAAGGGACTGCATTGTTCTACAGTATTTGGTGTTTATTCATTCAATATAGTTTCCTTCTTTCTAAGGTTGATCAAGTTTACCACCTTGAGGAAAGCAGTAAATCTGAGGGAAAATCACAGCTTGGATTTCTTCCTTTGGAGAATCATAATGCTGGTAAAACATCTGAACATCGTTAACAGAGAATTCATGCATTGGTACCAATCATTATTACATGCTTGTAAGTGAAATGAAAGGCTGAATTTTTTGAACCTCATGCAGATTGTGGGCATGGACCAGGAGAGAATGTAGAAAGTGATGATATGTCCATTGAGAATTTTCCTGGCCTCAACGATATGAATTTTGAGTCAGATTTCTTCAGTATTAGGACAATTCCTCTTCACTTTGAGGTAGAAAAGAGGCGTTCCTTGCAAATTTTGGTACATGTTTACTACTTGCTAGTTGCTACTTATCAGTCAGTAGTCCTATGAAATCCTTCAACTGATTCTTTTTCTATGCCTCCTCAGGATGATAGCCTTCATACGGTAATGCAAAATTGTCCATCTCCAACAGCACATGAAGAGATAGCTTTTGATAGTTCTTCTATCTCTCAAGCTTCAGTTATTTGCCCTTCAATGTCAAGCGCTAAATCAGTAAAGGTAATAAAAAGTTCTTGCTTGTATTATACAATGTTTTGCACTATATCCTATGCAACATCACCTCAAATATCGCAGGCTCGTCGGAGGCTTTCTGAAATTTTTCAGACTTTAGGCCTTCCAGCAACTACAGACTGCAATATTGAAGAGAAGTTTCTGCGATTTGAGGTTTAACTGTCCTCTCTGTTCATATTCTGTTCTCATGACTTGTCTCATTAATGTGAAGTTAATTTCATTTTACATTCCATTCCGGTCTTCATTCTTTGAATTCATTTGATTTATCTTCGTATTTTACAGGTTAGCCAGCACACAGGCCGAATTCATTTGTACATATGTGTTCCAGGGCATGATTCAAGACCCAGACCACTTTTTGAAAACTTCCTGCCAGAAGAAGTAGAGTCACCTTTATGTTCTGATAATACCATGAAAACAAGTAATCGTCTCTTGAAGAGGGATCCTGCATTTTGCAATACGTTCAAAGCGTTCGTGAAGGAATGGTTGGCGCTTAGACCAATTGAGCAGAAGAGACTACTGGGAAAGCCCTTACAGCTTCCCTTGAGCCTTGAGTTGTGCTACCTGAAAGATACCAACAACCACAGCACAAAAGTACGTTCCTCTTGATTTTGAGTGATCAATTTGAATATTGGTTTAATTCCAAATATTGCAGAAAATATGCAAAAGCAACGCTTCCATGATATTAAGCATATCTATGTTCTATCTATATCATTCTTTATGCAAGTTTTTCTTATGTTCTAGAAATTGCTCAAGTTCTATCAGGATTTACTCTAATAGAGGATATTGCAATGTTTGACTTTTACTCTAATGGAGGATATTACTCTAATGGAGGATTCAATTGGTGATTTGGCATATACAAAAAAAAAGCAAAATAAAACTGCAGCTTTTAAGCTGCTAGGCCCACCACAGTGCCACACTACCCTAGGCATCTCATTGTAGCTAAGGGTTTGCTTGTGAGCTGCTATCATATCATCCCGATGTATTAATTTTTCATTTGAAATACAGTTTAAAGGATCTGATTTTGTACCAAACTAAGAACATGAAATGAAAAAAAATATGTCTTGGCATTCCTTGGTTTAATCATGTTTATTTTTTGTCAATTGTGCTCTACTTCATAGGGGTTGCTTAAAGGAGGAAGTAAGAGGCGTGTAACACCATGGTGTGATATTAGTAATCCTTTGCCAGAAAATGCTGAATGGAGAAAGGTGGTTTTGCATAATGGTACAAGTAGAGAGAGAGAGTACACTCAAGGCTGGACTGTTCACGATGAACCTCTCTGCAAATTATGTCAAGGACCTTGCAAGTAATATGTCTCATTTGTGCACTTTATTTCCAGTAGCCATCTGTGTTTTTTTTTTGAAAAAAAATAACAATGTTGTTATTTGTGATCAGTGGAAGGCTTGCAAAGTCACCTGAATATTTTGAAGACCTGTTCTGTGGTCTGCCTTGCTTCGAGGTGTTCAGATCGAGAACTAGTGGCAGGTTTGCACGGCAGGTGAGATTTTTCTTTAATCTTCTGCAATTAGCATTCATAAACAAAGTGTTAAGTTGCATTATTTATGAATAAAGCTGGTATGCCAGCTATATGTGAAAATATGGAAGTTATATGTACTAAAGCAATGCTTGCCTGATGAATAGGCACTATTTGAAATTGAACATGGTATATGCTCCAAGTGTAAACTTGACTGTCACGAGCTTGTCAAGAATATCAGACCATTATGCAAGAAAAAGAGAGAAGAATACATTAGGAATGTTGCTCCAAATATTGCAAGTAGATTGAAATTGTAAGTGCCATACTTTGATATTATGCTTTTCAATGTTTTGTGCTTATGTTAACTTCTCTTTGCCTATTTAGGCAACTTACAGGCTATTGGGGACACTATTGTGGTCTGAACTCACAAAATATTAATGAATATGAGTAGTTCTCCTAATTTGTAGATTGATGGTGACACTGTTTTTTTCACTATATTTTACCACAGGCTAGATAAGCTTGTACATGAGCCAAATGAGGGTAATGCTTGGCACGCAGATCATATAGTGCCTGTATATAAAGGAGGAGGTAAAGTGTGTGCATAATTTTTGCGTGCTTTTGGCTCTTAACATTATGGTCTAATTTATCTGATCTCACGCAGGGGAATGCACACTTGAGAATTTGAGAACTCTTTGTGTGGCTTGTCATTCTGAGGTCACCTGTGCACAGCAAAAGGAGCGAAAAGATTTAACAAAGAAAGCTAAAGAGCTTCTGAAAAACACCGTCAATAATCAGCAGAAGGATGAAGTTAGTAGTCCTGCCCTATTTCAAACTTTTTTTGAAAACATTTTTCCTCTGAAGTGATGCCATCTCTGAAATTATTAAGATTACAGTAACACAGTGACTCTCCTGTGCTTACTGTTGATACTTTCTCATATATTAGCTTCTGTTACTATTGCCAGTTGGCTGTCATGCCATTTCTTAAGCATGGTGAAGAATGATAATTTTGCGATCATTCTACAAGGCAAATCATCTACTGTCTCCGTTCAGAAATATAAGGCATATTTTGACTGTCCAATTTTGAGCTTTGACCAACTATTAATCTAATAATATTTACATTTTGCCATGAAAAGTGATATTATAGGATTTTGAGTATGCTTTTGTATCCGTAAGTGAAATAATGTAAGGAAACTTTACAGTCAAAGCTTGTCTTTTGGATCGTCAAAATACACCCTTTGTTTTTGAAAAAAAAAGGGTAGTAAATAGCTTGATCTGGATAATGTCTATCCCTTTATGCTATGTAAGATTGCACTCACTGACTTATTTCCTGGACTATGGTTCCAATTGTTTTTTTTTTCTTTTTCCCATTGTAGGCAAGTGAAGCAGCAGAAGAAGATGATAAGTCGTTGCTTGTCGTTGTCCCTGGTAGTGCCTACTCCTGAGTTGGGTAGCGTGGTTCTGGCTAGAGCATATGTATGTAGATTACAGTTGGACATTCTTCCAAAGGGCACCAATATTTTGTGCATATATTTGTTGCGTGTGGCCAAGATTGCAATTGCACTCATGCATTATGATTGCGATCTGCAACCGTCTTCTGTTTAGTCGGGGCGGCATTTTGGGCTGTGTAAGGAATGGTTGTGAAAGAAGAAAGGAAATGTCAATTTTGTTTTCAGTTTTTACCCACACGAAACATTGGAGAACTGCCACATGTTTGTTTGGGAACTTTTTTATTTTTAATTTTATTAATAGACTTTTACAAAAAAAACATTTCCAAGGTTCAGATTTGGAAATGCTTGTTGGGATGATCTATTAATAAAAAAAAATAAAAAAGTCTAAAAAATAAAAAAAAAACTTTGTTTGGAGGCAAACTTGTTTGTACATTATGGGTGCGTTCGTTCTGGGGGATTGGGTGAGAAAGGGACATCGTATTCCGTGCGCACGCTTCCTAAACTACTAAACAGTGCATTTTTTGTAAAAATTTTCTATAGGAAATTTGCTTTAAAAAATCATATTAATCCATTTTTGAAATTTAAAATAGTTAATAATCAATTAATCATGCGCTAATGGCTCACCTCGTTATCTTCTCAATCTTCTCTATCCTCCTCTCCTCAAACTCACCCTATATATAGGCTGTGATGTACTCTCGCTGTCCCAAATTATAAAGTCTATATTTTTTTACACGGTTTTTAATGACATACTTTAACCATTAATTTATCTCATATTATGTTTCCAACAAAAATGAAATTAGCATCACATGAAAATACTTTAAAATATAAATATAAATCTAGTGATATTGGTTAAGTGTAAAGTTATCGAGTCTGATTTTCCTTTAAAGGATGTCCTATAATTTGCGACAAATGGAGTAATATGAAAACACAGGTTACAATCGTAACTGAAAATTATTGATCAACTGGCACAACTACCTCCCCGATTTGCGTGCAACTATAAACTACATGGACGATTTGTACGTACTCAAGTAAAAAAAATCTCTATTAGAAATGATCAAATCTCACTGACTTGCCTTCACTGATCGGTGCAGAATGTGCTTTAATAATTTTACAGTGATCAAACCAGAAGCAAAGCTGATAACCACGTCTCCATTTCTCAGAGTTATCAAAAACGATTAAACTCATGATACAATGCAAATGTTGTTCATGTCTGCATAATCTACGAACTCGCGATTACTAGCACGTGCTAATTAAGCCTAGGCGGCTAGGCCGCGCATGCGGGAGCCTTGAATTCCGTGAACCTAACGAACGCGATGCCGCGCGCCGCCACGCGCAGCGGCGCCGCGCACCCGTCGCCGACGACGGCCGGCCGGAGCTCGGGGATCTCGCCGCCCGGGCCGAGCGCCAGCGCCTCGCCGTTGAGCAGCACCACCTGGCTCCGGATGTCGCCGCCGAGCGGGCTCAGGTGGTACTCCTCCCTCCGCCCGCCGCACGGCGCCGCGCCGAGCGCGCCGCCGGCCACCGACACGTCGAACGCCGTCGCGTTCGACAGGTTGATCAGGAGCACCGTCACCCCCGGCTTCTCCCTCGAGCAGTGCGCGTACGACCGGAGGTACGGCGAACCTCCGCCGCCGGCGGTGGTCGCCGCCTTGAGGACCACCGGGCCCATGAGGCGGTGCCAGAGCAGCGCGCCGTAGTAGTCGGGGTTGGGGACGAAGGTGGTGGTGTTGAGGAGGCAGTAGTTGCCGCCGACGAGCGCCTGGCGGCAGTACACCCTGGTGCCGTGCGCCGCCGACATGCCGAGCTGGTCGAGGTACCAGAAGCCGTTCACGTACCTGTCCGACACGCCCTTCCCGCCGCTGTTGTACGCGCCGCCGGACTCGCCCACCCACGGCGAGCTCCACGGCCCGGAGCCCCGCACCGTGGCCGCCATGTCGCGGAACGTCTTCTCCACCTGGTCGAGGTACCCCGGGTCCTGCATCTTCCTCGCCAGGTCCCTGTCCTTGCCGGAGCCGAGGTTGTAGATGTGGTGCGTCACGCCGTCGACGGCGCCGCGCCCCGACACCCGCAGCATCTCCGAGAACCACGCGCCGTCGTAGAACCCGCCCGGCGCGAGCACCTTCGGCACCTCGCCGCCGCCGCCGTACACACGCTCCACCGCCTTCCTCAGCACCGCCACGTCGCGGCCGTACTGCGCCGCCGCCACCCTCGCCGCGACGCCGCTGCCGGACAGCTCGTTGCCGAGCTCCCACGACTCGACGCGGTAGCCCTTGCCGGCGGTGTACCGCATCAGGTCGAGCGCGTTCCGGGCGTCCCAGTCGCCGGAGTACAGCGTGTCCTTGCCGCCGGCGGCCTTCCTCCGGCCCTTGAGCGCGTTCAGCCCGAACGTCACCGTCGTGCTGCACGTCAATCAAATCAAATCAAAGATAATTAGTCATTTAATCCTCCTCGAAATGGCGATTAATTAGCCGATAATTGCAGTTTAATTACTTGGTTCTTTTGAAGAAGACGTTGAGCTCGTCCCATCGGTTCATTTCAAGGCAGCCGTCGGTGAAGCCGAAGAGGCCGCCGTCGTCTCGCTGGAAGCTCCGGCAATCGCCGTAGTTGCTGCCGACTTTGTACGTCACCTGGTCCTGAAGAGACCCTCCGAGCCTAATCCTAAGCGAGTTGAACGCTGCAACATCACATAAAACTCTGGTTAATTTCAGTACAATTTTTTTTGATAGATCAGTGATCTGCAAATTATTTACCTTTGACAGCATTGTTCAGAATAGTGTTGTTCAGATCCTGTGAGGGAAGAAGAGTGACGTGCTCAGTGTCAGTTAGAAGTAGATTGATCCATATATGAAATGAAGGTGATTAAGTTTGGCTAATCAAGTTTCAGGGGTGGTAATTACCAGGTTAATGATGGAGGCGTTGTACCAGGGGCACATGCCGTAGTTGCACTTGTCCCTGGGCCACCAGTCGAGCGTCGCGCAGACGAAGTTGTCGTCGGTGCGGGAGACGGCCGCCGCCGCCTTGACAACCACGGTGGCCGCCTCGCCGCCGGCGGCGGCGGTGGAGGCGGCGGGATGCAGGCCGGAGAAGAGGACGAGGAGGGCGGCGGCGAGCAAGGGAAGGACGGCGGCCATTGTTCCACAGAGTGTTTACTTACTGCTCGTCCAGTGATGGTGTGAAATGAGATGGAGAGCTACATGTATATAAAAGAGAGATTTTGAAAAGGGATAAGATTTTGGCGAGATTTGGATTTGTTATTAGGTGCAGAGTTAATAGGGATGAGCTGTTTCTCATGCATCCATGCAAACGGTTTTTGGATTTGGATGCAAATCCATCGGAGCTTAGCTTACGCAACAACACACCTATGAGTTAGGGAGAAGTGGTTGGATCTTGAATGGATGGATAGATGGATGAATCGATACATGGATATGCTGTTCAGTGGAAACGCAAAGAGAGGCCGAAGAAGGTTGGCGAAATATCATGTGAAAACATGGGTTTAGTGGAAGTTTTTGCTTCACTTCAACTCTCAAACGATTGTGAGATGAGCGTTTGTTATGCATACGTGCAAAATCAAGATCAAAATCATCTACATTTTGAGTGATTTTGGCTCTACGATCGTTATAACTCAAGCAATATAACTATTGCTGAGAATCCCAGCAACATACTTAAAGTGACCAATCGAGTGATAACAAGTTCACTCAGGTACTCAGGTACAGACAATGTTACCAGAACTACTGTATGTCAGATAATATCTCATTTTGGTTACCATCCCCCACCCACATTCTCCTAAAAAAGAAAAAAAAACGAGAAGAAGAAATGCAGCAAGAACAAAGTGTCAGTGCAGACCAAAGAGCAGCCTTGAGAGCTCGTGAAACATTATCTTCTTCATCATAGTGCTTACACTGCATCTTTAACCTTCTTTTCTTCTCTCATTCGAGCCCTTGACAAAGCGTCAGTCATATCTGAGTTCAGTGGCACAGCAACTTTCAGCAGATCAACGAAAATTTCAACCTCCTCGACATCACCTTCATCTCCAAGATACTTAAGTATCATCTCAATCATCCCAGGCCTAGGGATCCAACCAGTATTTGGAGCATATACACATAGGGCATTCTTTGTCAGCTCATATGCTTTCGCAGCATCACCTTTCTCCGCATAGCCAGCTGCCACAATTGCCCAGCTGGTTGAAGGAGGCATCTTTCCCTTCTTCAAGAAATCATCCAGAAGTGCCTCAGCCTTGTCCAGCAAGTCCTTCTGGCGGTATCCAGTGAGCAGGACATTTGGAACTTGGAAGTCAAATGCATTTCCGCTCGACTCCCACTCTTTCAGCAACACTTCAGCTTCTTCAATCTCATTAAGTTTCACGAGCACTGCAAGCATTGTAGTGTAATCCTTATTAATATGCCTATTGCAGTTCGACATTTGGAGCGCCCACAGCCTATTGACCTCTGATTTGTCCCCCAGATGTCCATACAAGGAAATCAGGTGGTTATAGGAATCTGAATCTTTTATATTTATTTTTGCTTCTGCTTTCTTTAAGGCAGAGAATGCTTTCTCCCTTATGTTGCCCTTAATGTAGTTGCTTGCCACGACAGCATACGTGTTCCAATCAACAACGATTTTAGGTTCACACTCCATCTCTTCAAGGGTGTTTTCCATCCCGAAAAAATCAGCCCTTGTGCCATAAGAGTTAATGCATATTCTGTAGCTGAAATTGTCAGGAACGATACCATTGCTTTTCATCTCTGCAATTACTGAAGGAACCTTTTCATGCTGCCCTAGGTTCGTATACAGACCCATGATGTTGTTGTAGGGGAGTGTGGAAAACACAAAACCCAACTCTTTCATCTTCTGAAAATGAGCCAACGATTTTTCAACCAGGAGTTCCCGTGTGTAGCAGTTAAGAAGTGCACCATAGGGTTTTTCTGTCTTATCTTTATCTGGCAGGTTGTTGAAGTAAGTCTCGGCTGCACTGCTTCCATGAATTTCACCAATCAAATCCAGGTGAACAGCGTGATCCTTTGGCAGAAATTTTACATGTCCCTTGGCATTCATCCATTCAGAGACCTGCGCAAAGTAAAAGGTTACAGAGAAATCAAATTAAACATGCCAACTAGGAAGTGCACTTGATTATTAAAATAAGAAGCCCCAATGGTGATAAGCTCTTGAGGTCTGGAGTGTAAATTATAGATATGAATCAGTGTTGCAACCATAATTGATAAGCACATTATATTAGTGCTTTTAACTATTGATCAGGTTTCATTTCTTGGGGAAAAAAACATACAATCCCATCACAGAAACTAAACCAAATACATTAACCGATGGAACACTTAGCAATCAGTCAAATCCTCTAATTGGATGAACACTCCCAACTCCCAATTGACAACAAACTGTCATGCAAGCCTCCTCATGATGTTCAGTTGTACACAGCCAATCGCCAGTTCTTCATAACGCCCAAACTATATTAACACGACGCTACTACATCTCTCTTCTTGTTCATGGTGCAGCATTACATCATACACCTCACATGCATGAAGAGGGCCAACAATTTGGCGAGTGCAACTCAAGAAACCAAACAGCGGTTGAGGCCGCAACGGCATCGAACGCCCCATAATAGTCTACTGATGATGAGCTGAGCTGAGGTACGGGCCACGGGGGGGGGGGGGGGGGGGGGGGAGAGGTGGAGTTACCTCGAGGGCCTGGCGGTGGCGGCGTCGCTTGCGGAGCTCCTTGACGATGCGCTCGAGCTCGACGTGGCGGAGGCGGTTGCCTGGCTTGGCCGCCCACCGCTCGATCTCCGGCACCAGGAGCGTGCCCGGGTGGCCCAGCGGCCACAGCGTGGACTGCAGGCTCGGGGGCCGCGCCGGCTTCCTCCCCCCGCTGTGGCCGCGAGGAGAGGCGGGGGAGGAGGCGGCGGCGGCGGCTCGAATGAGGGCAGGGGTGGAGCCATGGGATCGCGCGTGGCCGGCGGGGAGGAGCCTGCCGCAGCCGAGGCGGATCAGGCGGCGGCCGGCGGCGAGGAAGGAAGAGGAGGCGGCCATGGGGGTTAACTGGGGTTTTCCTCCCTTTTGGGCCTCTTGGGTTGAAGGAGGTGATATGAACTTGTGAAGGTTGCTCAATTTGCGGAAAAAGTACACCGAAAGGTCCCTCAACTTGTCATCGAATTACAAAATCGTCCTTGAACCGTAAAACCGGATATAAAGCATCCCATCTTATAAAACCAGTACAAACTAGGTCTCTTGGTCTCTTGATGGTTTTAACTCCGGTTTTGTCTGATGTGGCAGCTGACTCAGCGTGGGACCCACGCGTCAGCCTCTTCTTCCCCCTCCCCTCTCCACCTCTCTTCCTCTCTCCTCTCTTCTTCACGGGCACCGGCGGGGGAGCAGCTGCACGGTCGGCAGGCGGCGGGGCAAGGAGCCGCGCGCGTCCTTCTCCGGCGCGGTGTTCAACCTGTCCACCACCATCATCGGCGCGGGCATCATGGCGCTCCCGGCCACCATGAAGGTGCTCAGTCTCGTGCTGGGCCTCATCCTGGTGATGCTCGCCGCGGTGCTCACGGACGCCTCCATCGAGCTCCTCGTCCAGTTCAGCCGCGCTGTGGGCGCCACCTCGTACGGCGAGGCCATGGGCGACGCCTTCGGTGCTTTCGGCAGGGGGATCCTCTAGCTCTGCGTCGTCGTCAACAACTGAACAACGTCGGCGTGATGGTCAGATTCACTGAACATTTCATTGTGACTCTAATGGCTTGTGTTCTTTTTCCCTGGGATGAGTTCAGATCCACTGAAATACACGCCGGCCGTGTCGGTTGCTCTGGCCATCGTGTTCGTGGTGATCAATGTCGGAATCGCCACCATCAAGCTGATGAGAGGGCAGATTCCGATGCCTAAGCTGTTCCCTGATGTTCATGACTGGAGCTCCACCTGGAGACTTCACACTGCAGCTCCAGTTCTTGTGAGTTGTGACCGCCTACATTTGCCATTACAACGGTACATTTTAATTACCAGCTAAGTTTGCATTTTTCTGTGGGAATGTGATTAACTTGCCACTGCATTCAGTGCACACAATTCACAACGAGCTCAAGGACCACTCCCAGATCAGGCCAATAGTGCGGGCGTCACTGCTGCTCTGCTTGGTCGTGTACACCACCACCAGCTTCTTCGACTTCCTCCTCTTCGGCGAGGCGACGCTGGACGACATGCTCGTCTTCCCCATCGTGTTCCACGCGCTGCGATTCAACATGGACGGCCTCCTCTTCCCCTCAGCGAGGCCCCTCTCCTGCGAGGCTGCGACAACCGGAGGTTCGGCGCGATCACGGCGGCGCTCCTCACGGTCATCTTCCTCGCCGCCAACTTCGACCCCAACATCTGGGACGCGTTCCAGTTCACTGGGAGTAGCTGCATGGGCGACGACGTCGACTGCGGAGGCGGCGGCGACAGCTGCCTCGCGGCCGTAATCCTTGTGGCAGCAGCCGTGTCTCCGATGAGGCCGCGCTCGACGCCGTAATCCTTGTGGCGGCAGCTCGACGCCGGTGGCGGGGAAGAAGGAGAAGACGGCGACGAGGTGGTGCTCGCCATCCGCTGCGCCCCGATGCGACAAGGCTGCGGCGGGTCACGGAATGCCGCCGCCAGCGCCGCCACCACCAACGCCCAACTCTGTCTGGGCCATCGCTGGCGACACGACCCCCCTAGCCCCTCCACCAGTGGCTCTTGCCCCTGCTTCGGCCGGCCGGCATGACCGGCGAATTAGAAGAGAAGAGAAGAGAAGAGAGAGAGAGAGAGGAGGGGAGAGAGATGACGTGTCATCCTGTCATGTGGGGCCCACGTGGGTCCTACGCTGACTCAGGCGCCACGTAGGATAAAACCGGTGTCAAAACCACCGAAGGACATATTGTAACCGGTTTTGATTAGTTAAGCGACGTCGGATATCTGGTTTTGCAGTTGAGGGATGATTTTGTAGCTCGATGACAAGTCGAGGGACCTTCGGTGTACTTTTTCCTCAATTTGCGGTTGTGCAAATTTTCTTAAATTTGGGAAATGGTTTACGCGGTGACAAAATAATTTCTCCGCTGTTTGTTTGTTACTCCAGCTTATCTCCGCTGCATCCGAACTTTAAATTTCGAAAAATTTTAGAGTTTATTTTTTTCACATTAGCAATTAAGTTGCTAAGAACATCACCAAGTTTTTTTTTAACGACTTGCACAAGACGGTGCAAAATTTTATTGATAGAACAGGAAAAAATTACAAAGATTACAACCATGTAAGGTCGTAACTAGGAAAAACGAAAAAATATACCACCACCCACACACCGGTAGCGCCAAACTACAAGTCTTGGAGAAGACTAGCATCGGACCGACCGCCGCTAAGCTAACAACGGAAACAACCAAGATCGCCCAAAACCCTATCCTTACAAACAACATAAAGCCCAATTCATCCACGTCTTCAGGATCTAGGGAGAAAGGGTGGGAGAGAAGATGGAACACCTCTCCCCCTAGGCCCTCCGCCGTGGCCAACTTGTTGAAACTAGGACAAGTTTTTTTTTTTTGGTTGCTACATTGATTTCTCCACTTATTTATCAGCCATAGAGCAAACGATGAGAGGCTATTAAATGCTAATTTGTTTTATTTTTGTAGGTCATGGTTAATTTGAGTTTATAATCCAAAGGAGATAATTTGAATTAGGATGTATGATTTGCTAGTATAATTCCTGTCACAGTGAAAAATCTCACAGAACATTGCTGAAAGGGGAAAATCCAAATACCCCCCCCCTACAAGTCACTGCTCTTTCTACTCTCCCCCCACAACTCAATATTGTTCAAAACACTACACATAAATTAATTTCTCTTCCAATTTTCCACTCCTATTCAGTTTTTACGCTTTCTCGTGATGCGCTCAATTTCTCGTTATCGTGGGCCTTCAGCGCAGCCCACGGGTGGAGTTGTCTCGTGCCACATTGGCGGCAAAAGCGCGCACACCTTCTTCCACTTTCCATCTTTCCCTGCTTTAATTTCACGATCGCTACTGCAACACTAAGGCGGCGAAAGAACAGCGGTACAACGGCGAAGTACGACGATGATCGCATAGTACAGAGAGAAGGGATATCAAATCCCCTGCCCGGCAAGAGAAGTCGTAGAAGGAAGCACTGAAGCATCCTGTACTTCGATCACCTCGTCAATTCATTCTACAGGTTCCTTTTTTCTCCCTGGTTTTGGTCGGATCATGTTTTATGCATGTAATTGTTGTATTACTAGATTCAGATAATCGAATATTTGCTCTTTGATTTAGGTTGCAAACCAATAAATTGGTATAATCTCTGCAGATGGGTCGAACTAGTATTTCCTTCATTGTTCATACTGGTTGTACAACTAGTGGAAGCCCTAGGAAATCTGGTGGGGAAAGGAATTGTTCATCGATCTATCTTTTAGACAGGGATTCTCTGAAATTCATCGATTTGGAGGAGTCATTGCTTATACATGGATATCAAAAAGGAGATGGTGTATACTACTTGAAGCCTTCTTATGTCCCTCCACAAGGTCTTGTACTGATTCTAAATGATGAAAAAATCAAGATGATGTTGGATGATCATAAGACGGAAACAGAGTGCTCACTGTACATTTTTGCAAGGCCGCAGGAATTAGTGACTGATAATGGAAGCACATCAAGGTTTGTAAGCCCAAGTAGTATCCCATTAATCGGACATCATAACAGTGTCCCAGGTGATTTTGATAAAGATGATTTGACATTGCATGAAGAGTATGTACAGCAACAGTTGAGGGAAAAGAAAAAAGGCAAGGAACCTGCTATTGGCAAGGAGCCAGTAATGTTCTTCCAAGGAGACTCTGATACTGAGGACCTATATGGTACTAGTCAGATAGATGCAGAGGTTAACCAAGCAGAACCACATCCGGGAAAAACTACACAGGAAAAAGAACTAGTAGGGAAAAAAACTAACAAGAGAAAAGAGAAGGATATAGGCCAATCAGCTGAGGTGGATTATTTGTCAGATGAGCCCAATGATGACACAATAGATTTCAATGACGAAGCACCTATCTATGTGCACAGATCAAGAGGAATTGAAGACATCATTTTTGATGAGTCCACCCTACGGCGTCCACACATGCAAGTTGGCATGTTGTTCAGTAATGTTGATCTTTTCAGAGCTGCTTTGAAGAATATGATCATCAACGAGGGGAGGGAGGTGTTCAAGGGCAAGAATGATAGGAATCAAGTTTCTGTCAAGTGTAAGGCAGATAATTGTCCTTGGTACATATATGCTTCAAAATTGCCTGGTGAAGACACCTTTAAAATAAAGAAGTATGTTTCAAAACATAGCTGTGGGAAATCACACAATATAGCACAGCTTGACTGGAGATGGCTTACTAATGAATACATGGAATTCTTTAGATCTGAGAAGAAATGGGATGCACATGCCTTTCAAGATTGTGTCAGGCGAGATACCAATATAGAAGTCAGCATAAGTAAGGCATATAGGGCAAGGAGGGAGGCCTACAAGAAAGTTATGGGCGATCATGATTTGCAGTTTAAAAGAATTCAAGATTATGCTCATGCTGTGCTATCTGCTAATCCGGGAAGCAATGTTTTTGTTAAGTGCGAAGTATCACCTGAGCCAGAAATAAGGCCTAGGTTTCAAAGGTTGTTCTTGTCATTTGATGCTCAAATTACTGGCTTCTTAGGTGGTTGCAGACCCTTCATCGGTATAGATGGATGTGACATCAAACTCAACAATGGTTCTCAAATACTAGCAGCACAAGGCAGGGATGCCAACAATAATCTTTTCCCTATTGCCTTTGTAGTAGTGGAGTCTGAGTGCACAAAATCTTGGACATGGTTCTTACTATGTTTGGAGAAGGCCATTGGAAAAGGAGAAGAGTTTGGGGGCTGGGTATTCATGTCAGATAGACAAAAGGTAATGGCTATCATATATGTCTACTTTGCATTAATACATGTCAACTGTTTTTTTTAACATTTTGCTGCCATATATAGGGACTACGCAAGGCAGTGGCTGAAGTTTTCCCAGGAGCTGAGCACCATTACTGCCTTAGGCACCTACATGCCAATTTTTCCCAAGCAGGATTTAGAGGGGAATATCTGAAGGGTTTGATGGAACGAGCAGCATATGCATATAGACAATCTGAGTTCAATGCTGCTATGCAAGAACTAAAGGTTAACAATTTGAGGGCATGGGAGTGGCTAAGCAAGGTTCCAACCAAGCATTGGTGTAGATATATGTTTAGTTCTAGAGCAAAGACAGATCTTCTTCTTAACAACATAAGTGAAACATACAATTCAAAGATACTGGGAGCTAGAGATGAACCCATAATTACCATGGTTGAGCACATAAGGACAAAAATGATGGGTGATTTCAATAATAAGAGGGAAGGTGTAGAAAGGGACAATTGGCAAATCCCACCAAATATATTAAAGAAGCTTGAGGCAGAGAAGAGAGAGGCAAGATATTGCAAATCTGTGTGTGCTGGTAGGGGCATTTGGCAAGTGTCCGCATTTGGTAATCAATATGTAGTGGATTTGAACAAGCACACTTGTGGGTGTAGAAAATGGGATTTAACTGGAATCCCATGTTTGCATGTTGTTTCAGCTATTCAAGGTTTCAAGCAAAGGCCAGAGAGCTATGTTGATGACATATTGACAAAGGATGCATATGCGAGGACATATTGTGGGATGATTTATCCCGTTCCTGATGAGACACAGTGGGAAAAAACTCCATTTCCAGATGTAGACCCACCTGTGGCTAGGACACAACCAGGGAGGCCAAAAACAAAGAGAACTAGAGCATCTGATGAACCTAGGGTTCAAGGAAGGTCGGTTGCAAAGACAACAATTAGATGTAGCGTCTGCAAAGAGTTTGGTCATAACAGCAGAAAGCATGGAAAAGACAACCAAAGTTCTTCATCTCAAAATGTGAGTACACTACTAATTTATCATATAAAGACATTGTACTTTGCTACTTCTCACAATTTGTTGTCTGTTTCTCTCAGTGTAAAACACAAATAACTAGGAGGAAGAAGAGGAGCAATTCCCAGCCTATTAGTTCTAGTTCAAGAGATGATATTCCAACAACATCCACACAGCCACCAGTATATATGGACAATGCATTTGGTGTTGGTCTCTACCATCATGTGCCAGATGGGCCTTATATCGGTCCTACTGGAAGAAAGCTGCAAATTAGGAGAAACTGATCTCCTATTTTTATGCAGTAGTATTATTTACATCAAAATTCTTAGCTACAATTAGTGGGGGATGCTGATCCCTTCTTAATCTCAGTACCATCTTTTTTACGACAAATAATTTTCTGTACTTCTAACTATCAGATTTGAATTGTGATTTTTAAGGGGATTCTACTTCAATAAGCATGTCTTAAATATTCTGGAATGTGTTTTTGACTTGGTGTTGCCATTCTTCATATTGATGTGGAATCACGAATCAGGAGGCAGACACGGTTGTTTTGCACTGGTGGACTAGAAATTGTTTTCCTGTGTTTATATTAGCGTCATGTCGTCCTACCCATATGGCTCGCAGAATTAAGAGCGGATGGAGATGCGCGCGCTTTTGCCGCCAAGGTGGCACGAGGAAACTTCGCTCATGGGCTGAGCTAAAGGCCCACGATAACGAGAAATTGAGCGCATCAGAGAAAGCGTGAAAACCAAATAGGGTGGGAAATTGGAAGAGAAATTAACTTATGTGTAGTGTTTTGAACAATATTGAGTTGTAGAGGGGAGAGTAGAAAGAGCAGTGACTTGTAGGGGGGTATTTGGATTTTCCCCTTGCTGAAAACACACACAGCATCACCAAGGTGGTCCGACTGCTTAAGATGCATGTTCTTCTAGCATTATCTAAGGAAAAGATGCAGCATTCAACTTGCTGCACAAATGGCACACCCAAAATTTCTTGGGAAAAAAACATGAAGTTTAACATACATTTTTCACTACTAATTGGAGCTCAACACCAGAGAAAGCTAGAAAAAGCAAATCAACACCCAGAGAAAGCTAGAAAAAGCAATCTGGAAAACAAAACAGCTAACTAAGATTTACAAATACATGTGCATTTAACCCCATTTACATATAACAATGTTGGTACAAAGAATTATCTACAACAACTGCACGCATGAGTGCAAAAGTGATCATCTAGCACTCCTATGTTCTAGCCGGCTTCACCATCCGCATCTTCATCAGGACGCCATTCTAGTAGAGCTTGGTTCTGTGGCTTCTCATTGGAAGATCTAACATCAACTAGTCCTTCGATAGAGCAGTTAGACAGCTCTAACAACATTGCGCAGAACCCGCAGGAGCAAGATCTGCAAACTGTCCCATGGTTCAACGCAGAGTTAAACCTCTGGAATGGACGCGTACATATCAGTATACCATGAAGCTGATGATGGAGCATCAGAGGAATAATGTAAAGACTAAGAAAACATGATGGAGCACTAGGCCACTATCGCCCTGGCAAGCACATACCCCTAAAGAATCCTTCAATTTCTTTATCTCCATAGATTGCTTCTGAGCTAGTTCATGTGATTCCTGCAGTTTCCTCAGGGCTCCACTCAATTTTCTCTGCTCTTTGGAAACCTGCTTAGTGCATCAGGAATAAAAAATAAAAAGTAAACTAGATAAGCCACAGATATATCAAAACAAAGGTACAAGTCAAATTCACTTATATTTATATACTAAAACATACTTGGTTTTTTAAATCATGGGGCAACCATTTCACGTAGTCTATACTTACGTTTTTCTAGCTACATTTACACATCTAACTTATTTATTTATCAGTACCTGAGCCTCTAGTTCCTGGATTTGTTGGATAGCTGCCTGCTCAATGCAAGACCGACGCTTGTATTCTTCCTCAAGCATGCCAGTTATTTGGTACCTTAGTTCAGCCATTTCTTGGGTGAGATCTTCTGCATCCTCCTTTGCCTTCAGTTTTTGTTCTCGAAGCTCTTCCTAACATATTTAAAAACAAAATGCTTACATTACACCAAATGATCGAAGCTATTCAAATAAAAAACAAATGGAACAGATACATCCTCAAATTAGCTACTTTTGGTACAGTTAACACACCGGTAGGACGTGGCAGCGGGAGAATAGAGGGAGGGAAAGCAAAAGTGCCGAAGTACATTTAGTAGACATAAACTAACCTTGAGCTGCTCAATCAGTAGTTCAGATTCTTCACTTCGCTTTGCCATATTTTCAAGTATTGCACCGCCCCTCTCATAGTATTGACCATCAATCTTCTCAATTGTTTTGTCAACTTGCTCATCAGATGTTAAAGCAGTGGCAACTCCTCCAGGGAACAACCGTTTTAGTTCTTTATTCTCAAGTAAAAGATGGTCAATAGTCTTATGTGCCTCTTGCAGCTGGAGCTCATACTCCCTCAGTTTATTATCTGCTATGGCTTTATCAGCAGAAACATGCTGACCAAAGCTGTCAGCATCAAACAGTCTCTGTTCAAGTGTAGTTAAATCAAGTTTTAAGCTCTCAATCTCACATTGTGAATCCAAATTTACATTCTCAAGCTTCTCTATTTGTAAGGCTGCCTTTTTCAATTTCTCTTCTTGGCATCGGACTTCTTCCATCAGAAGCCAGCACTGAGAATCAGACCGCATCAGCTCATCATCTATAACTCTAACTCTTTCAGGAAACTTTTCAAGTTCAGTTAGTTTCAGTTCAAGACTGTGGATATGCTCTCCCATGATGTTTGCTTCAACATTTCGGATATTTAGCTGATCCTGCAAATAGTCTGGATTTGAAACCAACAAAAACTGTTCAAGTCATTGTGTTAACAATAGCACGGACTAACAGCAAATAGAGAGAGTAGAAACAAAGGAATATACCAATTTCCTGATAGCAGTTCCTCAGTTCTGTTTCCAATTTCTCGATGTAATGCCTGTCCTTCTGACAGGCCCTAAAAGCTGCATTTTTGTCTAGCAGCATTTTCTGCATTAATTAATAAAACAATTAGCTCCATCGGAGTGCTAACAAATCAATAACACAATTCTCTCTTATGATACATTGTTTTGGAGAACATGCGCAATACTATCCTATGTTACATTGATTTGGAAACATATCAAAATGTCACATGATCTGGAGTGTCACTTCGAAATGAGATGGAAACATTATCATGCCAGTACATAGAAAATTCCATGAAGGAGCTTGCACCTTACAGGCTTACAGTTTGTCATAGTTATGTTCAATTTACATGTTTTATAAACACTATATGAGGATTCTATCAAACAACTGTTTAGCTAAAATTTCCACTTTACAGTGATAGATTGACACATATACCAGGTGGAAATATCCAAGACTTCTCACCTTCTTAACAATAACAAGGAACAGTTTTCAAGCATAGGAAAGCTCATGAAGCTACTTAGGTTAGATACCAGACTACCAGGAGTGGTAACTTAAGTTCACATGAATCATATGAACTGACACCTGAGTGTAAATAACAACCTAATCCTCAATGCATATCAAGAAATGGTTAGGTAATTTGGCATTACACATGTGACCAAGTGAGTAGACAAATAGGCTGAGAAGAAAGTGTTCTGGAAACTTGAGAAAAATCTCTCTTTTTTTTTGTATCAATCATTAATTTGCAGGGTAAGGGAGAAAATCTTCCAAGTGCCAATATCAGAGTTACCATTGAACAAAAAGAATGTCAGATTACTGGTTTCTCACAACACTAAAAAATACCAGTGCTCCCAAAAAATTAAGTTTTACAACGAATAAATCACGAAACACATGTCAGGTACCTCTTGATTGTTCTCTCTTTTTTGCAGAACCTTTGCACCATTAACAGGATAATGCCCATTGCCATTGGAGCTACTAGACATCTGCAAAGAAAGCAACGGATAAGCCCTACTGACAGAAAATTTGGGGAACTCAATTAAGATGACATTATCCTGTGATATCAAGCACAAGAACATATTTACTAGAGTAGTTACTACGCTGCCATATCGAAGCTAGAGATTGGCAATCACTCCAACATGGACTCTCATGCTACTATAGTTGCAAACCAAGAAACCAAAATGCGGATCCAATATTTACATAGCATACCGAAGCCGTGCCCTGAACGAAAACAGCGTGTACCTCTGAATAGATTCAGCAATGGATAGATACAGTACACCAGGAATCACTATGAGCAAGCGACGAAATCGAGAGCTACTCGGGAGCAAGTTTGGGCTCCCACCGCTGCCTCCGACCTTAGCTCCGGGAAGCAGTCAAGCAGGAGGGTTCGGCCGGCGGCGGACCGCGAGTTCAGTTCCCGGCCGCGGGCTTGGCGTCGGCGACCGACGACAAGCCCGCCGGTTAGGTCGGGCGGCGGCGGCGGCGGCGGCGGCGGAGGGGGGAAGGGAGCGGAACGGCGAGGGCGGCCGGTGGCCGAGGGAGGCAGGGCAGCACGGGGGGCCAGCCGCGGCCTCGGGGTGGGGTTGGGTGGCGGCGGCGGTGGTCGCCGGAGTGGGGGGGTGAGACGCGAGGGTGGTGGGGACTTGGCCGCCGCCGCCGCTACGGAGTAAAGCAGTAGAGGCTTTTTGCCCACCTTTCTCGAGAATTGGCCACAACAACATGCACGCCACCTATATGAGAAAATGTGTGAACCAAACTTGCCAAATGCTTCACCTCAAAACATCATCCAAAAGCGAAAATTCATCAAATTTTGGACAAGCTAAGCTACTACTGCTCGATTTAGTTCTCCGTTCTATAAGGGAGGAACTTTCAGGGACAGTAGCTGCAAGAAAGACATATCCAAAACTTGTGCAATCCACTTGGTCCAATGCTAAGCTTTGCGACCAAGGTTTTGTCTCACAGACAGATCCTCCTCATTATCAATGGACAACCCCAAATAGCACATTACTACTCAATACGCATAAGGTTTGGGGTTTGCCTTTCGTTGTATGGGTCAAACATGAGACTATATATACCAAATTCTAAACTTTGCACCGTTAAAATGAGATGTTGATATTAAACAGTCAGCTAAAAGAATAGGTATAAAAGGGATCAAAATAAAAAAAAAATTCAAGGGTATACAAAGGAACGAGCAAAGCTCAGGATAATTTTCTATTACTATTACTAAGGGTGTATTTGTCATTTGCTACTCAATCTGCCAATGCAACTGCATTGTGCATTTGTGTTTCTTCATGAATGCAGCTCATTAGTTAATCTAGTAGTACTAGTCCTGTTCTTGAATGTCTCACAGATGTAGGCACACTTGTCCCCACTTGTTCTTCACTATGACAGCATCACCCATCCGGGAAAATCATTACCCAGCACTGCTGGTCAACAGTTTAAGTACGCACTGACTAAACTCACTAAAAACGGTATAAGTACAATTTGACACTTCTTTGCTCAATAGCTCACACACAAGGTTTTTCTTTTAGATAATAGCTCAACATACACAAGTAGCATACTAATAAAAAATTGTTAGTTCTAGATTTCATACCTCTTATCCCAGTAGTAAGATCATGAAAGAATTTAATAAAGTTGCCAATTGCCAACCATGCCAAGGACTACTCAACTAGTGCTAGATTTCTGAATTTTCTTTTTTTTTCTTTTCAGGTTGATCAGTGTAGCCTCTATGCGTTGTCAATGATACTTCTCCCTTTATTTTCTTCAGGAAGGAACAGAAAGTCACCTTCTGGAGTTCTTGTTAATGATCCTTCTGGAAGAATTAATCTTGCATGAAAAAAATTGGCTAACTTGCAACGATGGAGAATTAATTAATTGCAGGGATCGATGTGTGCACCCAAGGGAAAAGCCGGCCGTATCTATGCAAGATAAGCAGCAAGCAAAGCAAAGTTGATGCCTTGATGGCCGTAGTTAAGTACAGGGAGACATGCCAGTAGAAGATGCAGCAAATGGGGAGGCTGCAGCAAAGATACGACGTGTTTGGATGTTCCAACAACTCCACTGAAACAGTTTACCAATCACTCGCTGGTCATCTCACACTAATAACTAGTTTTAATTTGGCGCCACATAATGCTGGTCCATGCAGATGCAGGCATGCAGAGCGTGATGATTCACTGACCAGGCATGTGGGTACCCGGCGATTCTACTAGTCTGATTAATCAACTTTGTTAATTGAGCAACTTTTGTTGTTTCAGTATTTAAACACAGCAGCAAAGTTAGCTGTTTATGTGTTCAGGACTGGATGAAGGTTTAACAAAGGACTTTGGGCTACTGACCTAATGGCTAATTGACAGAAAGTGATGTTCATATTGATACCTACAGTTTATCAAGCAGTTCTTTAATTATATGCATGCAGTTAAATTACGTAGTACTAGCTTTGCGTATTGTACTCCCTTTTGAAGAGCTGCACAGCTATTGGCAAAAGCTTGATTAGGTTTGTTTTTGATGCCCAAAAAAATGTCAACATGAAGCACTAGTTTATTCAGCTTGCTGTCCTGTAGTTCCATTTAGTGGACTCAGTGTTTCCCATGACTAGATAAGTTCCCATATAAATTTGTTGCTTGTTCCAAACAGAAACAATTTCTTTTTTTGGGGGGGAAGAAACATTTTTTTAATAAACAGTTTACAATCTTGTAATTAACTGTGTCATTCTATCTTCCTTATGCCTAGGTTCATAAGGAGAACCTATTTACACCTCAGTTAGCCTAGCCTGAATATTATTTTTTCTCACCTGAATCTTCAATTTGAGTTGCACACCAAAGTTGTGTTACTCACCAATGTCCTTTGGTTGTTAAAGTCAGTATATGCACGTTCTCAGACAGCCAGACAAGTAAAACTAAAGTGCCATATTGATAGAAAATGTTGCTCCATTCGTATGAGACTTTTATGGTTGATGGATTATCACCGAGATGTATTCTAATAACTCGAGTGGATGTTCGATCGTTTATTGCATGTCAACTGGATGGTTATGAAAAAATTTCAAAAAAATTGACAAGATAGATCAATATATAATATATCACTTTACAAACATGCAAGTTCAAATTCAACTTCTATAAGTTGTAACAAAAATAACAAATTTAGTTGTAAATATACATATAGTAATTTAATTTTTGTTTATTATTTTTGTTACAATTTGTAGAAGTTGAATTTTAACTTGCATGTTTGTGGATTGATATATTACATATTAACCTATCTTGTTCATATTTTTTTAATTTTTTTTATAACCATTTAGATGACATGCAATAAACTGGTGGACGTCCACTCGAGCTGTTAAAATAGTGTCCCGGATTATCACTGCACACATCCCAATCTTCTAAATGTTATGATTGTTACTAAAACTTTTTCATGAGCATTTCTTATGGCAGAGGCCAGGAGTCCTGTCTCGGTATAATTGTATCGTCTCGATGTAATTGATTAAGTTTAATAGAATCTTCTGTTATCTTAATATAAAAACAGAGCATTTCTTAAGAAAAATTGATCTTTTTATTTTACTTTGTAATAGCTAATTCATTTGTTTTTAACTCAGATTCATCCATCATCCACATTCAAATGTACCCCTTATTACCTTGCATAGGCGCATAGTTGCATGCATTGAGAAGTAAGCACAGCACTCAACGGTATAGAGAATTTTTTTTTTTGAACGAATCGGCAAGCTGCCAATTTCATTGAATAGAGAAGGAGTAAACTTTACAAGTAAGAAAAACCAGGCCCAGGACCTTCGGTCCTACTGAGCTAAAAATAAAAAGCAAGCCAGCTACCAAGATGCCTCGCCCCCGCCCGAGACCATGTTTTGGCCTCCTCTTTAATTTTGGCTAACAGACTTCCTGTAGATAGCTCTTTGTGCTGGAAAATTCTACGATTTCTCTCGTTCCAGATTTTCCAGTTGACCAGAAGTGTTAACTTGCGAAGTGCTTTCTTTGGGACTTCCTTCAAGTTGGCGGTGGCCTCCCAGGTATAGAGAATTTGCATTTCTTCGTCTTTCTTGTTTCCTTTTGGAGTCTTGAACAAGTGTTTGATGGGTGTGATTGATCACTGAAGCTACTACATACTACATGACGGCCAAATCTGCCGACATCCTTGTGAATTAAAAAAAAACTGACAGACTTGGTTAGCAACAACAACTGGGAAATTAAACGGCAATTTGGGTAATTATAAGCAGCTAGACTGATTAAGAAAGAATTAAGTGTAAATAAGCTGTCACTCGCACGCCATAACATTTGCAACTATCCAGGAGATCATCCATATAAAACACATATGTATGCGTTATATTGCCGTGTCACTGTGCGGTAATAGCGTACTGTACATTACTAATTCATTATTATTGGGTACAAGGTACAAGAAAACGATGGATACGCATGCAATTGCTACATAGTCCAGCACCATATTTTAGAAAATAATCATTTGGTATATCTACCAGACCTCACTGGTAAACTACGTGGTAGCTTCTATTGTTTACCTTGCAGTTTATAGATTTGCTCCGGTCCAACAAAAAGTATCTCAAGGTACCAGTACCTCTCGGTATCAAATCGTTTTCGATCGTTGGATCTAATAATGCCCATTAAGATCCAACGATAGGAAATGATTGGTACTGTGAGGTATCGGAGCAAATCTCTTCAGTTTATAAGCCACTATCAAATTTTAAACTTTAAAACTTAAGCTTAAAGTTGATATTAGGTTTTTTTCGTTATAGTTTGTTTTTTAAACATAGATTTTAGAAGTCACTAAGGACACGTATAAAAATATTACTCATAAGTTATTTATTTTACCGATAAATCGTAAAACAACTTATTAGTTGTAGGCCAAACGATAGGTAAAACTCAGTGGTAAACTAATAGTGTTATGAATAATTAAATGTATCCAAACAATAATGAAAAAGCTCTAAATTCTTTCCTACCACTCAGAAAAAAGCCTGCAATATAATCTGCAATAATCATAAAAAGAGGTCCAGTGGATGAATTTATCAGCTGGCAGCAAAGAGACAAATATCCACTACTTTATTATAAGACGATGTATGCGATGTTACCATATATCACGCCATTCTATCTCCAATGAATATTGTCGGCTTACACTAGCCTACCCATGAACAACTAGCGATGCGTATGTGTCATTGTAGATAGATAGACACCATCTGGTCATCGCCATTACTTATAGGTGTCCAAACGGGCGGCACGGCCCGGCCCGGCACGGGCACGGGTCCGGCACGGCCCGTTTCGGCACGGCCCGTTAGGCACGGCTGATGAAACGGGCCGTGCCGTGCCGGCCCACGTGCCGAGCCGCCGGCCCAAGCACGGCCCGTGGATGGCCGGGCCGTGCCCGTGCCGGCACGGCACGCCTGCGGCCCACGGGCCGTTCGGGGCGAAATTTGAGATTTTTTAGAATTTTTTCGAAATTTTTATGAATTTTTTAGCCTCCCAACGGTTATTTTCAAATTTGAACGGTCAAATAGCCGTTAGTGTGCCACGTGGCGCCTTCCCATTCGACCGCCGCCCGCCCACGTGGCGCTTTCGGCCTGACGGGCCGCCGGCGAAACGGGTCGTGCCGTGCCGCGGGCCGTGCCGGGCCGTGCCGCTACAGTAGCCGTGCCGTGCCGTGCCGGCCCGCGGGCTCGGCCAGCGGCCCAAGCACGGCACGGCTACTCGGGCCGTGCCGGCACGGCCCGTTACTGTAGCAGGCCGTGCCGGGCCGTGCCTGCTACAGGTTCGGCCGTGCCCCGGGCCGCCCGTTTGGCCCGGCCCGTTTGGCCACCTCTACCATTACTGCTCCCTACAGATAGCTATATACAGTTGCTCGAGAAAATCTATATACGGTGGTATATATCCATATCACCATGATCAGGGTTCACAAAGCCGTCTCCTTGGTGGGTTTCCAAGTTTTCACGAAAAGTGATTAAATTTTATTGAAAAAATAAAATTCAGTTTGACTTTCTTTAAAAAAAAATCATTGATTTACCGAGTGGTTTGTCAACTCCAGCCAACTTAAAAACTGTAAATTCCGTGAGAGAAAAAGAGAGATGATTTTTATAGATTGTGTGAACACTTACCAAGGTATCATTTCATATTATTCTCGTGAAGTAAGCATAACTCAATTGATTAGATTCCTTATGATAAAACCAGTCCACTTAAATCGAAGTCCTAACTTAACATGAGTGTTGTTATTTACGACTAATTATTCTGTCGACAGCGAGGCGTCCAAATTTGATAAAAGATATGGGCAGGTTATGTTTCTAAAAAAAGAAAAAAATGTCCTCGTAGACTTGACACGTCATCAAAGCAGCCTCCACAGCGGACCAGCTTTCTCTCTCCAATGTAACCCCCTTCTTTCTCTCTCCTCTTCGGCCCATGTGACTCTCTCTTCTCCGTCTGTTTTTAACTTTGCTTCCATGCATGGATTTCTCCTCCCCCCTCTCCCTCAACCTCAACCGCACCCCCCGCTCGATCGCGTCGCCCCTCGCCATCTCTGCAGCTTAACCACACCACCACCCCACCCCACCCTACCCTACCTTTCCTCCCCTCTACTCCTCCACCTCCACTTCGATCGAATGCTCGCTGCCGCCTCAGATCTTCCCGCGCGATCGCGCCCAGCTGGGTCAGGTTCGTTCGTTCTTGATCCCCGGATCCTGAATTCCGGGGTTTCTTGGAATTCTTTCTTGGGTTCGCCATGGATGCGGGGGGAGTGGAGCTCTCTGGCGTGATGCATCGGTGTAGGGTGTGCGGGAAGGGGTTCTCGTGCGGCCGCTCGCTCGGTGGCCACATGCGGTCGCATATCTCGTTTGGGGAGGCGGCGGCGGAGCTCGGCGCCAATGGCGGCGTGGTTGGGTACGGGCTGAGGGAGAATCCCAAGAAGACGAGGCGGCTGTCTGAGTTTGATGGTGATGGTGATGGTGAGGAGGTGGAGGTGGAGGAGGGTGGCGATGGCGGCGAGCTCAGGGCGTGCCGGGAGTGCGGCAAGCTGTTCTCGTCGTGGCGCTCGCTGTTCGGGCACATGCGGCGCCATGCATCCGGCGGCGGAGGGAGGAATCACGACGACGACGACGATGACGACGTGGATGTGGAGGATGAGTTCGGCGGCGGGGAGGAGGAGGAGATTGTGGCGCCGGCGCCGGCGGCGGTGACTGTGATCGCGGCGCCGCCGAGGCGGAGGCGGCGGTCGATGCGCGTGGCGGCGCCCGCGCCCGCGCCCGCGCCGCCGCGGCCGGTGCTGCTGGGCGGGTTCGAGAAGGAACAGGAGGACGTCGCGCTCGGCCTCCTGATGCTCTCGCGCGACACCGGCGTGTGGCGCTCGCCGGTCAAGGCGGAGACGTTCGAGAAGCCGGAGCAGAAGAAGAAGAAGGCGACGGCGAAGCAGCCGCCGCCGCTACCCCTCCCAAGAAACGGCTACGGCTACGGCTACAACTCCGACGAGGATTCAGCTCTGCTCCAGTACGGCGGCGACGTCGCGAAGAGCAGGAAGCGAAGGGCTAGCTACCACTCTCCCAATTCCATCTCCTCGAAGAAGAAGCAGCAGCCGCGCGCGGCGGCGCCGGCGAAGCGGACACGGTACGAGTGCCCGGGGTGCGGCAAGGTGTTCGCCTCCTACCAGGCGCTTGGCGGCCACCGCGCGAGCCACAAGCGGATCAACACTAGCTGCAGCGCCCCCAAGGTCTCCCCCGCCACCGCCGCGGCGGCGGCGCCCGCGCCGGAGCCGAGCTCGGAGACGTACGCCTCGCTGAGCACCCTCTCCCCCTCGGCGTCGCCGGGCTCGGCGGCCGCCGGCATTGGCGACCGCAAGGCCAACAACAAGTCGTCAGCGGAGGAGGAGAAGTTCGGCGGCGCGTGCTCCTCCGACGAGCTCTACGCCGAGCTGGAGCTGGAGCAGCGCTCGCCGGCGGCGGCCGCGGGGTTTCTTGATCTCAACTTCCCGCCGGCCTCATCGGAGGTTGGCGTGAACTGAAGCAGAATTGGCCGCGTCAGCAGCTGCACGGAGCCAAAGATTTCTTGATCCGAAAATCGAGGCGATCAATGGGGAACTGTACAGATTCAATTCATTCCATTCATTCCAATCTCGAGCTCCAAGCTTTCCAAGATCATTGAGGAAAAAAAAATCGACAAGTGATCAGAGTTTTCTCAGGTTATTCCAAAGTTTTCTTCATTTTTGTTTCTTCTTCTTCTTTTTTTTTTAACATTTCCTTTATTTAGTTTTCTCTCCTTTGAACTTCTTTGAAGGGGCTAAATCACAATAAGCCTATGATGATAAGAGCTCACAGCATCTGAACTGATTCAGTTATTAATAGCTTAAGATTAGCTCAAAGCAACTGTTTTTAACTCTGTTATCTGCTTGCTTTTAGCAACTATCCCTGTGTCAGTATACTAACTGAATCCCCCGTGAATTTCTGGGTCAATGCTAACCTTTGCTCTGCTCCTACTTTTGCTGCACTAATCCGAGATCTGCCTTGGGGGAGGCAGGCAGCAGCAAAGCCAGCAACAGCTTGGTTGCCTCAAAGTAACCACTTGCTTCAGTTGCTGCATGCTTAGTACATCAGTACTGTCATGCCATTGGTTGGTGTGGCTGTGAGTGAACATTGTGCAGCAGAGAAGCAAGCAACAATAGCATTGGACCCCCAAGAACCAGTACATTATCTCTATCTGTGACAGAGAACACAAGAATGCAAATGCTGATAAAGAATCAAGAAAGCATTGTGCAAGCAGCAAGGTGAGTAGAGAGTGATGGAAGCAGAGAGAAGCTGCAGACTAGTGATGAAAATGATTGGTGAGTACAGTGTAACAACTAACAACAAGTCTCTATGAAGAAGCAGGTACTAAGCATGCATGTGTGTGTGTGTGTGATGGCATGTGGTATCAATGCTTCTGGGGTTGTTCACTTGTCCACCAGAGCAACCAGGACAAGTCTTCTCACTCTACCATTCCGGTGTCATTTTCTCTCTCAACCCCTCCTCTTGTTGCTTTAGCAAGCCTGCAGCTTAAACTAGATTATGTTTTCTTTCCTCAATAAAGATTAATAGTATTGTTAATCATGACATCTTTCCCTCACCTGTTTCTCTCTCAAGAGAGAGGAGGAGGTGCACAGGCACAGACAGCTCACACAAACATTGTGTTGTTCATGTCTCTTTCTTGCCTACCTTTGTTGAACTGGTTTGCCTTGGGAGACACACAGGACACTCGAGGCTGCCTGGCTGGCCTCTTTGTCAGGGAGAAACCTGCTAATCTGCTATAATAGTGTTGCTTATAATTCTATGATTCTATCCATCACAAAGGACACAGTATAGCTGCATCCTTTAACTGCAGCTTGCAGGCCTTTTTCATCGTTTACTTGTTAGCTTATCAGCCGCGACCAAAATTTTTAGTACTAAAACTCAATATTAGAGTTGATGTTAGGGTTTTTTTCATCGTAGTCAATTTTCCAACATTGGCTTTTTAAACTCAATCTTGTTACTCTGCAATAGTATATGCCTTGCTTCAGTTTGAGATATTCAGTAAACTGTGCTGCTGGAAAACAATTTTTTGTAGGTCCATATGTGTTGTGGTGTTGGTTATCATGTAGCTCTTGTCGAAAATTGAGGTGTCTGAATATAATGCCAAAAGGCAAGCAAAACTGCAACGCTTGATAGTTAAGAATTTTGGGACGGCAGAGGCTAAATAGGGTGTGTGATATCAATGACAATCAGATGTGGACCATTCTTGTGCTGTTCTTCTGCGGCCCCATCCTTATTTGGTGGAGCTCTCGATGTATGTTGGCGATCCACTTGTCAGGCAAAGTCTCTTTGTTTCTTTTGTGGTGCTAACTTTGGATGTTGGCCTGAATTGACCACAATAATCTACTAGCATGTCTGATCAGTGATCAGTTCGTGGTTTGATGGTAATTAAGAAGCTCAAATGTGCACAACATAGTTGAACTGAATTATGGCTGATCTGGTACTGTTCTACTGAACTCAATTCTCAGTTTAGTCAGTGATTAGGCACAATTTGTCCTGATGTCAGATATGAGTAGCTTCCATTTTGCTTTTACGAAGCACATAAATTGTGCCATAGTCTTACACACACTCATCACTAACTAAATTTAAAGTTATTGCCAGTGACACATCCATTTGCAGTTTTTGCATTGACTTGAACTGAAGGCCCCAATCAAACAAAACCTTTTGTTTTTCCTCAACCTCCATCCCTGAATGAGTTAGTTTACAATTCCAATTTCGATCCAAACAAAACAGCACGATCCTTGACCAGTAACAGCAAGTCCCTAGAATAATAATGCCACTGTTTTTCTTTTAAGTCTCAGAACGAGCATGCAGTCCATCACCCCCTTGGAAGATCAGACACAACAGGCCAAAATCTAGAAAAGAAATGAGCTGTCACAAAGCTTCTTCTGCATCTAATCTAGCCAAAGCATCAGGTCATCACATTCCACAACTTGTGAGAAAGATATACACCTGCAGAGAAGAAACAAAGATCTCCCGGATTAATGACCATCATTGCAAGAAAAACAATGAAAAGATACTGCATCAATAAAGCCATGAGAGGTCAGGTGATGTGCAGGCCACACCTCTATCTGTGGGCTGTGGCTCCCACAAAAGTTTGCAGCTTAACCAGCAGAAGCCATTGCTCTCCTGCATGCCTGCATTGCATTGCAACAATGCAGCCACTTAACCAACCTTTCTTTGGTCTCAAAAAAAAGGAAGAAAATAAAAGAGAAAAGAAATCTTTTATTAGCAGTCAGCACAGATCCAGATCTGCCTGCCTGCCTGCTTAGGTGATCAGTACAATGTTGCTAAAATTAGCCAAGTGAATGCTCCGAAAGATAAGAGCTCTAATTGGCTGTATGTGACCAGGTAAGTAAGCAGCCACCAACTTAACCTGACATTAATTGTAGCTAACCATTTTAGCTTGTTTGTGTTTTTTATTTGTGGCCTAAATTAAAGTCGTTAATAATTCGGTACATTATTTGATGATATACTGGTCTACCAGAAACAAAGGTAGACTCTATTTGTGAATTCAAGAATGTAATAATTGGGAAGGCCGATTAATTAGTTAGTATAATGACCAAGATCACACCAGCCAAGCTTGGTGGTTACTCTTTCACAGAAAAGCTGAAGCTTTTTACATGCCCTGAAATATGTGACAAATCATAGCTCTATCTAGCAATCAGCAAATGCTGCCTTAATCAGCTACCATCTCATGCCATGCTACTTGCTTTCAGTCACTGTAGTTGAGATGATTAAAGAAATACATATTTAGTGTTAGGGAACATAAGCTTTGGATTCAAAGAGGATGATCTAGACTAAATCAAAACAAACAGACAAAAATGGAATTCCGTTTTTCTGTTATTTTTCAACTTTTGAGATAGACAGAAATGTTACCATATAGTTAGCCTATGATCTCTTCATCTCTTGATTCCAACTTGATCTCACCAACTAATCACCAACAACACAATATTGCAGGAAAAAAGTGCAGAACTTGGTGTCAATTTCGGTGCATTGCAGGTGTTGCACTGTTGACGTCAACTTCTTACTAACTAGTACGTACAGACGTACTACAAGTACTCATTTAGCTTTACTAGAAAATCTGAAACATTTCAGGTCACACTCTTCTTGTAAATTTGACAAGATTTGGAATGCATGAAAAATCTGTTATTAGACAAATTTCCTCGTATGATCGCATCCGCACAGTAAAAATTCAGAGGACAAAGTACATATCAAATCCATCTTGTCGCCTTTGAGGAAAACGCATCAATTTCCACTATAGAGCAAAAGATCGGCAGTTAAAGGGAATATCATGAAATCTCTGATCAGCAAATAGGATTCGAACAGCTTTGATGGAAAAAAAGGAGGCAAAGACTGATGTTAGAAGTAAAGTGTTCCCCACTAGCATCTATCAGGAAAAAAAATGTCAAATCAAATTCAACTCTGTTTTTAACTGCTTGATTTGGCTATGTTCATCCGTATTGGACGTAGTGACCAGGTTTTAATCCATTATCTAAGGGCCCCTTCGAAACAAAGGATAGAAAACACACGGGAAAAGGAAAAACATAGAAATTAAAGTAGCATGTTTTACTAGTCTTACAGGAATAGAAAACACAGGAAATATTTTTTTGGGAATACACGAGACACACATTTTTTATTAAGAGGAATAAATGTATTTACAGAGCGGGCCTGAAAACCAAAAAGAAGGGGACAGGGTACAGGAGAGGGGAAAAGAAAAGCATAAGCCTAATCTCCCGAATGATTTGGCGACCCAAGAACAAACGAATGGACTGTCATGGTTGGTATGGCTGATCTAGCCATCCGCCAGAGGTCCACTTCCCCATCATAGCCCTAGCTATCTTCATCCAAGGTCTGCTCTTCTGGTTGAAGACCCGATTGTTCTTTTCCTTCCAGATTGTCCACGCTACCAGTGTTGCAATTGTGTCGAACCCTCGGCGATGATCCTTAATCATCCTTTTGCGACTGTCACACAGCCAGGCATGAAAGGACTGCTCGTTGAGAGGTAGACATTCGGAATGACCGATAGCACTAAGAGCAATCCACCAAAGCTGTCGGGACTCCGGGCATGCGACCAGGAGATGATCAATCGTTTCGTCGCGTTGATCGCAGAGGGGGGCAATGATCCGGGAAATATGAGGAGAGTCTATATGATAGCACCATAGGAAACAAACAAAGCATAGGAAAGTTTCCAAGAGGTTGGACCTCTTGCTTATTTCCTATGAAATTGAGCTATAGGAATGCAATCATATGAAAAATTTCCTATACTTTTATGTGAATCAATGGGTTTCATAGGAAAAATTCCTTAGGAAATTGAATACTCCAAAATTCCTATGGCAATCCTCCAATTTAAGGGTCCTAAAAGTTTTCAAATTCTTAGATATTTTTGAACACCAGGATGTGTATCTCTTGTTTTGACGACACGTGTGTCGTACTACCTCCATTTTCATTTACTCATCACTTTTGATTGTGAATATATGTCACTACGCACTTAAATATGTGATTCCTCTTTTGCCCTTGGTGAGCCTAATTAAGGTGATATATGTGCGGCATATGTATTTATAAACCTCTAGATTCTATATCCCACTAAGTTAGGGGTATTTTGATCATTTTATATAGAAAAAGTTTATTGTTTTGGTCTGGGTGCATGGTCAAAACTGACAAATAAGTAAAGGGGAGAGAATAATTCGAATAGTAATTTGAATATTCTAACTCATGTGCTGGAGCTCAGACAGAGCATGCCTAAGAGATACCCAATACTATCCCCAATCCTGAAGTATTTGAGTTATATAGGGAAAAAGTGGATCTAATAGACCTCCAATCTAGAAAAAAAAAAAAGAAACCCTGATCTCGGTTCTCGCTCTCCACAAGTTATGAAGATTGCAAACTCCCATTTCACTGATCCATGGAAGTTTGCGCGTGGTAGATCATGTGGGAAGGGGAATGACCGTTGTGTGGTAGTTCGGGGTGGACCTACTTCTAATTATTGGGTGTTAATTTTGAGTTAATTTTTAGATATCTGTTGGAGAAAAGAGTCTATTCACATCTAAAAACCTTCTTTTTTAGAAGAGTGTTTTTTTTACTCGGCCTCTATACCCAACCGGATACTCAGGCTACATGCCCTTTCGCTCACGCCTAAAAACCTATTTAGGGATCGTAAAAGCATAATTTTAGGAATATATTTTTTGGGTTTTTTTTGTAACATACACATTTACTTCTCTTAGCCAAGGCTCAAATTTGAACATATGAATGAATTTAGCAGAAATTTAGAGGAAATTTACTCCAGAATAATTAGGGACTGAATTTCAAATGGAAATTGACTAATTAATATTAAGCTCTTGATTGTCAAAAGGATAAAAAAAAGAGTGTCCTGAAATATTTCAGATTTTCACAATGTGTGGCCTAAACTTTTTTTTTTTGAGGGTAATGTATAGCCTAAACTGATAAGGCAGAAATCTAATTTTATCCACGAGACTATAGTGAGCCTACTCTTCAAGCTGGGCTTCAATTTATGTGGGCCAAGTGTTAACGAAGAGACATTTTGGGCCATCATATTCGGCTTGTATGGGCCATCAGATGTAACACCTACGCTTCTCTTTACGGCCCAAAAACACCTACGCTTCCGTAGTTCTCGAGGCTTCTGTTTCCTCGTCTCTCGTCGTCGTCGGCGGCGGCGGCGGCCATGGAGGACGACGACGAGTGCCCTCCCCTCGCCGTCGAGCTCTCGCCGGAGAAGCCGTACAGTCCTCCGCCGCTCGGTCCCTCCGCGGCGTCGCCGGTCGGAGTCACCGTCATCACTGGCTACCTCGGCGCCGGCAAGTCCACGGTGAGCTTTTCTCCGCAGGCTGTGCCCTCCCCGCCTCCCCGCCCCATGCTCTCCCTGCAAAGTGCTTGGAGGATTGGGGGCGTCAGATTACTGGAACTATGTAGGATCCGAGATTGGTCTACGGAAGATTCCTGGAGGACTGGAGTTGTGGCTGGTAGTTTGATCCGATCGAGTTGCATACTTGCCTGTCGCCATAGCTCTTGCTGTTTTCTTAGGTTTAGGTAGTTCTCAACATGCTGGGTTGGTTGGAGCAGTGTCCTTTTCTATTTGGTGAGCTGTCATGTGACTCGAACTCGCTTCGAGGGCTTCGTTTCTCATAGGAGCTCATTTTCAATTTATTTGTAGTTCTAGTAGTATATAAGAAAAGGTTCATCGATCTACATGTTGAACTAGTAACCAATCAATTTTGAACTGTAGTTGAATGTTATATCACCAAGTGGAGTAACTAGTTCTCTTTCTTTTTTTAGACTAAACTTAACATTACCGAGTTACTCATGGATAAACACCTTTTTCACAGTTGATGATATATTGAGGATTTATACATGTGTTTAGTACTATTTTATCCCGTGCTTTTTTATCAAAATGAATCTGTCAGTGGCTGTTTACTATTTAGCTTATGTTGACATTTGTTTCTACTATGTCTCACCTTACCACTCTCCTAGCAGAACCTGTACTTATTGACCAAGTGTCCTGTGAACTTTATAATCCAGTTTGTTAGTTCAACTAATTGGTATGTTATGGGATAACTTATCTCCCGCACATCAAATTTTCAGTTAGTCAACTACATTCTAAGTGCGCAACATGGAAAGAGAATTGCAGTGATATTGAATGAGTTTGGAGAGGAAATTGGGGTTGAAAGAGCAATGATCAATGAGGGGCAAGGTGGCGCGCTTGTTGAAGAGTGGGTAGAGCTGGCAAATGGATGTGTTTGTTGCACGGTGAAACACAGCCTGGTTCAAGCACTTGAGCAGCTTGTGCAGAGAAAGGAGAGGTAAATACGGATGTTGCTGTCTTGCATGGATATGTAGCATACACCATTTGATCCTATAAGTATGTGTCCTACTATTATGTTTTATTCCCTATGATTTTCAGTACAAAGTGATGTCATGATGTATAAAGACTTAGTGATATGTTCTGATTTGCTATTGATATTCTGGTTTTAGCTCAAAACTATGTTTACACTCTGGCATTTTTTGGTTAGTCCACATGGTTGTTTGTTTGTTCTAGTTCTTCTGGAAATAGTAAAATTTTGATTCACTTTCCTGTGTATGCTATGTACTGATGCAAAAATGTAAAGTGGATCATGCTCTTACTTTGATCTTTCATTAAAGAAGATTGGTGTTTTTTTTTTCTGATAACATTAGTAGTTTCATTATACTACAGTGCCTTGTAAATTACGACGGTATGAATTGAAGATACTATGTGCTGCAGAATGGATCACATATTACTAGAGACAACAGGATTGGCTGATCCTGCACCTCTTGTCTCTATTCTTTGGCTAGACGACCAGTTGGAGTCATCAATTAAACTAGACTCTATCATTACGGTTAGTTCAACCTTATGTTCTTATTTGTTAGTCTGACTATATCTTACAAGTTCGGGAAATGTGCCTGCTTCTTTGGTCCTTACTTTGGATAACAGTTTGAAGGACTGCATTGTATTGGACAATTTTCTTATATATATATTTACTGGTCAGGTTATTGATGCAAAAAACTTCAGGCTGCAAATTGATGAGCACAATAAGTCATCATCATTCCCTGAAGCATTTCATCAAATTGCATTTGCGGTAACTTGGTCCTCAGTGTTATCCTATTTGTACCATTTTGTCTTCACTACAGAATTTGGAATTCTTTGTGCTGATTTTGTGGTTCTGAAATTTGTCTTACTTGATGAATCCCAAAATGCAAACAACCATAATAACAAAAGTGTCAAAACTTTCCTGGACCAGGATGTTGTGATATTGAACAAAATTGACCTAGTAGAAGGCAGTCTTGAGGATTTGGAAAGGCAGATTCATGAAGTCAACGCTCTTGTTACAGTGGTGCAGTCTGTCCGCTGCCAGGTTGACTTAAATAAAATATTTGATCAGCAAGCATATGGTGCCAAGGTCAATACCTAGCTCGAAACTTGCATTTTGTTATTTCTTTGTATTCAATGCAGAGGAATCTGTCTTTGATTTTGTTTTTGGACAAAAAAAAGACTAACTTTGATTAGTTAATTGATTAAGTATGACATCAATTAGTCATGTCAACATATGGGCACTAAATCTAGTCATGCCAAGACATGGAAACTAAGTTATTCTCAGGTCATTAAACTCTATGGCACTTCTTAACAAAAGCTCGAATCATTCAGCACGAAAAATCAGTGTTGGTGAGACGTTTTTTCAGCATCTGCTTGCTCATGCTAACTAGCAATACAGAAATTTGCTTACTTGCTTTTGGTACTTATTTTGTAGTTATTGCTTTTGCTGGCGATGGCACCTTGTGCTCAACAAAATCTGAACACCTTATTCAGGGATTTGATTCTGACATGTTTTTAATTTATTTTCCATAGAATTCATCGCAGCTGCAAGAACTTCTGGAGTACAGTAAATCAGTACCACCTAATCTCCGTCATGATAACAGTATTTCTACCTTGTGTATTTGTGAGCAGGATCCAATTTCCCTGTCTAAGGTACTCTTCCATTAGAGTTTTTTTTAACTGCAGTTAACATTTAGAAAACATTTCCCTTGGACAACTTTGAAAGGGTATTTATTCATTAATCTTAAAAACATAGATTTTGGTTGACAACTACATCATTGGGATTTGGGATATTTAGTTTTTTTTTCTGTACTCACCCATTGTTCTGTTAGTACTTTGAAGTACATGCTCTTATGTTTCACCTACTTTTCTAAAATATGTCTTCACATTCCATACTGCTTAGGTTGATTTGAAAAGTTACAATGAACAAGTGATTGCAAGCTCTACACTCACTTTTCCTGGTTGATGCTACAGCAACAACTGGAAACATTATTTGATTAATATTGCCCCTTGAAGTCTTCATGTTGAGATAGATGTGTTATATGTCATGATTTCAAAGATGATCATTTATTGGGATCTGTGAAGGATGCTCCATATTCTGCTCTACTATAGAGAAGAGTAGAAGTCTGTTTAATATTCAAGCACATACACTGCATTTCCTAGGTTTCTCCGTTCATGACCAATGAACACCGATATACAATTGTGAGATATATGCATTTTTGTTTGATTTAATTTGTTCTGAAGGTGGAATCATGGCTCGAGGATCTTCTTTGGGAAAGGAAGTTGGACATGGATATTTATCGTTGTAAAGGGATTTTACATGTCCATAACTCGGATCAAGTTCATACATTACAGGTTGTTGCATCATAAAAAGTATTCTCAAGAATCATACATTATGAGTTTTCAAACAAATATTATCCCACCTGTTTGCTCTCATGCAGGCAGTGAGGGAAGTTTATGAAGTTCTGCCAGCTCGAGAATGGTCCAAGACAGAATCTCGCACAAACAAGATAGTTGTCATAGGTATATTTCGTAACTCACTAGTTTAGCGATGGCAACTTATGAATTGTTTATTAATTATCATATGCCTGTGGTGCTGCAGGTCGCAACTTGGATATCAATATCCTTCAAGATTCATTTAGTCGTTGCAAGCACTGATATCGAAGGGTTTGTTCATCCTGTACCCTGTAAGTTACATTCTGTTTTTTGGGGTTGTTTGTGTGTGTGTATATACATACATACATGCATGCATGTATGTATGTATATATACATACATACATACATACATACATACATACACACACACATATATATATATATATATATATATATATATATATATATATATATATATATATATATATATATATATATATATATATATATATAGTAAATTTGTTTGGTGCTCCATGGTGCCCGGGCACTATTGTTGAAATTGAGTATATACCCAATTCAAATGAGTATGAAACTTTTTCAATTACTTAGGTATTAACATTAACTACTTTACTAACTAGTTTAAAGCAAGTTTGAACTGAATTTGAACTTGTTTTTGTTAGATTTTGATTCTAGGTATATAGCATCCATACATATAATTAGTTAGGTATGTAATCATGGATTGTGAAATAAAGTTAAATTTGAGTTGTTTTGTTGATAAGTATAGGTATGAATCAAATTATTATAACTAGGTATATACTCACAATTTGAAAATTTTGAAAAAATTTGAGTAATTTTGTGCATTAGATACCATGGTGCCCGGGCACCATGGTGCCCCATATGAGTGTCATATATATATATATATATATATATTAGTCTTTCAGTCTTGCTGTTTGAGGTTCTGTCCCATCAATATACTTAGGAGTATTTGCTGCTTGGGACTTGCAGCTGACAAAATATTAGCATTTTAATGTTGTTCCTGCACTCAACAGGCACCTCCATGCAATCAAATACTGCAAGGAGTTTCTATGGCTCCCCGAAGTAATGTGCTTTATGTTTGTCTGTATATCTTCAAAGGTGACAGTGCTGACAGCTTCTTGGCAATGAAGTTCTGCACAACGGATGCGATTATCCGACGCGCCATGTTCAACTTTGGAAGAGGAACATGCATCCAGTTACAAGATGATGAACTACTTGTAGAAGATTTTAGTTAAGAGTAGTATGCAAACTGATGATCGGCAACATTTCTCGTTGTATGGAACTGACCGAAAGCAATCTTTTTGTAAGAAACCGATTGGCAACAATAACATACTGGGAGTTGAAATCTGATCCTCAAATTCATGTTTGTAAGTTTGCCACTCTCTTGCAAAATGCAAAACGCAGCTACGTGCTGCCAAGGTTCTTACAAAGCCCCATCTCTAACATTGATCTAGTATAGACAAGAGCCCCATTTGCATCGCTCAAAATTCAGGCGAACTTCACAGGAATTTGGCACAAACAATTTCGAAATTCGTACTCCGATGTTAATTCCGTGGGTTAAACCGTTTTTATCGCAGTGATACACCGTCGAACTGAATGCAACGGTCGCACAAAAATTTACATATTCACCCTCGTAACAAGTCAAAATTACGAAACACACCCTCCATTCTCCGCTCCTTCCGTTCCATTCCATCTCCGGTCTGAGCCGCCGCCGCCGCCTTCTTCCCCTCTCACTCCCACCTCACTAAAACCCTAGCCCAAACCCCACCTCCTCTCCCGCCATGGCTGCCGCGGCGGCCACCTCCCGCCTCCTCCGCCGCCACCCGCCTCCCCTCCCCCTCCTCCTCCGCTCCTCCATCTCCTCCTCCCGCCCTCTCCTCCAGCAGCCCGAGCTCTCCCCCGCCGCCGCGGCCGATGCGGCCCCCGCCACCGATGCCGCGCCGCTCCCGCCGAAGCCGAGCACGGGGAGCCCCTTCTACGGCGAGAACTGGCGGAACCCCGCCGCGGCGGCCAACCCGTCCTCATCCTCCCTCCTCCCCGCGGTCGTCGGCGGCGGCGCGCACGCCCGCGCGGCGGCGTACTCGGCGTCCCCGGGCGCGGCGGAGCTGAAGGAGACGTTCGCGGAGTGGATGGCGGAGCAGCGGTGGGAGGAGATGAAGCAGCTGTTCGAGTTCTGGGTGAGGTCGCTCGACCCGGCGTCCGGGAAGCCCAACCGCCCCGACGTCGACCTCTTCAACCACTACCTCCGCGCGCAGCTCATGTCCGGGGCGCTCCCGATCGAGATGCTGGATCTCGCCGAGCAGATGCGCGAGTTCGAGATCACGCCCAACACGGCCTCCCACAACCTCATCCTCAAGAGCATGGTCCAGGCCCAGGAGGCTGATGGCGCCGAGAAGCTCATTGAGCGGTGAGTCTTTTGTTTTTGTTGTGGCTTTGTGGAATGGGAGATCGCCATTCCCTGATTCATTGTTGTCATAATGTGCATGTACAACTCAACCATGGAACCTCGTAGGTCGTTTGCAGCAAATTTTAAGGCCTGAATTGCGTCTTTAGTGACACGACTAGTTTACTAGATATGCACGCCTTTCATTCTTCTGATGCTTAGTGGGTAACATAGATACGATGTAACGTTTTGTTTTATAAAGGCCATGGATCCATTGCACTTACGGTTTCTCTGATGTAACATATCTCAGATGCTTTATCAACATTGCATACATAATTTATAATATGTAGTTAGTGCATAAAACTAAAAGATGCCTTACAGATTGTGTATAACATTCAGGAACTTAAGTTTTTTTTCTTGCAGCTGTAAGAACGTTATTATTGTCAATGAATTGTGCAGAATATTGTCAAATGATATACGATAGCATTTTCATGTATTATGCTCTAAGTGCTTGCATTTTGTTTTTGTCTATATGTTGCCTATACTGTGGTCACTACTGCTACAGATTTCACATTGAAAATGATTTTATCTGTTGAAATCAGGATGTTGCAAACAGGAACTCAACCAGATGACGAATCCTACAATTTGGTTGTAAATCTTCTGATTAAACTGAACCGGGTGGACTCTACTTTGAAATATTTGGATTTGATGCTTAAATCAGGCTACACAATATCTTCCTCTGTTTTTGTTGAGTATGTCCGGGCATGTGTAAGATCTGGTAGATTGGATACATTGGCATCAGTCATAGAGAAGTGCAAGGTACTTATTATTCTTTTAGACTGACAAGTCTGTTTACTGTTTATATACTGTTAGTTAGGACTCCTAATTTCCAATGCTGGAAATTCTCAATTGTTATAAGTTTGTGGGCTACCAATGGGCCTTCAACATTCTTCATTTTCGAATATATGTTTCAATCTTCTCGGTGTATGTACTAACGGTGCACTTATTTTGTTTCAGGCTACAGATCAGAACAAAGTCTTGTGTCCACCATGGTCCTGGTGTGTTGAAATAGCAGAAGCTGCTTTTGAAGCTAACAACAGCAAGCTGGGTCTTTTTGCTTTGGAATATCTTGCAAGATGGATTGCTCGTTCTGAGCGTGTTATTCCTCCTCTTCATCTTTCAGTTGATGAAGGTTTAGTACTCTCAGCTCTAAGTGCTGCTGCCAGAACTTGTAGCACTGATCTCCTGAATGCTGCTTGGTCAATATTACGTAAGTCCTTGCACCAGAAAAGGGCACCGACGCCAGAGGCATATCTTGCCAAGATTTATGCTCATTCATCCATTGGTCATCTTCAGCGGGCTTTTGGTACCCTACGTGAATTTGAAAATACCTATGGGAACTTTGAGGATATTGATTCAGAGCTCTTCTCACCGTTCACTTCATTGCGACCACTCGTTGTTGCTTGCTGTAAGGATGGGTACACCACACTGGACTCGGTATGTTCTCTTTACGCTATGCATAATACATCAAGGCGCAAAATTCTTATTTGGAGATCATGTTTAAAATCATCCATGATGAGCTAATGATGAAAACTCTGTATGTGTAGTTCCATTGGTGTTATGAATTTATACATTATGCCTTCTGTGGCACTGAATTATTCTTTCTTGACGTTTACCTAGTTATTCACTTATTTCTCTTTTCAACATAAAATTGGTGCTTTCTTTCTTCACTGTTGATGTTTTATTTAGTTATCATTTCCACCAGAGTATTTGAGGCACATTTTTTTCTCTCAATGACAATAATTCCTCATGGCTATGGTAGCCTTTTGTATTTTGGTTCCTCTCTGCAAGCATACCATGTATTTCTTCAACATTCTTATTTCTTTGTGGCCCAGTTTCATATTGACAGTTCAAAGAATTATTGACACAGTCCTTTTTCAGTGCTATTAGGAATTCGTCATAGCATTGTCCCCGCCAATTTGTCTTGACATTATGGGAGGAATGTTTTATTGCCTGTTATGCATTTCTTTCACCAAATATGATGGAATATCCTAACACTGTAGGCTCCTGCCTGCAGGTCTATGTGCAATTGGAGAATTTAAGTTCTGCAGATTCGCCATACAAATCTGTTGCTGCTCTTAACTGTGTTATATTGGGGTGTGCAAACATTTGGGATCTTGAGCGAGCATATGAAACTTTTGAGGCAATAAAAGAAAAGTTTGGACTTACACCTGACATACATTCTTACAATGCGCTTTTGCATGCATTTGGAAAGCGGAAAAAGGTATTATTATTACCTAATGGATTTGATACTTTCACAACATTTATCACCTTTTTGCCACTTACCAACAATCCATTCAACCTATGATGCCCATGTGTATTATACAGACTGAAGAAGCTTGCAACGTCTTTCAGCATCTAGTAAGCCTTGGTGTTAAGCCAAATGCAACAACTTATGGCCTTCTTGTTGACACTCATCTTGTAAATCGGGACGCAAAAGCTGCTCTTGCTGTAATTGCTGAGATGGTATGGTCAATTTACTTTTGCACATTTCCTGTCTATCTATAGTTTCTCAATGTGATGTCTGGTTCAGGTTGATGCGGGCTTTACTCCTTCAAAGGAGACACTTAAGAAGGTCCGAAGACGCTGCTCCCGTGAATCAGATTTTGATAGTGACGAGAAAGTGCAATCCCTGGCTAAGCAGTTTAACTACCGAATGGGTGGTGAAAACCGCAGGGAGATGCTCTTTAACATTGAATACAGCGCTGAGTTCACAAGTACTCCTAGTCCAAGGTACTGGGCTAACCTTTTCTGAATCCAACATTTTCTTTATTTTTCATCGCATACCAGCAATGGCTCTTTTTTTTTTTTTTTGCTTTATCTAATGCATTTGCTGACTGATTTGCTTGATGGTTTTGTTTTGCAAGTTGATTTTGATGATGCCGGTGCGCTCTAGTAGACGTAACGTGTACCCTCGCTCACTTTGCTGGTACCTGAAGGGCACGGAAGCTGTAGTCTGTAAATTATACTTCTTTGTACCAACTTCCCTAATTATTTCAAGCATCTCAAGCTATCATTTTTGTTGGCAGAACCCTCAACAGGATTTATGTTAGGATTTCAGAATAAGGGTCCTAATAGATTTTTTTTTTTGCCTGCTCAAAGCACCATGTTTTACAATCAATGGATGTTTGCTCAACTTATCTCTCAGTTCCAGCCTTTTTTACGGCTCTCGTGTTATTTATTCCTATACTGCATGCCATGTCAATTATGTATACTCTTGATGTTTGTTTTTTTGGAATTGCTATAGTTACTTCAAACGAATTAGTACTAGCACATTGCATTGGAGAGCAATATTGTTTACTGAAGGTAATAATAGACCGCTCATCGTGTAAATGCATCATGATTTACTGAAGATAATATTGTTTACTTAAAAAGAAGGCTCCGTGCAAAATAACGTGCAAAATAAGAGACGCAGTTCGTAAGTTGTAGATCATGATTGGCTTGTGCAATGCTCCATTAATTTCCTTGAGAACGTTGTTCAGCTTAGTTTCATTAAATCCAATATGAAACCCAAATAATACCATACAACCCAAATTCATAATTTGAACTCATAAGAAATCCGCATTGTAGTACCTTGCCGCTATGCTATACATCACACAAGACGTCATGCAGCTTCTGACCATCGACAATAGCACCAGATCGAATAGAGTACAGGAGAGACTCAAGCAGCAGACGATAGCATTACGGACACAAGAAGCCAAGCAGGAGACGATAGCATTGCGGACACTAGACACAAGAAGCTTTACCCGGTTACCCCGCCTGGGCATCAGTCTTCGTCGAAAGATGAAGATAGTAGGTTTCCCATGTGATCTAAAGGAGGATCCGTCCTTGACCTCATCGGCACCCACTGTTTCTCCTCGAAAGTGACGATGGGTTTGTTGATGTTCTTCTCGGCATCAGCCCTCAGAGAGGTAGCTATCTCTTCCACATTCACGATATTGCTGTGACAAGCACGAATCGAGACTTCCTTCAGACTCGGAAGGAACTCTATGCCAGTGATCTCTTGGATGGAGGCTTCTTCGAACAGAGACAGCTCTAGCCTTGCTAGCTTTGGTAGTGCCCCTTCTTCAAATCTTGCCTCCCAATCTTCAGACATGTCGAGATGAATGACAAGCAGTCTAAGAGATGGGAATTCCCCTGCTGAAGCAGAAAATTCTGTTCCTATGTATGCATTGTGATGCAACCTGAGGTATAGCAGGCTAGGTAAACTTCCTAGTACCTTCAGGTCTTCCTCGGCGCTTAGTTCGGTTGCGCGAAGGGTTAATTCTGTGATGTTGGAAAGCAAAGGAAACCAACATGGTAGTTGTGTTAACTGACCTCGAAGGTTCATACTTTTCGTAAATATTGGTGGACTGGATAATGAATTGACAATGTTGAAGTTCATCGCGCCATCAGGTCGCCAAAGTAATAACGAGCGAAGGCTGCCGCTGAGCTTCTCAAGAGCAGAGATCAAGGATGCCCAGGTGCTGTCGTCATCAACAAACATCAGTACTCCAAGTTTCCTCAACCGGGATAGCTTCGACAACTCGCTGATATAATGTGATGTAGAGGTCGTGATTTCTACCTGTGCAAGTGTTGTAAGTGAATCCATTTTTCGAAGTTCGTTAGGGATATGTAAACCCCAGAACTCAGAAATAGGCCACCGCCCAGTGTGGTTATAGGATCTTCTTCCTCCAAGTAAGTTTGCTAAATGTGGAAGATTGGTTATGCCAGGAGGCAAATGCTTTATGGCTGTGTCCCTTATATCCAGAGTCTCCAACTTCTTCAGGTTTCCTATTTGTGCAGGGAGTTCCGTAATATGTGTTCTTCTCAGATTAAGGTATTCCAATTGAAACAGCCTGCACAAGTCTTTGAGATCTCTATTTCTCAGGAATTCGTAGCCTTCTAAGTCCAATATTCTCATTAATTTCATCCAACCAAACTGCAATGTTTCTCCATCGGCAAATATGCTCAAGGACCGGACATGGCATAATATTTCTCTTGTGGCAATATATTTCACACCTCTGCTATGAACAGTTAGCCGCCTTATCTTCTCTTGCGGAAACAAAGTGTTCTGTTCTCCTACTAGAGTGATAAAATTATCTTCAATTGACTTTGACACAATGATCTCCAACATCACATCATGAACTCGGAATGTTTTAACCTTCCCTGTAAAGCTAGTGGTCACTGGCTGAATAATGCTCCGGTTAATGAATTCATCAAAGTAGCTTTCTGCCACCTCAAAAACACTCAGTCCACGTTTGCCAGTCACAAAGCGTTCTGCTACCCATCGCCTGAGTATAGTTTTCCTTCTGATATTATGGTCCTCAGGGTAAATGCTTAAATATAAGAAGCAAGTCTTCAAGTGGTAAGGAAGATCATTATAGCTAAGCTCAAGTATTTTCTTCAATCTATCAAGTGATGGATTGGTTTCAATCTCTGAACCAAGAGAGCTATAAATCTTCTCCCAAAGATCTTTACTGTGCACAGGCTTGCTAGCCAAGAGGCCTGCTATACTGACTATGGATAAAGGTGTGCCACCACATTTTCCCAGAATCTTAGCTGAAATATCTTCTAAGTGCTCAGGACAAATTGAGCTGCCAAATATTCTTTTGAAGAATAAGTCTCTGGATTCACAATCAGTGAGAGGTTTGATTTCGTAAGCTCGGTCGTACTCATGGAAACAACAGGTGTGTGCTACAGCTCTGATTCGTGTAGTAACCACTATTCTGCTACCATTATTTGAGTCCGGCAAAGAAAACCGAATACCTTCCCATGCAGTCATGCTCCAGATATCATCAAGAACAATCAGATATCTCTTATTTTCCAATTGCTGCCTGAGGATGCTCGCAAGTTGTACCACATTCCATGCTTCCATGCCCTTGAGTAGGCCTTCCATGGGACCTTTGCCAGCTCCAGTTGATGGAGAACTCGGTTGATTAACTGGTTGAGTGATTTGGAGAAGAATATCTCTCATCAGAACCTTGACATCAAAACTCTGGGACACAGTTACAAAAGCTTGACATTGAAAAGGTCCATTTCTTCCAGATAGACTTTGATATGTTGTCATAGCAAGTGTTGTCTTGCCCAAACCACCAAAACCAAATATAGACACCACCCGTAATTGTTGCACATGTGCCTCCAATAACCAGTGCACAAGATTTCCCTGACGTGGTTCAATGCCAACAAGCTGCCTTCTCTCTGGAAAGAGTGCAGTAATGCGAGTATCAACATTTAAAAGATTAGCTTGGCTATCATATGCAGCCATGCTATTCCCAGCAGTTCCAGAGATGAGATGATTGGCACTATACCTGCATGCAAGAACAACTAAGTAAGTTTGCTGGGTGATGAAATCGTACTACAGAAGTAGAAAAGAGATTAAAAAAAACTGTATATGCTCAGAAACTGTACTTTATAGTAATACTACGGAGAAATTGCTAAAAGAAGAGGTTTCTTTTTGATGACATGGGTCATTCATGGGCAAATTGCACAACCGTGGCAACAACCAAACCTCTAAGACTAAAATACAACTGCAGATTGGTGCATAAAGCTTGCTCATACATGCAAAAGGACTGGAGGCGTAGATTAAATGCCCTAGTGATTTACAGTTGTTGCCTTGTTGGAACACTTGGAAGGAGTGGAACAGGCAAACTTTTCAAGACCAGAGCCTTCAGTCACAGGACATCGTCTATAAGAGCTTTTCTAGCTAGTTTGTACGTTTTTTGCTTTTGTGTTGCTCCTCCTTAAAGTTATATTTTATCCTCCTCTAATGCAATAGGCAGAGCACCTGCCTTTTCATTCAAGAAAAAGAAGACGACATGGGTCATTTCAAGAGTAGATACTTGAACCCATGATCTCCACCTTCACAACCATGTGCTCTACTAGGCTATATGGGTCTCCCCAAACGTTTTTGGCTTATCGGTGCAACATATTTTTCAACATATAATTTGTGGAAAGAATTCAAGTTCATAAGCAAATCTATTTACAGAAGGGACAACTATAGATAAACAAGAGAAACTTTGCTGCCTTTTGTACCAGATTGTTGGTGTCCTGCTAGCACCTAAAGCTATCAAAAAGCAAAACGGCAATAGTCCAGAATTTGAACCATCATTCGGGAAAAAGGGACAGAAATAGCACAGAAGTTACCTTGAATTTCGGGCACTGATATTCATAGTACGCCTTTTTAGTTCTTGGATTTGTTTGGCAATCTGATGCCTCACTCTGGTGGTCTGCAATATGTGGGTGGCCTTGCGGAAAAACACTACAGGGCCGCTGCCACCGGCACTACTGCTGTCACCAAGTTGATGTTTGAACTCATCAATACAATCCTCGATATCATATGCAATCTCACGCACATGCTTCTTCCAAATCTTAACTTGCTTGCCGCATTCATCTCTCCCAGAAAGGTCCTGAAGAAAGGCTGTCATGCTCTCCAGTTCATCCTTCAAGTGTTGCAGTTCACCCCGAATACCTCCCAGAAGCTGGGCTTCTTGGAGGACGATTGTGCCGAGCTTTCCCAAGAGAGTGTGGATCGCACCTTCCGCGGCACTAACAACAGCATGTTCCATCTATCTAGGATAGAAGATGAACAAAGAACCAGAAACAAGCTCTACCGCACTTCTGACCTCAAATGAAAGCTGGGAGAGAAAATACAAGCTTAGAGTCAGCAAAATGGGATTCACCTTTTGAATCCTTTCCACAGTCCAAAGTCAATAAAACTGTAGCCTACGTCACTTGAGTAGAAAATGGAGACTGTTTCCAGCTTTCTTTTGAAAAGGAGATTGTTTATAGCCTACTCAAAGATAACCTGATCAGTTGACTTTTGAGTTTTATATTGTTCAGGATGGAAGCTTTCTTGACGAAGTTAACTTAGTTTACTTATGAGTGTATTATTTTACTGTTTTCACTTTTCAATATAATTTGCACACAAATTATTATTGGGAGACAGTGCTGTAGTCATGTTTGACCAAAAACCTCAGAGTAGTGCTAATGAATCAAGCTCAAACTTGCAAATCTAAAATCTTCAAGCAACATAGCATGAATACATCTAAAGGAACCCTCAGATTATCATACCATGCATGACACTGCACAATGGTAATCTATCCAGCTTCTTGAATCATTATCAAAAGTTCAAAAACGAAGGCAAGAATGGACTATTTGCTATACTTCACTAAAAAAGAACTATTCCCTCCGTTTCATATTATAAGACGTTTAACTTTTTTGTTAGTCAAAATTCTTTAGGTTTGACCAAGTTTATAAAAAAAATAGCAACATCCACAACACCAAACTAATTTCACTAAATTTAACATTGAATATATTTTGTTACAATGTTTGCTTTGTATTGAAAATATTACTATATTTTGCTATAAACTCGGTCAAACTTGAAAATGTTTGACTAAGAAAAAAGTCAAACGACTTATAATATGAAATGGAGGGAGTATCTGCTATTCCTCCCACAAAGTCCTCACTATATGAGCAGGTCATCTATACAATTACCTTGTGGTAAAAAAAAGACCAAGCTCCTGAGATGATTATGATCAAGTATTATCTTAAACCTCTGTTAGAAGTCCATTCATCGCTCTTCTCCTCCTATCCCTTGTGGCCATCCTCTCACCATAAGTCAGAAAGATGTCCCCAAGATCAACATGCCCCACATCCTTCAACCTCCTTCCAACTTCCTCAAACATCGACACCCCATCCTCATTTGAAAAGTAGTACAAGAACTTGTTATAGTCGAACCTTGGCACATCCACTCCACCCCACATAGTCCTCTCCACAAACTTAGTTGCCTCCAATGTCCTCCCGGCCTTCACCAACCCACCAACAAAGATGCTCTCAAAGTTCACCAATGGATCCCTCCCCTTCCTTCCCCTCTTCCCCAAGTGCCCCTGAAGCAGCATAATGTATGTGTGCATGTTCGGCTCGCACCCCGTGGCAACCATCTCTCTGAAAACCTCCGTCGCTTCTCGAGCTCGCTTGATCCTGATCAATCCCTTCATCAACCCATGGTACAGTGCAATGTCCTTCTCCTTAACACCATGAAAAACCCTGTATCCTTCCCTCACCCTCCTCCTCACCAGCAGCCCATACACCAAATCCCCCATCACCTCTCCGTCCACCTCCACACCTCTCTTGAACATTTCGGCGAACACCATGTACGCGCCCCACATCCTCCCTTCCTTGCACAGCCACGACACCACTGCCCGGTAGCACCCGCCTCTGCCACCGTCTGAAACTCCCCTCCTCCGCATTCCGTCGAACACCTTCATGGCGTCCGCGACGCGGTTATTCTTGAACAGCGTCACCACGATCTCCTCGTACGCGGCGGCGCCCGGGTCGAGCCCGCGCCTCTCCATCCCGTTCCACACCCTGCACGCGTCAGAGAGCATCCCCGCGCGGCAGTATCCGACGACCAGAAGCTCGCAGCACCTCCCGGTCCGCGACACGCCGTACCGGTGCTCGGCCTGCTTGATCACCTTCTCGGCGACGTCGGGCAGCTTGCAGACGGAGCAAACGACGTCGGTGATGAAGTTGAGCGTGCGGGGCCTGTCGGCGTCCGGGAAGAGGGCGAGCAGGGAGGAGACCTTGCCGACCTCGCGGGCCGGGGCGAGGCCACGGATGGCGGCGCGGAGGGCGGCAAGGGAGCGGAGCGCAGGCGGGAAGGAGAGCAGGGTGGAGTGGAGCAGGTCGACGTTGCGGGACTTGGCGAGGACGTCGAGGAAGCGCGCGGCGGTGGCCGGGGAGTGCGCGAAGCCGTGGGCGGCGGTGAGGTGGTCGAGGAGGCGGCGCACGGGGCGCCAGGAGAGCGGGAACCGCGCGGAGGCCTGGAGGAAGAGCTCGCGGAGGTCGTCGGCCGCGGCGGAGGGGAGCGGCAGCGCGGAGAGGCGCCGCCGCAGCGCGTCCTCCGGGGCGTGCTGGTGCTGGTAGAGCACCGTGCAGAGGCGGAGCAGCAGCGACGGGTCGGTGGGGCGCCCCGGCGCGGGGGCGGGGGCGGGAGCGGCGGCAGCTTCCGCGGCGGTGGAGAGGAGGAGGCGGCGGCGGCGGCGGGAGAGTGGGAGGAGGAGGAGGAAGCGGGGCAGCGGCGGCAACGGCATGGATCAATGGAGGTGGCCGCCGTCACGCCGATTCGCGGTGGCGAGGTGGATGGCGCGACAAGATTGAGAAGGGGAAGCAGGCCGCAACAGAAGCGTAGGGAATTTGGGCTTTGTGGGCCGTGAGGTCGTCTTGATCTTCGCGGTGTATGAGAAATAAGATCACTTTGACTCCCTCAACTGACCACCGAATCTAAATCGTATCTCTCAACCGCAATACCAGAAATCTTGACTCCCCAAATTTACAAAACCGGTGCAATTCGACTCCCTGGGCGGTTTTAGGAGGCGGTTTTGCTGACGTGGCGCCACGTGGCGCCTACGTGGCAATATTGACCGAGTCTTCGTTCCACGTGGCGATGACGTGGCACCTACATGGCGGTAGAATTAAAAAATATGCGTGCGACCCATTAGTCATTCACACCAAAAAAGTGGGCCCACTGACATGTGGGGCCCACATGTCAGTCCTTCTTCCTCCTCCCTCTCTCCCTTCTCTCTCTCCCCTTCTTCCCTTCGACCAGTGGCGCCTCTCTCTTTCTCTCACCCTCTTCCCTTCGGGCGGCGACGGGTGGTGGAAGCGAGCGGCAGGCGGCGAGAGCGAGCGACGGCGGCACGCAAGTGAGGCCCGGAGCGGCGACGGCAGGATGGGCGAGCGAGCGGCGGCGGGAGGAGGCTGAGCGGGAGCTCTGGCCGCGTTCTCACCCTGCTTCACGATGGCGTTGAAGGCAACGCTGCCCTTGGCGTCGACGGTGAGCGCGAGGATCTCCGGGAAGGCCCCACCGTCGCCGAAGTCCTCCAGCCGCCGCGGCACGAACCCGCCACGCTTCCCGTACAGTGGCACGGGCTTGGCAGGGCCCGAAGGCTTCGGCCAGCAGCAGCCGACGCTGGTGCAGTGGCGACGGCGGGGCGGACGATGCTGGGGCAGTGGCGGTTGGCGGTGGCCGACGCGGGAGAAGCCGAGACGATGGCTCCTCCTACCGCGAGCGCGAGGCGGGTGGGAGGGCGGCCGGTGGCGGTCGATGTTAGGGGCGGCGGTGGCCGGCGATGGCCGACGCGGGAGAAGGGGACACGACGGCTCCTCCTACCGCGGGTGCGAGGTGGGAGAATGAGGGAGGGCGGCCGGCGGCGATGGCCGATGCTAGGGTGGCGATGGCGGCCGACGCTGGGGCGGCGGCGGCTCCGGCTTCGATTTCCTCCGCTCTCTCCTCCGCCGCATCCTTCCATCCTCCCCACCCGCCTCCCTCCATCCCTCCGTCTGCCTCCTCACCTCCGTCCGCCTTCCCGCGCGGGAGAGAAAGAGAGAGAAGGGAGAGAGAGAGGAGGAAGAAGGAAGGAGGACTGACATGTGGGCCCCACATGTCAGTGGGCCCACATTTCTTTTTGTGTGAATGACTAATGGGTCCCACGCATATTTTTTAGTTCTACCGCCACGTAGGTGCCACGTCATCGCCACGTGGAACGAAGACTCGGTCAATATTGCCACGTAGGCGCCATGTGGCACCACGTCAGCAAAACCGCCTCCCAAAACCGCCCAGGGAGTCAAATTGCACCGGTTTTGTAAGTTTGGGGAGTCAAGATTTCTGGTATTGCGGTTGAGGGATACGATTTAGATTCGGTGGTCAATTGAGGGAGTCAAGGTGATCTTATTCCGGTGTATGACGACGTCGTGGTTTGGGAAAAAGTCTACTTTACATCCCTCATCGTTCTAAACTGCAAAAAATTACAGATTTTTCCCCGGTTTCCGTTAACATGCTTTTCAAACTATTAAACGGTATGTTATGTGTGAAAACTTTCTACATAGAAGTTGCTATAAAAAATCAAATAAATCCATTTTTCAAGTTTTTAATAATTAAAACTCAAATAATCATATGCTAATGACTTGTCTTATTTTACGTGCGCACTTAATCTTCATCCTTCCATCATATTCGAACGGGGCTAGCTCCCTGAACCGCAATATCAGAAATCTTGATCTCCTAACTTGTAAAACTAGGTTAAATTAAGTCTTATGGTACTATATATATATATATATGGCTAGTTTTTGTTGACGTGGAGAGTTGATTGTAGTCAACATAGCTGAGTAGGCTTGAGCCCCCACATGTAAGGCTCCTATCTTCTTCCTCTAACATCTTTCTCGCCCCTCTTCTCCATCTCTAATTTCTCCACATCTCCCTTCTCTTTCTCCTGGCATAGGCCGTAAAAGGATTTGAAATTTGTTTTCTCTTATCCCATTTGTCATTTGCCAGTAACCTTTCACTTCTTCTGATTATATATATTGACGTTTGAAATTAGATTCAGTTAAATATTTATTTAAAAATAATAATAAACATATATTACTCCATAAATATGCAAGCATAATTATGACAAATTGCATAATTGCATAATAAAAAACAAAAATCAAACATGGCTGTGATCACACATATGCTATTTTGTTACAATTTATGGAGATCGAATTTGTGTATGAAGTTATATATCTCATATCAATATATCTTATTATTTTTAAAAAATATATATATATATTAATAGTTATTTAATAACATGTAAGAACAACGGGATATCCCCTCGAATTATTAGAATCCATGTCCGCCGTATACATAAGACAAATATCATATTCGCCAACACACCTTTCTTTGTGGGACAAACAATTAAGCTATGATAGATGTTTAGGGAAGTACTTAGATGCAAACTATACTCATCCAAATAAACATACATAAGTAGGTCCGGTACACCGATCTATCAAAGAAACAAAGCAGTACAATATACACCACCATACGTACATATATATCCATATATACAACGCGCTAAACAAATGCTGAAACATCATACTCCCTCCGTCCCATAATCCGGTTCTAGGTTGGTTTTTCATGGGACGGAGGGAGTACTCCTCTAGCGGAAACTAATACTACAAATCATCAATGAGAAAGATACTGTATATAGCAAGCACATCATGGATCATGCCATCATCGATACATATGTATATATACCAGTCTATAGAACTGTACACACATATATACGTACGTAGAATCATAACGTATTTATCTTATAGATATATAACGTATTTGGCAATGCGATGAGTATAAAAAAAATATAGATTGGCTAGGTGGAGTGTGCTCTGCAAGCCAAAGAAATGTGGGGGGCTAGGAATCCAGGACTTAGAGACTCAAAATAAGTGTATGCTTAGTAAATGGATCTTTAAGTTAATTAATGAATAGGGAGTGTGGCAGAATTTGTTGAGGAAAAAATACTTGGTAAGGAAATCCATTTTTCAGGTCCAAAAACAACCGGGGGATTCTCATTTTTGGGCTAGCCTTATGGCAGCAAAAGAACCCTTCCAGACACTTGGCCACTTCACAGTGAATAATGGGAAACAAGTAAGATTCTGGGAGGACCGATGGTTGGGAAACCAACCCCTTCATTTGGAATTTCCAACCTTGTATAGCTTGGTTAGAAATAAAAACTTAGTAGTGGCCGATGTGTTAGGAAGGGTCCCTTTGAATGTCTCTTTTAGAAGAGCAATTGTAGGGAAAAACTTGGAAGATTGGCTTGAAATTGTTTCAAAGGTGGTGAGTATCAATTTGAATGATAAGCAAGACCAATTCTTTTGCAAGAGCAATAAAAAAAAGGGTTGTTTTATGTTAACTCCATGTATAAAACCCTTATGCTTAATGGTGTAATACCTGGGAAATCTTTAATTTGGAAGCTAAGGATTCCTTTAAAAATTAAAATTTTCCTTTGGTATATTGAAAAGGGGGTGATTCTAACAAAAGATAATCTTGCTAAAAGAAGATGGAAGGGTAGCTTGCTTTGTAGCTTTTGTAACTCTAATGAGTCAATTCAACCTCTCTTCTTTGATTGCATAATGGCTAGATACATTTGGAATGCGATCTATCTTACTTTTGGAGTCAAGCAACCCCGTAATAGTTCACACTTGTTTGAAAATTGGTTAAGAGGTTTTGAACCTAAGCTTAAAAGACAAACTTGGGTGGGTATAGCAGCGATTTGTTGGGCTTTGTGGCTCAATATAAATGAATTATAGTCTTTAATGGCTACAACCACGTATTTTTCTTACAGGTAATTTTCAAAGTAACTCAGTTGTCAAGGCTTTGGTCTTTGCTTCTTAAGGAAGACGAAGGCATTGAAGTAATCGCGAAGTGCAAGCTTTTAGAGAAGTGTATGATGGAGCTGATCTTCTCTACTTTTGGGTGGAACTTTAGAAGAATGATGGAAGCTTAGCTTTTAGTTCCTCTTGCTTGTTATCCATCTTTAAAACTTATTTATGTTTTACCCATGTAACGGGAGAGTCTTATAGTCTTGTGTACTCGTGTTTGTTACTTTTAGGCTGTGTACATCCTCACAAGGTGTAGAGGCCAGGTTTTTTATAATCCATTGTCTAAAAAAAAAATACTGTGTGTGTATGTACGATCATGGCTGCTTGGTCTCCGGCTCCGGGTCGTGAACCTCGTGCTCCGGCGGCAGCTCCGCCGTGGGCAATGGCGGCAGCTCAGGCTTCGGTGGCAGCCCGTGCTTTGGGAACCCCGGCACGGCCGGGTAGTGCGGCAGCTCCGGCACGACGGGGTGCGGCAGCATCTCCGGCACGACGGGGTGCGGCGGCAGCTCAGGCTTGGGCAACGGTGGCAGCTCCGGCACGGCGGGGTGCGGCGGCAGCTCCGGCACGACGGGGCGAGGAAGCTCAGGGAGCGGCGGCGGCAGCTCGGGCTTTGGAAGCTCCGGCAGCTCGGGGTGCGGCGGCAGCTCGGGCACGGCGGGGAAGTGCGGCGCCTTCTCCTCGAGGTGCCTCGCCGTGCTGCCCATGGCGCCGCACGAGAGCAGCAGCGCCGCCATGAGCAACAGAGCCGACGACGACGACGACGACGACGACATGGCGTTCCTGCTAAGCTTCTGATGATCTGATCTAGCTAAGCTAAGCTAGTTCTTCTTCCTCGCAGCCAGGGATCGATGACTAGAACACAAGGGAAACCTGGTACTTATAGCATGAACAGTGAAGTGCAGATGATATCATATCATATCTAACCAGGGGTCCGTTGCCATTTTCAACCTTACCGAATTTTGGTAAAGTTACCCAAAAAAAATGGCTACATTTAGTTTGCTGTCAAATTTTGGTAACTATATAAGAAATCCTACCAAAATTTTAGCAAGTCGCCAAAATTTTGGTAACTACACCAAAATTTTGATAATACCAAAATTAGGTAAGGTTGAAAATGGCATCAAAGTGAACATGCCCCAGATCTTGATGCGTACGTGTTGTTTGGTACATGGCAGGTGAACTGCTGCTGCATCACACATCTCTGATCCTTCTGGTTTCCTGAATGCGTGTTCGAACTCTCCTGATCTCTATCTGTTCCTTCGTGTTATGGTTCAGTTAGTTGGGAATTCCGAGGATTGTTCAGAGAGAGATCAGTGATCACCTAATCGCTAGCTGCCTAGCTGCGTATATGCACCGGCAAACAGGTGTGCAAACAGCAGAGTCATTGCGGGCAACACGTGTTTCACCGCGAGATGTTTATGAATTATGCTGCTGTTTGGCCACCTGAAAATGCCTGAACTCTGAACCATCCCGGTCCATGGTGACGAACTGCTTGACTTGCTGGTTACAAATCTAGTTGAAAACGACCATTGTTGTACAATCCGTACACGGCAACTTGCTTAATGTTGCAGGTTGCCGTGTTGATATAGGCCGATTTTCAAACGGCTTACGTTAGAAGACCTATAGAATATACACGGCACTGTGAGTACATGACTAACGTGGGTATTCAGTTGACAATCAGGTGCAGTGCAGGTAAGCAGCAGCTATGTGCAGAGTAGGTAGCACATCTTAATTTCTTAATTAATTAATTTTTCTCCATATTTTAGATAAATATAGGTTCCTCGATGTACTTGCTCAATAACTATAAATGTTTTGATAAAATTAGAACAAATTTGCCTTGTTTGTTATGCCTTAATAAATGATGATTGCTAGGGGACGGCATTCCGCCCATTCGACATGATACTTTACGAAGGTGATGTCATCCGCACCTCCGCTTTATCCTCGCAAGTCTACGACTCCGTCCCACCCCACGCCACGTGCTCATGGCTCACACCTTGAGCAGAACCATTGGTCGACGGAGGAGCATGGTGAGGCGAATGCATCGGCGCCAATGCCTAGGATGCTAGGAGGTGTCGACACACATGGCAACGCTAGCCACAGCAACACTAGGGAAGGAAAGACCAGAGCCAAGGAGAGGCGTTGAATGGAGAAAAGACATTAGTGGGAAACGGTTCGCCAGCCAGCCAAGCAGCGATGGCGAGTGTCCTACTGATCAGGCACCAATGGTTATAAGATGGTATCGGTGCCCGAGGTACCATGCCTGATATCTGTGCATACCAGCCATGATACCACGAGTATCAGACTTGGCACCTATCGGTATCAAGCGAGAATTACACGCTGCACAGTGTACCTACACACAATATTGACGAGCAGCACGATGGATTGGCAAACAGCACAAGCTGCCAATCGAAGCTCTAGATCTAGCACCTTCGTCAGCCTTTCCCTCCATCACCATCGGTACCAGCCTTGAAGGAAGACTCACACCAGACACCGTCCTCCCTGATGGCTTGTATGGAGAAGGAGGCCATGAAGCCAGCGTCGTCCATCGCCTCATCGCCAACATGCACTCAGAATGGATCTAGCAATGAGAATGGCCTAGGCCTCCAGATCTAGTGACAGAAAGAGGAAATGGTGGTCGGCGAGAGGGGGGAGCAGCGATGTGCTATTTTTGCCAGCACGAGCAAGGAGGAAGAGAAGAGGGCAGAGGGAGGATGTGAGGAGGAGGGTGGCGGCGGACGTATGGGTGTGTGGCTCACAAAGATCAACGAGTGGATGGGAAGCACTTAGGGTGGATGGAGAGCATTAATTAAGTATCTCGTCCCTAACTCCCTAGATGGGATACCATATCGTAGTTTTTCTGTTAATAAATAGATGCACTAGGAGCACTACCATTTTTTCAGGAAGAATAATAGGCATCTTGTTATCCTGATTCACTCTGATTCTGGTATATATATTTACAAAATTCAATAGACTAGGATATATTATTCATAAAATCCGACGGATGTAGATTATTTGACTTTTTATGTGGATTATCTGATAGATTTGCCTTTTTGATATAGGATATGGTATTGATAAAATTCGACGGATGTAGATTATACGACGTTTTATGAGTATTATTGCTTCGGGATAATCCAACAAAGGCTGATTCTATCATGTAGGGAGCCAAATAGTTTGATGCACATCGTCTCTTGCTCTTTTTCAAATGGAAAAGCTTGTTAGAGCATAATCCAACTTATCAACTATGGGCCACCGAGATCACATTAGGCCTGCGCTCCAATAGAAGTCACAACTTTATGTTTTGGACCTACACAATCCAAAAAGACTAAACTGGTAGGTGTGAATCTTTCTCACCTTTTAAGTTATGTTTCTCCACCATCAATTTTCGATGTAGGACTAAATCTAACAGTTGTCCCATACGGGGCTAGTAGTACCTAGGCTAGACGGTCAGTGTGGCATAATCTATTCTTGCACACAAAGACCTGCTGTAACTGGCATTCTTAATAATTTTTTTAAGACTAGAAAACAAGTATATATTGTAAAGCACATAATAATGCATACCACAAATAAGCAATATTATAGGAAGATAGCTATTTTATTGATTTATGAAGCATGTATGATACAAGTGTAGATCGTGTGTGCACACACATAAATCAGCACATACGATAACACAATAACTCATCCAAGAACAAAGAAAGCTGCCACAAAACAAAACACAACAACAACGTACATCATCTCACACACTCACACAGCTAGCTAGATCATCACTGAAAATATCTTAGGCAAACATCGATCAAAGCTTACACATGAACATACACACATACAGCAACACGTAGTAATTTCAGGATACGATACGACCGGCCGATCGATCGATCTCTGGATCGATCATGGCTTCTCGGGATAATGGCTCTCAGGCTTGGGCGGCTGTTCATGCTCTGGCACGGTGGGATGCGGCACCTCGGGCTTCGGCAACTCCGGCACCACAGGGTGTGGCACCTCAGGCTTTGGCAACTCCGGCACGACGGGGTGTGGTGGCTCTTCGTGTTTCGGCAACTCCGGCACAGCAGGGTGAGGCACCTCGGGCTTCGGCAGCTCCGGCACGACGGGGTGCGGTGGCTCTTCGTGTTTCGGCAACTCCGGCACGACGGGGTGTGGTGGCTCTTCGTGTTTCGGCAACTCCGGCACGGCAGGGTGAGGCACCTCGGGCTTTGGCAGCTCCGGCACGACGGGGTGCGGTGGCTCTTCGTGCTTGGGCAGCTCCGGCACGGCGGGGTGCGGCGGCGGCAGTTCAGGCTTCGGAAGCTCCGGCACGGCGGGGTGTGGGTGTGGCGGTGGTTCTTCGTGCTTTGGCAGCTCCGGCACGACGGGGTGCGGCGGCAGCTCAGGCTTGGGAAGCTCCGGCACGGCGGGGTGCGCCGCCGGGTACTCCACCTCCAGGCGTCGTGCAGCGTTGCCCATGGTGCTGCACGAGAGCAGCAGCGCCACGAGGAAGAGAAGAACCGAGGAAGACATGGTGTTCTCAAGCTCTCAGTGGCTTCTATCTCTATATCTTTTAGTGTGAGCTAGCTAAGCACTCTGTGATGGCTGGGAGAAAGGCAAGCAAGCCAGATATTTATACTGCTAAACTGCACCTTACTTAAGCAGTTAAGCTACTAATGCATGATTATATTTGATTACAGTGAGCCTGCTGATTAATTACTGGTAGGTACGTAGGTGATCTGCACCCCTTTTTGGTTGTTTGACTTGTTTCGATTTAGTCAGTCAGTGACTCAGTGTGTGATCTCCCCTTATCTTTGATTGTGTATGCATGGTTTGATTAATTAGTTGGGAAAAATTGAGACCCAAGAAATTTGGTTGGTGAATGCTATAGAAACCTAGAACGGACGGTGTCCTTGTGGGTACTTGTGTGGCCACATGATATGAGGGTAGTGGGAAGTAAGTGAATCGTGCATGACAAGGACAGAGTACTACATGCATATAATTCCTACGTCGCAAAGTAAACCAAACTCGTACGAGATAAGATAGATGAAGTATATATTATCTTTCCAAAAAAAATAAAAAAGAGAGTAGCATATATATTAGCTATACATCGTACAGCCAATGCTGACAAATTAATGCTTAGCTTTTCCAGTTGTAAGAAAAGATATGAATATACTGCTTTTAAACCGCTACTACATATGGCATACATGTGAGAACAATTTAGATTTAAATTTGAAAACTAAAACATAAACTTTAAATTGTATGTGTATAAGTATTAATGTGTTCTATATGTTGAGTCGATGAAAAATTATGCGTTATTAGTCATGCATGCCAATATTGAAATCTAAATTTAATATTAAACCCGGTAAAGTTTAGTCAAATCTATGTTAAATATCAAACATTTATGATTGTAGGGAGTATATGTTTCGTTGGGCCTGCTTGATTACTCAAAGTTTTATTTTTGATCCTTAATTGACAAAGTACGGGAGATGTGCTGCATTTTCTACCGTTAACTTAAAAGCACGGTATATATTTAGATATCTTCTCAGGGAAGGTAAAAAAAAACCATTCTTACTCGTAATTAATTAAGTCGTTGAAGAATTCAGTTTCACACATCTCTTGTTCATATTCAAATTCCTATATATGGTAAAGTAGAAGTTGTTGGCCCACAGTGTTATAGTAACTGAAAAAAATGTCCTATGCACATAAGCTTTGCGCATAGGTATAACACTAATGAAAGTATATACACATTATTTTTCTAGAATTTTTTATGATATTTGTTAGTTAGTGTGCATAGTGAGTGCATAATATGCATAATTCATTCTTACACACAAAGACCTATTGTTACTGTGCATTTTCAATCATTTTTTTAAGAAACTAAAAACAACTATTTTTCCTGAAGCATATTATGCAGTCTGCAAATAAATTGTAGGCAAATAACTATTTACTGATTTATATAATACTAGAAACATAATTCAAACATAAATTAATGAAGCATATATGGTACATGGGTAGATGATGTGTGCATAGATATAAGCGTAGCACACGCAAGTACATCCTCCAAGAACAAGAACAACTGGATGGCTGAAACATCAAGCATCACTCACACATTCCTAGCAAACACCACAGTTTACATGATCATATCATACACACATATACAAATAAACCCATGATTATTCAGGATGCGATATGATGGGCCCGATCAATAATCTCTGCATCGCCATCCGATCATGGCTTGGCCATCGGCACCTCGGGGTAATGGCTCTCAGGCTTCGGCGGCTGTTCATGCTCCGGCACCTCGGGGTGGTGCGGCTCTTCAGGCTTCGGCAGCTCCGGCACGACGGGGTGCGGCGGCTCCTCGTGCTTGGGCAGCTCCGGCACGACAGGGTGCGGCGGCTCTTCGTGCTTAGGCAGCTCCGGCACGGCGGGGTGTGGCGGCAGCTCAGGTTTGGGCAACTCCGGCACGGCGGCGTGTGGCACCTCCGGCTTTGGCAGCTCCGGCACGACGGGGTGTGGCGGCTCCTCGTGCTTGGGAAGCTCCGGCACGGCTGGGTGCGGTATCTCCGGCACAGCTGGGTGTGGCAGCTCCGGCACGGCAGGGTGTGGTGGCTCCTCGTGCTTGGGAAACTCCGGCACGACGGCAGGGTGCGGCGGCTCTTCGTGCTTGGGCAACTCCGGCACGACGGCGGGGTGTGGTGGCTCTTCGTGCTTTGGCAACTCCGGCACGACGGGGTGTGGCGGCAGCTCAGGTTTGGGAAGCTCCGGTACGACGGGGTGAGGCGGCTCTTCGTGCTTGGGCAACTCCGGCACGACGGGGTGCGGCGGCTCCTCATGCTTGGGCAGCTCCGGCACGGCGGGGTGCGGCGGCACCTCCGGCTTGGGTAACTCCGGCACGGTGGGGTGCGGCGGGTACTCCTCCTCGAGCCACCGTGCCGCGCTGCTCATGGAGCTGGACGAGAGCAGCAGCAGCGCGGCGAGGAAGAGAACCGAGGAAGACATGGCGTTCTTCTTAAAGACCATGCTGGCTTAGCTAGCTATGCTACCTCACTGTGTGAGCTAGTGTGCTTTGATGGTTTGGAGAAGGCAGGCAAGCCTGGTATTTATAGTGCTAAACTGAACATTAATCAAGATCAATAAATTAATTAATGCATGATTAATTACAGGAGCTAGCCTGCTGATGTGTTGATTAATTACTTGTAGGTAGGTGAACTGCACTCCATTGGTTGTTCGACCTGTTTCGATGTGTGAGTGTGATCTCCCCTGAGCCCTGATCTATCTCTGTTGGCATGCCATCTTTGTTTGTGTGTTTATGCATGGTTTAGTAAGTTGGGAAAAAATGAGACGCAAGTGAGATTGGTTGGTGAATGCAGTATCTAGAATTGTGTCCTTGCGTGGCCACATGATATTGCAGAGTAAGTGAAGCCGTGCATGACAAAGACTAACCAAGCACTATATTATCTTCCAAAAAAATTTGACAAAGTTCTTTTTAAGACAACAAATAGTAGTATATATATTAGCTGTACGTTGCAGGTAATGCTGGCGAAATGCTTAGCTTTGCCGTTTGTAAGCAGAGATATGAATATCGGCGGTAATTAACCGGCCGGTTACCGCTGATCATGAGCCGGTACCGGCTGACATCTGACATAACAAGGCAGAACAATCTAGATTTAAATCGGGAGAATAGCTAATATGGTCTCTAAAGTTTTGCTCCTGGGTTATTTTAGTCCTTAATCTTTTATATTGTCCAAACAAATCCTTTAAATTTGTCATGTGGGCTAATATAGTCCTTGGTCCCACCAAAATCGCCACATGGATATGCCATGTCACCTTCCTATGCAAGATCTATATGATTTGTCTAATTTACCCTTACGCATAGGAAAATAAAAAACAAAAGGAAAAAGTTAAAAAAATATATGGTATGTGTAAGAGTAAAAATATACCTCAAAAGGGTGAAAAAAGAAGTATTTTTTTTCTATGGTTATGTCTAATTCATCCTTATATTTATTTTTCTATGATATACGTAAGGGTAAATTGGACAATTCATTATAGATTTTGCATGAATGATGACATGGCATATCCATATGATGATTTTGGTGGACCCAATGACTATTCTATGCTTTATGACAAAGGTTAAGGATTTCTTTGGACCATTTAAAAGGTTAGGGATTAAACTGATCCTACAGAGAAACTTTATTTTTTTTGAACGGAAAAAGGGCACAAGATTGTGCCTTTTCATTGAATATAGAAGGAGAAAATACAACCCCTAAGGGTAAAGCAAAAAAGACTTTAAGCTATAAACTATACAATGCGTGGGACGAATTCGCGCAACCTTTTTGCCCCTGCTAAGGCCCACAGGCCAGCCTCCTCTTTTATTTTTGCTAGGAGAAGGCCTACCGCCATCTCTTTGTGATCGAAAATCCGCCGATTTCTCTCCTTCCAGATTTCCCGGACTACTAGTAGGATGAGGGACCGAAGGCCCTTTTTTGGGATGTTGGGAGTATTTGCTAGGCTTTCCCACCATTGGCGGACTGACCGGGCTTCCTCCCACTGGGACGGCTCCAATTGATGATATCCCACCCATCCGGCAACGTGGTGCCAGATTCTCTTTGTGTATCTGCATGTGGCGACAAGATGCAATCCCGTCTTAGCTTCGCAACGACAGAGGGGGCAATGGCCGTTGTTCTGCCAACCTCTTATTGCAAGTCGGTCGGACGTCCAGACTCTATTCTGGATGATGAGCCATGCATGGAATTTGCATTTCCCCGGGGCCCATGCTTTCCAAATCAAAGAGTTGAGGTTTGTACTTGGCGCCCCCAAGCACTGTGCATGATAGGCCGAAGAGGCTGTATAATGGCCATTGCATGTGAATTTCCATACAATCTGATCCGGCTCTTCACTAACTTACTGCACATTTCGGACCGCTTTCCTACAGAGAAACTTTAGGGACTAAAGTAGCTATTCTCCCATTTAAATCTTAAATTTGAAACTCCACTTTGAAATTGTATATGTGTAAGTACATTAACGTGTTTTATATGCTGCTGGATCTATGGATAAAAAAATATGCGGTAGTCATTCCAATGTTTAAAACCAAAATTTTTAAGCGATTATGTGTTCTGCCCTTTTCAAGTCGGTGAGGCCATTCTCTTAAGCAACTTACTTTGTTCTTACTTCAACACCAAACTTTATAATACAATGACAGGCAGAGATTTTTGTGTTCGTGGAGAATGGACAACGTTAGATTCGCAGCGTGGTAGTTGTTGAGTAGTTGGGTTATTTGCTCTGATTTTCATCACTTTTTTAGAAAAAATCTTTTAAGCGGAAATATTGCATGACCTTTTTAAGTATTTTCAACTGGAGGGTATACCCAATACTGTAAATCTTTTATACTAGGTTTGTTTTGCTCGAGAAATGTATAGGGATCTTCCGGCTAGCTTCATAGGGTGGTGGGCTAGACGACCTCCTAATTATTTAATATTAAATTATTCCCTAATATTCGCGTCTTTTAGGTTTGTTTTGCTCTTGAAACTGGTAACTTTTAGTTTTGAGGAAAAATACATTTTTTTTTTGTTTCGGAGATTGTGTTCATATGATTGGACTTCAAAGCCGGTAGTCAATTCTTACGTTTGCTAGAAGTCAGACAAGAGCCAACAAAGAGAGCAACAAAGAGAGCAACTAAACGGCAACTAACTATCAAATTAACATCCGTGTAATAAACGGCTATATATGCACCAAAGGAGAAACATAGACTTCTAGAAATTAATCCAAACACCAGATAATGAAAGTAAGATCTTACCATTTCAGTCATGAAAATGTGCCATTTTGAATATCTGGTTCGGTCTTTATGTACAGATTTAACCGTTAATTTCTATTTCAAAATATTTTTAAAAAATCTCATAAACTCATAATTGTATGAATTTTTTTTATTTTCATACATCAACCTAAGAGTTGTTTTTTTATCTAATCAAACAAACTCATAGTTTGAAGTGTGAGAACAAAAAAAAAATACTTTGGTGAACAGTGGTGTTTTTTTTTTGACACCTTGGTGAACAGTGGTGTTGGGCTAGGCTCACGGGAGAGGAGATACGTCAGAAAACTGAAAAACGGGGTTCTTTTGTGGCCAGAAAAATATATTTTATTGACGTGAAACATGCATGATACCTCCTCTGTTCCTAAGTATTTGTCACGATATATTTATTATCACCGTTAAAACTTTAACTAGTACTACCTCCGTTTCAAGTTATAAGACGTTTTCACTTTGATCAAAGTCAAACTGCTTTAAATTTGACTAAGTTTGTAGAAAAAAATAATGATATTATCAACCCAAGACAAATTTATTATGAAAATATATTGAATTATTGATTTAATAAAACTAATTTGATATTATAAATATTATTATATGTCTATAAACTTAGTCAAATTTAAATTAGTCAATGACCAAAGTCAAAACGTTTTATAATCTGAAATGGAGGGAGTAATATTTTTAAATAGACAGGCTATTATTAACGAAAGAGTAATGTTTATTACTCCCTCCGTTCCAAAATATAGGTATTTTTGGACCCTGACACAGGCTCCGAGATACTACTTTGACCAACAATATCTATAAAAATAAGATGTTTTAAATAAAAATTAAGAGTTGTATATTATAATAGTTTGTTTATTAATAAATATAGTAACATCAATTTTACATGATTGATCTTTTTTTTAATTATTATTGGTTAAAGTTAAAAATGTTTGACTTGTCACTATGCTAAAATGTTTATATTTTGATACGGACTGAGTAGTATATAACTTATATTTTCATAATGTATCATCCTTTTACGTATTTGTCGTTTTTTTTAAAAAGAAGATACGAATGGTCAAAGTTGAAATATGAATAATAACTGATGACAAGTACTTGGGAACGGATAGGAAGTACACAACATCAGCCATCAGCCAGCTGAATCTCTGAATACAACAACGAGAGTACGAAACTCTGAAACATCACGATCCTACTATATCACATCACACCAGCCGGGGCTCACCACGAACAAGATCACACGCAAAACGTCCTACACTTCGCACACCCACGCGAATTTGATTCAGATCACTGACTGCCACACGCCTGCACGGGGTGTAATCTGATCGTCATTTTTCATGGCTTGGCCTCCGGCTCCGGGAAGTGGAACTCGGGCTTCGGCGGCAACTCGAACTTGGGCAATGGCGGCAGCTCAGCCTTGGGAATCTCCGGCACCTCCGGCTTGGGCAGCTCCGGCACGGCGAGGTGCGGCACCTCGGGGATCTTCGGCAGCTCCGGTTTCGGCAACTCCGGCACGACGGGGTGAGGCAGCTCAGGCACCTTGGGCAGCTCCGGCAGTTCAGGCTTTGGTATCTCCGGCACGGCGGGGTGTGCCGGGTGCTCCTCCTCCTCCGCCGCCGCCGCCGCCGGCGCAGCCTCCTCCAGATACCTCGCCGCGCCGCCGATGGAGCTGCACGAGAGCAGCAGCAGCGCTGCCGCAAGGAGGAGAATGGATGGCTTGGTATGGCTGGAAGCCATGTCGAACGGTTTGCACTTAACTTAGCTGATGAACTCTGGGTGAGTGTGTCAGTGAGAGGTTACTAGGCACTAGCTGATGATCACTTGATCAGTCTGTGTGAAGATGGCTGGGTGAGAAACTAAGAAGACGATGCTGGCATTTATAGTGATGAATGGGAGCTTAGATGCATCATCAATTTGCAGGAGTCTCTGATCTTTGGTGGCTGGCAGCAGTGGCAGGTGATCTGTATTTTGGTGGTTGTTTACTATGGTCTGTGTCTCTGATCTCTGATGATTTCAGTTTCATGTACTATGGTTTAGTTGGTTGGGATTATTGAGACCCTGAATCGTTTGGTTGGTGAAAATGCAAGACCATCTATGTCTAGTTTAGGAGTGTATATACACCTGCACTAAGGACCTCAGGACTACAGCTGGGAATGAAGCAATGCTGACAACATGTTTGATTGTTTGGTTTTGGTTGTTCTGAAGTGTTGAAAATGGACAGTGTCATAGATATTTTTGCAAGGCTTCCTTTTTAATGCTCATTCAACAAATTTCCAAATGAAGTAGATAGTTAACACTTCAATTAAATGCTGATATGAGTATGTTCAGTAGCAAGCAAGTTTAGCTTACATACAATCCAGTTTTATAAATTTGGATATGAGTAATGCTACTAATATTTAGGTTGAACACTTTCTTTGAAAAAAAAAAGATTCAGGCTGAAGATTTGAAGATTATATGTGTTTATTTGTATTGAAAATACTAGCTTAACAAATCTTGCTTTAAGAATAAAAAAAACTCTCAACTCCCAAGCACGGTCAGTACTACAAAACCATGTCATAAGTTTGGGTGCATAATTCGCATGTCATATTTCCATGAATTTTTACAACAAACAGTTAAGTTTCCTACAACAATACACAATAGAAAAAATTCCTCCAAACAGAGCTTTGAACTTGGCTTGCAAATTAAATTGTATTGGTAGTCATTTGGATGTAATCAGGACCTGGTCCTAGGACTAAGGGCTTGTTTGCTTGCTGCCCTCAGATTCGCGCCTGGCTCAGGCGTCGATGTCAGGCGTTCGATTTCGGTCGCCTGCGGTCGGATCGACCTGCCTGAGCAACGGTCTCCAGGCGAGGGCAGCAACCAAACAGCCCCTAAAAGCCCATGTCGATTTTTTGAGGTCCCTTAACTACAAAATCAGAAATGTGTACCCCAAAACTCTCTAAAACCGTTCACCGGAGGTCCCTCGGCAGTATTTTTACCCGGTTTTGCTGACGTGGCATCCTAGTCAGCAAAAAAATTAAAAAAAATACATGGGACCCACATGTCAGCTGCACATCTTTTTTTTTTCTTCTCTTTTCTTCTTCTCCTCTTCTCTCTTCAGCGAGCGCGGCAGCCACAGGCAGAGCGGCGTGACGGGGTTCTCCTCCGTGGAGGCGACGAGCACGGCCGCGGCGGTGACGGCAGGTTCCCAGACCCGGAGCCAGCGCGTTCAGCCGGAGCAGCGGCTGCTACACCGACGCCGCATTCTCCGCCGCGCGCTCCTCGCCGCCGCCCAGATGCTGCTGCTGCGCCTGCGTCGCCGCCGGGCTCACCGTCAGCTTCTCCTTGATCGCTCCCGTCAATAAAAATGTGGACATCATTATTGATTGCTAGGAGCACTACGTGCTTGCAGACGGCGAACGGCACGACGGCGCCGGCGAAGCCCGCCGGGGCCGGGCCGCAGCTGAAGCTGCTGGTGGACAAGCGCTCGCGTCGCGTACGTGCTGTACGCGGAGGCGCGCAAGGACGCGGTGGACTTCCTCATCGGCCTCCTCCGCGTTCGTCTCATTCGTCGAGGCCGACGCCGACGTCTCGCTGGAGGAGTTCGGTGACTCGCTGTGCCCGCCAATCCCTTGCGCCGGCGAACTCTTGACCCTGCCGGATAGCAACTCCGCCGTCGTCACCGACCGGCCACTGCTCTAAGTGCAGGTACGTACGTCGTCATAAAACTTAAACTTTGCAAATTTTGCACCATTTGTATTGTACGTGATCTACGTGTTCATGATGCCATGCATGTAGGTGACGAGGCTGAGGTGTGGCGGCTTCGTGTTCGGCACCCAGATCTGCCACAACCTCGTCGACGCGGCCGGGATCACGCAGTTCTTGCAGGCCGTCGGTGAGCTCGCGGAAGGCGCGGAGCGTCCGGCCGGTGTGAGCGAGGGAGCCCCTCGACGCGCCACCCGCCGCGTCCGGCGTACGACCACCCCGAGTACGAGCCGGCGTCCGACGAGGCCAGCGACAGGCTCCGTCCAGGAGACGAGCTCGTGCACCGCAGGGTCCTCTTCGGCCCCGACGACGTCGCCGCGCTGCGCGACCAGCTCCCCACGCGCCTCGGCCGCGGTGCTCGCGCTTCCTTCTCCTCGAGTCCCCGGGCCCAGACCGCCGCTTTCCGCTGCCTACAGCTGCCGACGCCGCCCTTCCGCCTGCTCCGGCCACGCGCCGCCGCCCGCTGCCGCTCGCCCGCCGCTTGTCGCCGGCTCGCCGCTGCAGCCGCGCTCTCCCACTGACGCCGCCCCTCCACCTGCTCCAGCCGCGCTCGCCCACTGCTTGCCGCGTCGGCGTCGTCAACCGTTGGCTCCGGGTCTGGGAACCTGTCGTCGCCGCCGCGGCCGTGCTCGTCGCCTCCACAGAGGAGAACCCCGTCACGCCGCTCCGCCCGTGGCTGCCGCGCTTGCTGAAGAGAGAATCAGAGAAGAGAGTAGAGAAGAAGAAAAGAGAAGGAAAAAAAAGTACAGCTGACATGTGGGCCCCATATAATTTTTAAATTTTTTTTTACTGACTAGGATGCCACGTCACCAAAACCGGGCAAAAATACTGCCAACGGACCTTCGGTGAATGGTTTAAGAGAGTTTAAGGATATACATTTCTGGTTTCGTAGTTAAGGGACCTTAAAAAATCTCGCTATTCAGTCGAGGGGCCTCTGGTGACCTTATTCCTAAATCTATTTAGAACAAGTGCCTAAACTAAAAATGCAATGGAAGAAAATTCTCTGATAAATAGTATTTTTTAAGAAGCGTGGAGAAAATAATCCGTGGTAACGATTCGGTCAATACGCAGAAAATAACGGGGTGCACAGTTTTCTTGTAATTAATCCATTCTCATAATCTCATTCTGTTCCTTGGAATAAACATTGTGAGTTATTAGCAAACCAGGGAGCATATATACATTATAAACTATCAAAACTCGAACTGCAGACTCAAAGAAAACTCTCCATTATATTGATTTGTACATGAATATAAACACAACTCCATGGTTAACCTGTAATCATGTACTGATACAAGCCAGTGTAGATAGTGAATACAGAATACGTAAACAGTGAACCATCGCAAATAAAAACCACACACAAGTATTATTCAGTACAGATAAAATGGCGCGCGCGCTATACGCGGATGCTCTATCTGATCGCTCGTTCATCATGGCTTGGCCTCCGGCTCCGGGAAGTGGAACTCAGGCTTGGGCAATGGCGGCAGCTCGACCTTGGGCAACGATGGCAGCTCAGGCTTCGGGAGCTCCGGCACCGCAGGGTGCTCAGGCAATTCAGGCTTCGGCAATTCCGGCACCTCGGGGTGTGGCAGTTCAGGCACCTTCGGAAACTCCGGCACGGCGGCGCCATGCGGCAGCTCGGGCTTTGGCAGCTCCGGCACGGCGAGGTGCGGCGGCAGCTCGGGCTTCGGAAGCTCCGGGTACTCCTCCTTGGGCGCGGCCTCCTCCTCCAGGTAGCGAGCTGCGCTGCTGATGGAGCTCCATGAGAGCAGCAGCGCCATGAGGAAGAGAAGCGAGGAGGACATGGAGTTCTTGGAAGCCATGTCGACGATCGAAATGCAGTTAATTTCTAGCTCGTCTCGGTGTATCAGTGACGGTGAGAGAGCTAGTTCTTTGTGTGATGGGTTGAGAGGCAAGAGGAAGCTGGTATTTATAGAGCAAAAATTTAAGGAATGTTAGCTTGCTGAATGTGCATGGAAGTCTCTTCTGATCTTTGGTGCTTGGTAGGTCATCTGCATCAGTAATTTGGTGATCAATTGGTTTCCTAATATATATTTGAGGATGGCTTAATTAGCTGGGAATATTCAGAGTTTCAAACCTGATTGATGAAATGCACCACCAAGGCACCAACTAAATCTAGCCCTTTATAAAAAAGTTTGTACACGTGTGCAGTGTGATGTGGGATGTTAATGCAAAGTAAGATCAATCGTGCATGTGATAAACAACAGCTAAGGAACAGAGCAAGTGAGACTATGCTACCGTCCCAGTAAGTTCTGACAAAATGTCTGATCTGGTTGCTGAAGAGAGTGTCAAAAATAGCAGTAAAATTCTCCAACTTTCTTTTCTGACTCTGCGTGGTTTGGCGATCGACTGCATGTTCGAGTAGGAGCTTACATAGCACACTAGTGATCAATCGGTGTTAGGTCACCTGTTCAAGATATCTGCACAAAAAAGTTCAGGGATTTGTTGATAAAATCACTACAAGGTCAAGCTAGTCGCTTGTCAGTTTCAGTGACTGATCCAAAGCCTCCAAACCGAGCTGAAAAACCACCATTCCTCTGTAACAGCCTTCCCGTGGACAGTGAAAGAAGTGAGGAATCTGAACACATTGGCTAAGGAAGAAGTTGTTCTGAAAACGATGGCTTATTCAGTGTAGTGTTGAAGGTAGAAGGCGCTACTGCAACCTATCTGCTCCTCCCTTTGATCTCTTTAACTTGCAGGTTTGGTTTATGGTTGATAGCTAGGCTCATCAGTGATAATACAGGACATGGAAAATGGAACTATAATTTGTACCACAATTGTACCTGCAGTTTCTGCACTATCTGTACTTTTGTACGTGCTGCAACCTCTCCTACTCCACGTAAAGTATGACCTGTTTCCAAGGTACTAAAAGAGCACCAGCTAGCTAGCTTGCAAACAATATTTCTAATATTGTAGATTAAACAACTGAAAGTGGTCCAGCTGAAATTAACAAGAGAAGAGACGGTTTACAATCCTGGAGGCCCTGCTGCATGCTCTGCACATTCTAGCTAGTCAGAAAATGGTGATTTGTGGATTTACCCCTTCTCTATTAATATAAAACGGGAAAGCTTTTGCCTTCCTTCAGAAAAGAAAAAAAAAACAAGAAAATGGTGATACAGCTAACCGTTCCATATTGATTTCAGGTTCAGTTTACAACAATTAACTGTGGTCAGATCTGACTAGCGAGCTTAATTTGCGGAAAATGACAAATGTCATATTAAAATGTGCACAAATTAACATCCTATCGGCCTTTATCCATGTTGATTCAACGATCAAGAAGCCTTTTCTTTTTGGCGAACACATTGGGAAACATGATGACAGATGTAATGTAATTCTGAAGAAGAAAACATGAAGCCATACAGCTCTGGAGGACTATTCTTTCATCATGCGGTCAATGAATCGATGGCAATGATGACTGATGAATGCAAGTGTGTGCTCATATACACACATAATTGAATCCATTTATTATAAACAAATATGAATATATGATCTCACACCCTCAGAGAAGAGATATGTGAGCTGCTCATAGCAACAAACTCAGCAAGTAACACACATCTACACGGACGACAGACATGGCATGCACGCCGTTGATACAGGAAAGAAATACACAAATGAAACCAAATGTAGAATCTGGACGAATCAATCTGAATGGACCTCTTGGTGGTCATCATGGTTTTTGCCCTCCCGTTACCAGGAGGTGCACCTCAGGAATGACCGGCAGCTCCGGCTTCAGTGGCCGGCGCTTTCTTCCGGCTATGGTGAAAATGGGATCTCACCGTTCGGCAACGGTGGCATCTGGGGTGCATCCGGCTTTGGTGGTTGTTCATAGTACTCTGGCTGTGGTGGTTGATCAGGTTTTGGCGGCATGTCAGGATTGGGTCTTGGCGGTTGGTCAGGCTTTGATGGCCCATTAGGATTAGGTTGTGGCGGCTGGTCAGGTTTCGGTGGCCCATTAGGATTGGGCTGTGGAGGCTGGTCAGGTTTCGGTGGCCCATCAGGGCAAGGTTGGGGTGGTTGGTCTGGCTTTGGTGGCATATCGGGATTGGGCTGCGGTGGCTGGTCAGGCTTTATCGGCCCATTAGGTATAGGTTGTGGTGGTTGGTTAGGGATTGATGGCCCATTTGGATTGGGTTGTGTTGATTGGTCCGGCACCGAAGGCGCATAAGAATTGGGTGACCCATCAGGTTTAGGCATTGGAAGCATATCAGGCTTCGGTGGCCCATTAGGAATGGGTTGTGGTGGTTGGTCAGGCTTTGGTGGAACATTAGGATTAGGCAGTGGTGGCCCATCAGATATAGGTTGAGGTGGCTGGTCAGGTCTTGATGGCTCATAAGTATTGGGCAACCCATCAGGTTTAGGCATCGGTGGCATATCAGGCTTTGGCGGCCCATTAGGATTGGGTTGTGGTGGTTGATTAGGATTTGGCAATGGTGGCCCATCAGGTTTAGGTTGTGGTGGCTGATCAGGACATGGTTGTACCGGGGGAATGGGTGGCCCATCGGGTTTAGGCATCGGTGGCACATCGGGCTTATTCATCGGTGGCACATCAGGATTGGGCAGTGGTGGAACACCGGGTGTGGGCTGCAGGGGAGGCTGATTTGGATTTGGCACAACATCAGGTGTTGGCAGCAGCGGTGGCGGCTGATCAGGCTTTGGGTAATCGTAGGGTGGCCAAGCCGCTTCCTGCAGGATTCTCGCCGCATCACCGGTGAGCAGCAGGGCAGCAGCAAGCAGCAATAAGAGCAGTGACGAAGTGGACATGGCTATCTTGCGAGCAGCCATGGCTAGCTAGCTAGCTCGCAAGCTAACTATGCTAAGCTCAGGAAGAAGAAGATGTGTTTGAGCTGGATCGGTGATGAGAAGCCGATGCTGGCGAGGTGTATTTATAGCCTCGCGGCGGCCAGAATGGTAGCTATCGCTGGCAATGCATGCACTGTGGGTGCACGGTTGGGCGTCGCGTGGAGGCAAGCTCAGCTGCGTGTTCGTGTCACTCACACTCGTTATTTACTCCTCGCTGCATGTACACCGTCCGGTTATGTACCTGCCACCGTGTGATTGCATGGGTTTTTGGTTGGGTTGTTGGAAAAGCTATCAAGCGAGAGATATATCGTGGAGCCGTACGTATGAATAGGTGTGCACACGAGATCATCCACTGTATGGATTATTGGAGCCCAGTGCCCCAGTATATGTTACTGTACGTCGACGAGATTTACCGTGAGATCGAGCAACCAAATGGCCGGAGACGAGATCGATGCATGCGTGCGTGCTTCTTCTCCGATGCGTGCAGCGCTAGGCCTCCGCGTGCAGACGAGATCGTCGTCGGCGCCGTGGCCGAGGTCGTGGTGATCGTGAGGCCGTTGGGCTGAATATGGGCTGGATGAGAAAATAAAGGGAAAAGTACACGCAAGGTCCCTCAACTTGTCAGCGAGGTACAAAATCGTCCCCGAACCGCAAAACCGGACATCCAGCGTCCCCCAACTTACAAAACCGGTCACAAAAGGTCCCTCGGCGGTTTTGACCCCGGTTTTGTCCCACGTGGCGGCTGACTCAGCGTGGGACCCACGTGGGCCCCACAGGTCATGGAGACCACGTCAGCACCCTCTCTCTTTTTCTCCTCTCTCTCTCTCTCCTTCCTTCCTCTCGCTCTCTGCTCTCGCACAGGCGGCGGCGCGCGCGGCCGGAGGGTGGTGCGGCCGGCGACGGCGGCTCCCCGGTGGCGGCGCGCGGGCTCAGGGCGCCGCGAGCTCGCCGGCCTCCTCGTCCCCCTCGTGCGGTCGGTGATGGCGGACGAGCGACGAGAAGCAGGCGGTGCGACGCCCCCGCCGCGTACAGTGGCACGGTGACCGTGGCCGCCATCGCCTATCAGAGGAGACCTCCGCCCGCACCCGGAGCCGCCGACGACGATGAGGCCGAGCGGCGTGGAGTCGTCGGCGCCGCCGCTCCCCATCCGCAGCCGCGCTCGCCTGCTGCCGCCGAGCTTGTTGTCCCGTGTCTCCGCCGCCGCGTCACCGCCCAGCATGAACCTCATGCTCGCGCTCGCGTTCGCCGGGTGGGGAGCCGGCCGGTCGATCTCCTCTCCGCCGCTCCTTCCCCGTCGGCCGCGGCGGAGACGGCCTCCCGCTCCCGCTGCCGCCGCGGCTCCTTGCTGGCTGCAAGACGACGACGGATGATGCAGATAAGTGAGAGAGAGAGATGAGGAAGGGAGAGGAAGGGAGAGAGAGAGAGGAGGCTGACGTGGTCTCCATGACATATGGGGCACACGTGGGTCCCACGCTGAGTCAGCCACCACGTGGGATAAAACCGGGGTGAAAACCGCCTAGGGACCTTTTATGACCGGTTTTGTAAGTTGGGGGATGCCGGATGTCCGGTTTTGCGGTTTAGGGACGATTTTGTATCTCGATGACAAGTTGAGGGACCTTGCGTGTACTTTTCCCGAAAATAAAATAGGCCCACCTGACTTCTTGCTAAATGCTAACCGCTGCCTTTGCCGAATTTTTTTTCATTTTTAAATTTTTATTTTTTAATATTTACAGAAATATTGTACCGGTGTAAATATTTTACAGAAGTAAATATTGCAAGGAGGGCGGCAGGGTGACGTGAGAGACGGACAAGATGAAAAAAGAAAGAAAAATGCATTTTTGGCAGGGTGAAAATTACATTTGCCCCCTTGCAGCCCTTGCAGAGGGCGGCAAGGGACCGCAGTGCAAAATGCGCACACCTTGCCGCCCTCCACTTGGGTAGAAGGGGCCATTTCTGTAAATATTTTTGATGGTATAATATTTCTGTAAATATTAAAAAATAAAAATTTAAAACTGAAAAAAAATCCTTTGCCTCCTTGCCACGAAAATGCAACTAACTACAGCACCGTATGGTAGTACTCCGTAGTACGATGGTTGAGCACTTCCTTCCTCCATCCCACAGAGCTGGTCGTTCTGCTGTTCAAAATTTGTTCCGTAAAATTTGTCATCCTAGCATCGATCTTGACCAGCGAACTGGGCATCAAGTCAATTCCATTTGAATTTGGCTAATGATTACTCTTTCTCTGTACAACAGTGCCACTACTTACCATGTGATAGATAATAGTATTAGTAGTCATTAATTAATTACGTACAGTAAATTTGTTTTGCAATCTAAATTGACAAATGCAACTATTAAATGAAGGTAATATGATCATTTTTATTTGATGTTAATTTGTTGGATCAACCTTAAAACGACGGGCTTTCTGGGACAAAAGGAGTAATACTTTCGATGTTATTAGCCGTTTGCATTTACCATTTTCTCCCTATGGTGATAAATAAGATTCTGTCAAACTTTTAAAATTTAGATATCAATTTTATATTAACAATAAGTTTACTAGTATTATGATGGTATTTTCAATATAAATATACACATGCTATTTATTTTTTAAAACTAAATAAAACTAGTGATTGTTAAAATTTTAAAAGTTCAACTCATTTTTTTTAGGAACGGGCATGACCTCTGCCATTTCATTTATAGAAGAAGATAAAAACAGTAGATCACCTCATTTAATAGAAGAAACTCATCTGAACGTATTAAATACTCCTTTTGTAAAAAAAACAAAAAAAAAACAACCTCGTACTCCCTCTATAAAAAAACAAGGTTGTCATTTTTGGGACGGATGAAATATTTAGTAGTACGACGGTAGGAAGTAACATTCTTTTTATGGAAAGTTCAGTGTTGTAGGGAATGAAACGCTGGCAAAAATTGCACACTGCTCTGGACAACCAGATATTCATAATCATAAATCCATTTATTAACACACAACGACTCAAAACAACGACATCGATCGAACTCGCACACCCAGTTACACTCACATCCATGCTGAAAATTAACTATCCACAAGATCGAGCCCGCATGCTCACCGGCAACAGTTCAAATATACCCTCTACTCGATCTACTTCACACCGGATTAATTAATTGCACGTAATTAATCGTGATCGATCATGGCTTGGCCTCTGGCTCGGCCGGGAAGTGGAACTCGGGGACGCCGGGGAACTCCGGCTTGGGCGGCAGGTCGACCTCCGGGAACGGCGGAAGGTGAGCCTCCGGGAAGAACGGAGGCAGCTCCACCACCTTGGGCAGCGGCGGCAGCTCGTGCTCCGGCACCGGCAGCTCCGGGAAGACGGCGGCCGGGTGGTTCGGCTCCTCCTGATCTTCCTCCTCGGCCGGAGCCGTCGTCGACGACGGCTCCTCCTCCTCCAGCCTCCTCGCCGCCGCGCCGCTCGCGGCGGCGCACGCCAGCAGCGCCGCGAGCAGGAGGGAGATGGCGATCTTGGAAGCCATGTCGTTATTTGCACGCACTGATCAGTACTGTTCACTGATCAGTTTGCCTCTATTTCTGTCCTGAGATGTTTTGCAATGTGAATTGACAAATGCGTGGTGTAATTAATTTATAGGCCGCGGAAAGCGCAAACACACGCGCGTTGATGGAGTAGTGGTTGATCTGCAAGTGTTCTTACTTAAATTCTTAGTAGTGGTTGGTTTCTGTGTGTTTTTGTCTATGATTTGGTTGAGAAAGAAGCTAGTCGGGTTGGCGAGAGCGCCGCGCAGATCCTGTGTACAAGGGACAGGTACGAGAACGTATGCAATGCTTTGTTGGTCACCGCCACACCGGTTAATTAGCAGGAAACAAGAACGTCTAAGCAGGGAAGTAGAGTGCCAACAACCGGTGGTCGAGCAGCATTGTTCGTTCTATCACTGTTAAATAAAAAAATTTCCACTCTAGGCAGGGTCGCAAGGCCGATGATAGCCGATCGGTTTTCACGGTTTTCGATGTTTTGATGTGGCTTGAAATTATTTTTGGGTTGGAATATTCAATATTACATATTGATCTATCTTGTCAATTTTTTTGAAAATTTTTCGTAACCATCTAGTTGACATGCAATAAACGGGTGGACGTCCACTCGAGCTATTAGAATACATCTCTGTGGTCGAACAACATTGTTCGTTCTATCACTATTAAATAAAAAAAATTCTCTGGGGGCGGAGCTCCAAACCCCACCGTGCGCGCGGCATCATGCTAGATACTAGTAACAGGCAGGGTTCACAGAGCAGATGACAGCCGATCGGTTTTCGTGGTTTTTCCATGTTTCAACGTGGCTCGAAATTAATACTCCCTCTATCCAGAAATATAGGGGACTTTGTTTCATTAGTTTGTCCATAAATACAGTGGATTTCTCTTTTTCAAGACAACCAAGGAATGTCAGCCATCCAAAATCAACCGGTTTCTGTCAGGATTAAAAAGATAAAGAAAACGTACTAGCACTACTACTCCACACTGTTCTTGGCAGAAACTAAAAATAATTTCAGAAAACGTACTGGTACTACTAATTTGTTTATTGTGCCTAGGATATCTTTTCAGAGAATGTACTACTTACTCTTCCTTAAAATTTTGTTATTTTAGGCATAATACCTTATATTCCGGGACGGAGAGAGTATTTGGTTGGACTTTTCAATGTTTTATGATAAATTTAAGGGAAAATTGGAACCATGCCATTATAATTTTGCAAAATTTAATGTTTTATGATAAATTTTGATCAAATTTAAATGTCAAGCATTAAATTTGATCAAAATTCGGTCAGGATTTATCGAAAGTGTCCTTATCAATTTTGAGGCATAGCGATCTGTAAGGTAATTTTGATTTTTTCCTTTTTCATTTTTTTTCCCTCGTCATACTCCCGTCGGCCGTCGTACACGTACCAATGTACGATACATATCGTATGAATCTTGGTATACGTACGTCCGAGCCGTACGATTTGTGTCCGACCGAGTCATGCAACCAATCACTGAACTTGTTTACTACCATGTGGGCCCAGACAAACAGCATATATGCTTATACATACACTAGTCGGACGTATAGGTCGGACGTATAGCAATTTCGATATCGTACGGAGTATTCTACATGCACCACCACGTGTGGCACCATTCTACGGGGGTGGCTAATTGGCGTGCACACGCTGGCACCCCCTCCCCCGCGTGATTTTTTTTCACTTTCTTTTTTTATGCTTTCATTTTGCTTTTTTTTTTATTTTTTTAAATCTTTGTTTTCAAATGTTTGAGTTAAAAGTTTTAAAATCTTGATTTGAAAGTTTTTAAATCTTAACTTAAAAATTTTCAAATTTAGACTTAAAAGTTTTCAATCTCGAGTTAAAATTTCTCAAATATGAGTTAAAAGTTTTTAAATCTGTGTTAAAAGTTTTTAAAATTTAACTTCAAAGTTTAAATCTTAAAGTCAAAATTTTATAAAACTAATTTGAAAGTTTTCAATCGGTTAGTAAAAATAATCTTCCAGAAAAAAATATTATCTTAACTATTGTCGTTATATAAAACTAATTTAGTTAGTTAGGCTAAACTACTCCCGAGGTGGTGCGCGCCGGGTAGCTAAATGGGTGCCACCTATTTACTCACCAATCTTAAAGCATGGACAAACTGTAAAGTAATTTTGAATTTTATTTCTCATCGTATTCCCGTCGTATTTCTGTGGTACACGTACGATGCGTATTGACGGTATTGTATTCTGCCGCATCCAGAGCCTCGTTCCCTCCCCTCCAGTCCAGGCCTCCACTACACATCCTCGAACTCCCCTCTTCGCCGTCGCTCCCCTCAGCGTCGCCGCCGTCCTCTGCCCGTGTGCCGCCGCCGCCTTCATCCTCATCCGCCTTCACGCCGCCGCCGCCGCCGTCCGTGTTCCCACACCGCTCCGGTATTCCTCCTCGCCTCTGAGCGTCGTCTGCCCAATCTCTGGAGTCGACAAGATTGGTGGTGGCAACCGCTCCGTCTCACCGCCGTCGGCCGTCCTCCGCCACCCTCCCGCTGCCTCTCGTCGGTCCACCACTACGTCTAGGCGATTTCCGCCTCGATCTTGCTCGCCCGTAAGGTGTTCGATGAAATGCCGCCGTCGGGGCTTTTTCCTCGTCGAGCCCTTGCCGAGGGAGCCGGAGCGCTGGGCAGGTCACTCCCTCTTGTCGGCGGTGGTTCATGGACGAGACTGGTACATGGCGGCGGCGGGGGGTCTGAGGCGGAAGGCGAGGAGTTCCCGTACGCCGACGTGCCGCGGCCTGGGAGGAAGTGGGAGCGGAAGCCGTACGTGACGCCGATGAAGGTCCTCATCCGGCGGGCCAAGGAGGAGCGGCGCGCGCGGCGGGAGAACCCGTGCCGCGTGCTGGAGCGCCCGCCGGAGAACGGCCTCCTCGTGCCGGGCCTCGTCGGCGTCGCGCACCAGGTGCACGGCGCGTGGGAGAGCCTCCTCCGCGGGCTCACCAGGCTCGTCGAGGGCGGCGCCGTCGCCGTGAGGCGGTGCAGGTTCTGCCCGGAGGTGCACGTCGGCGGCGTCGGGCACGAGATCCGGACGTGCGAGGGCCCCGGCAGCGCGGCGAGGAACGCGCTGCACGTGTGGCGGCCAGGCACGGCGCGGGACGTCGTCGGCTTCCCCTACTGCTACCACCTGTTCGACCGCGTCGGCAAGCCCAGGGTGTCGCACAAGGAGAAGTACGACGTCCCGAGGCTCCCGGCGATCCTCGAGCTCTGCATCCAGGCCGGCGTCGACGTCGAACGCTACCCGGCCAAGCGGCGCACACGCCCGGTATACTCCATCGAAGGGAGAATCGTGGACTTTGAGCCAGACGACGACGAAGATGACAGCGCCGACGACACAGGCCCATCGCTGCCTTCTCTTGCCGCCGATGAAGCCGGCAAGATGGAGGAGGAGATGACGGTGTGCGAGCTGGGTGCACGGACGCTGCAGTCGTGGCTGGACATGCGCGCCGGCGCGGCGAGGCTGATGGGCAAGTACGGCGTGGTGACGTGCGGCTACTGCCCGGAGGTGCAGGTCGGGCCGAAGGGGCACAAGGTGCGGATGTGCAAGGCCAGCAAGCACCAGCAGCGGGACGGGCAGCACGCGTGGCAGGAGGCCACCGTCGACGACCTGGTCCGGCCCAACTACGTCTGGCACGTCCCCGCCACCGGCCATGGTGGCGACGGCGGCGCCCCGCCGCTCGCCAACGAGCTGAAGAGATACTACGGCAAGGCCCCCGCCGTGGTGGAGCTCTGCGTGCGCGCCGGCGCGCCCGTGCCCGCGCAGTACAGGAGCATGATGCGGCTCGACGTCGTGCCACCCGCCCGCGACGAGCACGACCTCGTCGCCTAGAGCACGCCGCCCGTGGCGCGCCGCACGGGGTTCGACACGAGATGGGATCATGGGAATGGCTCCTCGCCTGGCAATGGCTCCTACCACTTACTACATATATACATCTATATACATTGTGAATGTTGCAATAGTTAAAATCCACAAATGTGGGTTCCATCTATATGGATTACTTTAGCTATATACATTGGTGTTGCCCTTGCAACCTGAGGAGATCATATTCACTGCAACAGCAGAAAAGGACGCATTCTTCTTGCGAATTGCAATAAGATGAGAGGGGATGGAAGGAAGAAACTTGTGGGCTGTTGTACTTGTGCCCACATTTCTCCAAGTCAATTATTCGAGTTACTGCGGAGTGGAGAAACATTCTGAATGATGCATATCGTTGTTGCTGCTGCTTCAGAATTGGACAAACATAAATGAAGAAGTTTATGGCAACTTTGATTGAGAATGAAGAGATTCGATCAGATGAGGTTTTCTTGTTCTACCACAGTGGATCTTGACATCGACCTGAAAGTCATGGCAATTTTGATTGAGGAGGAGCAAATTTGATCAGATGAGTTCCTTTCTCTCCCTCTTTTGTTACCACGGATTAACATTTAAAACTACGACATTGCTTTCTCAAGTACCATAAAATCACACTTATTCCCAAGTGCATTTCCAGCAGCCCGAGCACAGTGAACCCTGGAATGGTGACCACCAGTTGCTCCTTTGCTTCCTTTGGAGGAGACACTCGCGGGCGCTGCTAGCACGACGGAGATGGCCATCTTGTTGGAAGGCATATATAATCCAGCTGAAGAGATTTCGAGCTCGAGTTTTGGACGTGTGAGAAAAGGGAGATGAGCAGTGCAACTTGTATACGCCACAGAATACGACGTCCTTGATCTGCAAGTGTTCTTAATTGGTGGTTTCTATACTTTATATGGTTTTTGCCTATGATTTCAGCTATAGCACCGTTGGTTTCTGTGGTTTTTGTCCATGATTTTCCGCGAGAACACCGTGCGTATCCAGTGCACTATGTTCAGAAAGTAAGCGACAGAGCCTGTGCAGAAGGGACAAGTATGAGAACGTATATGCACTCCTATGAGAACGTATTCAAGGAGTGCATATTGGCGCAACAATCTCCGCCGCCGCAGATGCTTTGCTGAGGAGTTATTTTTGTTGCAACTCCTAGTTTCTAGTAGCTTGGCTAATAACCTGTAATTGTACACTAATACAAGGCAGGGATCATCATTGCTTTGCTATTCTCTTCGCCAAAATCGTACGGATACGCACTCTCAATGTTTCATTTCTACACCGTTAAGCATTCAGTTTATTCAAGTAACACTAGTACGACAACCTAGCAGTAACCTTCACTATAAAAGCTTCAACTATCTAAAAGACCCCAAACAATAATTTAGAATATATGATTTTCTGAGGTAATTCCACGAAATAAACAAACAAGAGTGATAAACAAACAAGAGTGATAGGTTTCATCAGAAATGTGGTGCTTTCCCTTAAATCATCTTCCTTGTGCATAAGCAGACCCCATCTGATAAATTATGTGATGTATTGAATCTGCCAAACGATTACACATTGTTCCCTACCAAAATTGGCACAGCTTCCTTTTGCAGGTATCTTTCCATACATAACATTCTGTTCAATTCTGAACAGCAGTTAGATACTAGATCCTGGATATCAAATCAGGATATTTTTCAATCAATTGAGATGAAAAATGTTTAAACCTGGTCAAAAACGAGGGAACATCATCACACTATTTCAATCCCTGAAGCTATACACAGCTTGGAATCAGCTCCCCCACTGATGACGCTATCCCCTTTCCACCAGTCCGCACATAAAACCTATAATCACCAAAATTTAGGACCTCGCCTTTTGTTCAAACATGTAAAAATAAATACCACAAAAGGAATACCTTGTCTTTGTGTGACTCCACAGAAGCCAGTGGCCACTGCAACAGAACAGAACCATTAATGGTCTATGGCATTTTGATAAAATAACTTGAAGAGAAAAGAGTAATCAGGAAGGAAATATATTATTAGAATCTTACTGCTGTCCTTAGATCCCACAACATTACTTTCCCATCAAATGAAGATGATACCAAATGAAACCACGAACTTGGATGCCATTTGCAAGCACTGATCCAGCTTTTATGGGAGGAAAACTGAAAAATTGGAGCTAGAGTTCCTGTTTGAGGATAAAGAGTATTAGCTAATTTGAATTCCAAAAGATAATTAGAGCATGGTTTTGCTTCCACATTTACCAGGTTTACGAGGGTCCCATACCCTCAAGACAGGGTCAGAGCCACCAGCAGCGATTAGTGAAGAGCTCTCACCACCACAATCCAAGCAATTCAAGGCCTTCCCAGATACCTATGGAAAATATTTACAGACATCGGATGAATTAATTTGTGAAACAGAGCAAGAGAGTAGCAAAAGCTTTGACTCTCCTTGGCAACAGCACTTTTTTGGACAGTGTGCAGTAGTTAAAACATAGCTAGTGCCTTTCTAATTCAAAGTGCCAGATTCCACGAAGCAAATTTCAGAGGAACTCAGGACAAGAAATGTGCAGATGCCAATTGATGACTTAATGAGCACAAAAAAAAAATCCCTTGCTGCTATTATGCTGGCAGAACATTATCATCACGCTGTCCATGCATTTTAATACTTTTATTTTTAAATGTGTAGATATTTTTTGCATACCATATTCCATGTCTCTTTCCCTGTTTGGACATCCCACTGCCGAACAGAATGGTCCCAAGATGCTGAATATATTGTTTGTCGCTCAGGCCAGGTAACAGCAGAAACGCACTGCGTATGTCCCAGAAATGTTGAAGTGGCAGAACCCTGAAGTGCAACATTCCAAACTGAGATCAGCAGGGTTGTATCATGAGTTCATGACAATAAATAGTATAAAACTTCACAATAAAAGAATTGCCAGAATTAAATCTCCCCCAAATTTTAGCAGGTGCATATTAAAAATTATCAAAGCACTGGAAATTCAAAATCAATACCCAGCACATTATAAAGCCAAATAACTGGAGCCAATTAACCAAGAGATGAACATATTTTAGTACTTCACATGATGGCACCATGCACATAAGACCAAAGAATTTGGACTGGAAAGTAAAATGACCTCAAACAGAGATTCTTCAGGTCCAGATGAATCAGAATTTGTCCTTCTCTTCTTCACTGAGACAGTGTCACCATCTTCTTCCGACCCTTCGACTGACCATAGCTTAATTGAGTTATCCCAGGAACCAGAACATATCTAGTTACGAAAAAAAATACGTTAAAAGGGCCTTAGAATAAAATACTAACATATAGCACTGATTTGGAAGACCAGAAGGATAATTACCATGTTTGTGGAAGGGTCTACTGCAACACTCTGAACAGATGATGTGTGGCCACGGAGAATTTTGTAAGCCCCAATTTGCTTTGGAACACTGACTGATGTATCAAACTTGAGATCCAGGAGTGGAGAATAAATGTTAAGATTGGATGAAGAATATTACTCATGAAGCATGTCTTGGAGGGAAAGGCAAAATAGAGTATCTTACTATCTTTACCTTGAATAAGCGCAATGACCTATCCTTTGATGCAGTGACTACATGCAGCCTGTCTTCAGTTTCACCTGGAATAACATTATTGGAATTAGTAGATATTTAATATACTGATGTTATATACTGTTTGGGGAAAACAATTAGTATAAGGGCATGAGTGAGCAAATATGTTGTGTGCAAGATAACCTTTATTAATGAAGCGAGCAGAAGTGATTCCGTCACTATGTCCTTCCAAAATATGTGTACATTCAGATGCATCTCTCCATATTCTGGGCAAGAAAAAGCAAATCAGAAGGTTGAGATTGAAGACATACAACAGTTGGAGTTGGTGTTACAGTCATTTTGTCTAAAGGGGTAGAATTAAAAATAATAATAGCATAGACATGGGAGATGAATACCTTGCAAGACCATCATAGCAACCTGTTAATACGAAACTGCCAAAAGACGAATAGTTTAGTGATACTGGAAACCAAGCGAAAGAAAAATATGAGAAAAGGTTAAGAAAGAACAGTACATTTGAATTATCAGCCTATGATCTATTGTATACATATGTAAATGTATTAGTTGCATAATAGTAATGGTGATAAGTATGGAACCACAAGGAAGACAATTTTGCGAAGATCTTTAGTTGGGCTAGCGGTAAAATTATGTGGTAGAATAAGAGCAGTATGAGATTAGGATCCAAATTTAGATGTAGTATTGAGCTCATACATGGACTTGTTTTGAATGCATCCTTCATTTTGTCTTCTTAAGATAGGTAAACTGTGCACTAGTCGAGATAGGTGAACTGTGCACTAGTCGATTTTAGCTTAGCCCTGGGATGGGCAAATCTTTGGCTCCACAGTCCATTTTAGTTGAGTTAAGAAATTTTCCGCAGAATTTGAAAATATTGATCAGCAAGGTGGACTAGATCTAAAATCATTTGACCACAAGAGCAATGTTGCTGATAAACCTTCTTGTAATAAGTGAAGACAATAGTGACAAAATCAGCAATCCAGGTATAGTTTTGAATTATCTAAAAGATTAATAACCTGTTATCATGATGCTAGACAAACATTTGTGTCCTGCTATTTGCTCGAAGCATGTCCTATGGAAAAATAGACCACCTAAGTCCACGTAAAACAGAAACCATACCTCGGGTTCGATCCATCAACTGCGCTAACCCAGTCATCATGCGGGCATGGATCCTCCTGCTTCCTCGGTGCCACAGCTTTTACATATTCAAGCTCAAGCACCCTCTCCTGCAAAAACGCTCACACGATAACCCCGCACAATGTCACAGAAAGGTCCACACCACAGCACAGCGGAATTCTCCCCCAAAAAACGAACATCGGGTCAAAAATTCATACCACTGAGATGCCCTTGGCGAGGAGGAACTCCTGGAGCGGGAGCCGCACGAGCTCGCCGTCGACGAGGAAGTCGAAGGGCTGCGCCTGGTGATCCGGGGAGGCTGCCCAAACCGGAGGAAGCGAGTCAGAGAGATCCGAGGTCCATCCGAGGGGACGCGGGGGGCTAGGGTTCTGGAAAGGGGAGGTGCTCACCGGCGAGGAGGAGGCTGTTGACGATCTCAGAGAGGCCCATGCGGGTGAGGTCGGCGGGGACGGCGATGGAGGTGGGCGGCGCGCGCAGCGGCGCGGGGAGCTTCGTCAGGAAGCGCACCCGCACCTGGCGCGAGGGGTCGGAGGCGCCGCCGGAGTCCATGGCGGCGGCGGCGGCGTCGGCCGGCGGAGAGGAGGCGGAGGAGGCGGCGGCGGCGGGAAGGGGAGGGAGGGGTTTTGAGAGGGTTTCGAATGGGGAATTTATTTGGTTAGGGTTTTGGAGGATGTAGGGCCCAGTAGCAGTGACATCACGTTCGAGGCAGGCGGCCAGAAGGGGAGAAGAAGATGTCCATTTTGCAGAAAACCCCTCCAACTATGTGTATGTTCAAATTGGTACCAAAATAAATCTTACCAAAATTTAGCAATATCAAAATTTTGGTAAATTGACAATATTGTTAAAATTTTGGTAGGATTTTCTTAATAATGTCGTCAAAATTCTGTACACATTGTCAATATTGGTAACAAACTAAATGTAGCCATATAATTATTAATTTTACCAAATAATGGTATAGTTGAAAATGTCATCAATTTGAATAGGCCCTATATTCTGACAGTGTTTATGTGTATGAACCACCTCAACTGTTAATTCAAATATTCAATCGCATTACTCCATTTTTCATAATTTGCACTATAGAAGTACCCATATATCTCATGATTGGAAATTTAGGGATACCAATTGATACAAGGTTAATTTGCAAAATTCAATCGTCGTTTATTGGAAATTTAGGGATACCAATTGATACAAGGTTAATTTGCAAAATTCAATCGTCGTTTATTTTGCAAATTCTAAATGCCTTCAACGGCAACTTTAGATAAAGATTTAACCTATTATAATCTCTAGAACAAAGTCAAATTTATAGAGAGGGGCACTTTTACACTGGAAAAAGTCCACTTCCTTCAACCATGGGTTGAATTTCATTTACGTCCCTTAACCGTAAAATTGAATATGAAACATCCCAACATCATAATCAATGTAAATCGAGTCTCTCGATTATATTAAGGGTACTTTTGGCTGACGTGAAGACTACATGTCTTATTAACTTGATCTCTGTCCTACATGACGCCTACTAGCGTTTACATGATGCTAGAATAAAAAACACCGATGGAACCCACACGTTAGTGGTAATTTAGCTACTTTTTTGGAACAAGTATGTGGGGATTTGGTTAAAATTTTTGGAACAAATATGTGAGGCCACATGTCAATGGGTGTCCGGTGAAAAAAATGCAATGGATCCACGTGTCATCACCCCTCTCTCTCCTCTTCTCTTCCTCAATATTCTATCTCCCCAATCTTCTCATTGGTAGCCCTAGCTGTCAGCCAAGCAACGTGCTCGTCGTCAATACTGGCGGTGAGGGTGGTCGCGGCCTTTGTAGTGTGTGGACAACGATTCCCGCATGGCCTTGGTGTGCACATCCTGAGCTCCAGATCTAGACGACGACTGATGTATTTTGTTGGAAGAGGCAGGGAGTGCTCAGTGGCAACCCAGCGTCCTCTTCGACAATGTACAAGTCACCAACCGAAGGGGTGATTAGGACCCACCTCTAGCATCTCCGTGCCAAGTTTGCGAATTGCGACCACTGGCACCGATTGACGATGGGAGGAGCTCAACAGGGAAGAGAGGGCCTTTTTATCTTTGTGATTGACATGTGGGTCCAACAAATTCTATTAATATTTAAGGTATAATTATCACTTGCATGCAGACAACATATGGCGCCAACGTTGCCTAAAAACCAGGTCAATGTGTCACTACGTCCCATATCAGCCGAAAACGCTGTCAATATTGTCGAGAGATTTGAATTGCACTGGTTTTGAAAGCTATGATGCTCTGTTCCAGAGTTTCTGGTCGAGGTATGCGAATCAAACTCGACCAATACTGAAGAACGCAGAATGGACCTTTTTAGCTTTTCCCACGCTACCTATTCTAGCCCAAGTTAGCCCACAGATATCATATATCATATAGGAAAAAGTACGAATTACCTCCCTGAACAATTGCGGTCGTCCAATTTACCACCCTAAACTTCAATACCAGTTATTTTTTACCCTAAACTTTGTAAACCGGATGAATTACCCCCCTAGATCGATTCATAGCGGGTTTGGTCCTACGTGGACGCATACGTGGCAGTCTAGTCAGCCAAAACAGATAAAAAAATATGGGACCCACCTGTCAGCCCAATCCCTCTTCTTCTCTCCTTCTCTTCACCCCTTCCCCTCTCTCTCTCACTCCATGGCGCACCGAGGCAGGCGACAAAATAGGCAGCGGTGGCGGCGAAAGAGGCCGCGGCAGCAGCAGCGGCGGTGGCAACGGAATAGGCAGAATAGGCGGCGGTGAGCCCACTTGTCGTGTCGGCGCAGCGGCCGAACCAAATCAAGAACGTCGTGTCGGCGCGGCGGCGCGGGAGCGGGGGCGGGGGCAGGGGGGAGCGGCGGCGAGCGCATGCTGCCGGCCGCGCCGCGGTTGGCTTCCCGCCTCGCCGGCGTGCTGTCGCGGTCGTCGTCAGGGCCCAGGCCGAGGCGACGTCGTCGTCGTTCGATCGATCGATCTGCAGCGGAGGTGGAGCCGACAAAGGAGGAGACAGCCATGTCGTCGACCCCGACGGGCGGCGGCGCGGGCGGTCGGCTTGCGAGGGCCGGTGACGGGCAGCGGCGCGGGTGGTCGGCACGCAAGAGTCAGCAACGGGCGGCGTCGAGGTGCTCGGCGACGAAATCCTCCGCGAGATACTCCTCCCCCTCCCTTTCCCCACCGCGCTGGTGAGCGCCACGCCCGCGACGCCGGCTTCCTCTTCGTCGTCCTGGGTCGCACGCCGCCAGTCTTCCTCTCCGCCGCCTCCGCCTCCGGCCTTGTTCCTCCCGACGGCGGCTGAGCCTCCGCCGAGTGGGAGCTCGTGGACTGCCGCGACTATCTCCTCCTGTTCCGCAACCACGGCGACGCGATGAAGCTCGCCATTGTCGACCCCGCACACCGCCCGCCCTCGTGCCATCGCCATCCGCCCGCCCCCGCGCCGCCGCCCACCACCCGCCCCCGCGCCGCCGCCAACCGCCCGCCCCCGCGTCGTCGCCCCAGGCGGCGGCGGCTGGATTTGGGGAACCGGCTCACCTCTACCTCCGCCCCCAGCCTCGCGAGCGAGCTCCGCCGCCCTCCACCGCTGACCGCCCGTGTCCGTGTGCGCGCACGAGAGAGAGAGCAGGGGATCTGGAAGAGGTTGGGTCGAAGAGGGGATGACAGGTGGGCCCAGTGTTTTTTATGTTTTTTTTTTGCTGAGTAGTCTGCCACATTGGCGCCACGTGTGCTAGTACTAAGTCAAAACCGCTCATAACAGTGTTAGGGGGGTAATTTGTCCGGTATTGAAAGTTCAGGGTGAGTAATATCTGGTTTTCGGGTTCAGGGGGAAATTCGGCCGACCGCGATAGTTCAGGGGGGTAATTCGTACTTTTTCCTATCATATATCCATATGCTGGGCCGGCATCCGGCCCAGGCTAACTGCCTAACTAGGATTTCAGTACTGCCGCTACTAATACTACACTGAAGAGCACAGTATAGCTAGTGAACCAAAGTACCACCAAACATGGCCCCCCATATTAACAGCAACTGGTCTAACGAATAATGAGCAGCAAATTTCGGTTACGGTTCCTTGTGAGGTACATACACGGTTGAAGTCACAAGGGCCCGACCATGTGGCGCTCGTTCTCTTAGCTTAGCTTGATGCAATGATGTTTGAGTTACAACATGTCAAAGTGCCACCATGTCGATCCGGCCTCTGCATCAGCTAGAGAATGTACACATGTTGAGAACTATGAGAGGGAGTGGTACACTTCTCGCCCTATTTCTTCCTTAAAAATGGCACGAATATATACCAATATGCATATGCATGATGCGCACACTCGTTCAATTACTTTCTTACTTCCTCCGTTTCACAATATAAGTCATTCTAGCATTTCCCACATTTATATTGTTGTTAATGAATCTAAATAGATATATATGTCTAGATTCATTAATATCAATATGAATATGGGAAATATTAGAATGACTTACATTGTGAAACGGAGGGAGTACATATTAATCAGATCTTACCAAAGAATATTGATATAATTTTACTTAGACATGCTTCTTTCCGGGACGTGATTTAGCGAGCACACGTGAGTTTCACCGATAAGGAGACCACATGTTGTCAATGATAAAGGTGGTGGTGGCACCGCTACTATCTTCTAAAGCAGTATATCCGAAAGTGTTTTTCATGACAAATCTAGCTATATTATTTTTCTTATGTTAAATTATAGTATTTTTTAATTAGTTAATAATTAATGGTTGTAAGGTTTGATTGCACCTATTCTACAACGATATCCAATCGAGAACAGAGGAAGGTACATGGCTGGTGCAGAAAAGACTCAAAATAGAAGGAGAAAGCAAAGATTCTGATGAGTTCTACACTTGTCTGCTACTGTCCTACCTAACGTTTTTTTTGACCCTTGTCAGTGGCATCTAAGATTTTGGCCGTTGTTATTGATAAGATTTTAGCCGTTTTACCCCTGGTCCTCCCCCAAACCTCCGGTAGTACATCTCGTTAACCTAAAAGAAGCAAAGGCAGCAGATCAAATGGCGATTACTTTAAGCAGCACACACTCCATCACTGCTGTTTGCACGACCGATCAGTGTCATTCCCCAAGTTCAAGCTCTGCCATAAACTGAACCCTGCACGAACCTACTAACAAATTATATTTAAACAGCATTGGCACTTGACAATAGACTATATACTTCTATATAAAAAAAATTGTCCCAGTTAGGACAGTGGCGACATCTTCTCTTGCGATCTCCCTTTTGATATTCGATCGGCGACGAGCCCATGGAGATCGAGTAGGCGCCAAAGATTCGAAAGCTGGAAAGATGAGAAATGCAGGATAAAAATAGAGGGGGAAGGGGCAGCCCGGCTGGACCGTGGAACATGCGCGAGAGCGGCTGCGGTGCCACAGCTGCAATGATTCGGGAGTCCACTCGCAACAGCAGCAGCAGCATATATTCCATGAGCACCAGCGGCAGCAGCTAGCCGCACCAACCAATCGACGGAGGAATCTGGCGTACGTCGGGTCACTCAAAAGCGGACGAGCAGATCGCGCCCCGCCGCGGCGGCGGCGGCGGCCTCGTCGTCATCACCGTTTCCGGCCGGGTCCAAAGCGGGCGGCGCCGCGAGCTCTCGCGAAGTTGCCCGTACGTCGGGTGATGCGTCGCTAGCTTGCTCGTGCGTGCGTGCAGGGCGGTTGCGTCGCGTCTGGGCGTGTTGCTGTTGTCAAGTGTCAACCAGCTTATTTCGTGGTCCTGATATATTACTTAGTGTTGTATTGGTTGGCTTTGGACAACCAAAATAATTTGGATAGGGATTCTATGTTTTTATTTTCAAGGGTCTAAAAGAGAACTAGAAAACAATAAAAAAAAACACCTAGAACCACTTAGAAAATTAAATTTTCCGGTGGCTTATAAGGGTCTCCAGATGCAAGAAGCACCCAAACAATCCAGATTTTTACCCAGACTCGAAAATGCTGGGTAGGTGTAAAATCTAGAAAATAAACTAGAAGCAAGAAGCTGAGTAGCTTCTTCGCATTAACATCATACTTACATGTCTAGTTCGAACCTCAATGTTCGAAACTCTTTTCCTCAGCAAAAAGAAAAAAATGATGTATATTAGCACATAATTAACCTGATCCATGTCTAGTTCGAACCTCAAGGTTTAAACTCTCTTCCTCAACAAGAAAAATGATATAGAATAGCTTATTAGCATAATAATTAATTAAGTATTAGCTAAAACAAACTTAATGAATAAATTAATATTTTTTTTCTCAAGCAATTTTCTTATAGATTTATTTTGTAAAATATATCTTTAGTAGTTTGAAAAATCGTGCACATGAAAAAGGAGAGTAAAAGGCCGTTTTGGAACCGATCTCTCTGGCATGGACAACGGAGCCTCTCGTTAACGCATGATAATTAAGTATCAACTAAAAAATTGAAAAATAAGTTAATATATTTTTTTACATTTTTTTAAAAAAGTACGTCATTAAGTATTTCGGTAAACGTGCGTGTGAAAAAAATAGAGAGTAAAAGATAAGAAATTATAGTGTATATAATACAGCCTAAACGACTGAACATACCATCTCATTTTATTTACAAGAATTTTAGTCACGGAGTAAACAACAGCATGAACTCTCCTCTATTTTCTTCCTTTTCCTTTTTGGAGACGAACACTTGTTTTGATATTTTTGGTATTTACGAGTACTGACTGCGGCAGGATGTTTTTAGCATGAGAAAAGTGGTTTGGTCGGATCTGTCAGCAGCTGGGGTAAATGCGGTTATTGCAAAGGGGACCAAAGCGTGGAGCGGAGTGGAAGGAGTGGCATGCTTGGCTCTGGCGTCGTGGGCCCTACCATCACACCAACCGAAAATAATGTAACCCGGCTTGCAGCATCGTCTTGAAATGGAACTGTTTTGGAATTGTTTTTGCATCGTTGTCAATAGAAAACCATGCTGAAATTTGATACTAGCAGATTTTTCAACAGAAATCTGCTAAACAAAATTATTACAGAGAATGCTAGTAGACACTATGTACAAAAATTGTGAAATATACAGAAAAAAACAGGTGCTACTAGAAATTTGTGAAGTTAGCTTATGGCCTGTTTGGCACAACTCTAGCTCCACCCCTCATAGAGCTGGAGCTCAGCCAAATAGTTTCAGCTCCACCAAAACTGGGAGTAGAGCTGGGTGGAGCTCTCTCACAAAATGAGCTAGAGTTGTGGAGTTGGGTTTAGGCAACTCCACAACTCCACTCCAGACCCAACTCCTAGAGCTAAATTTAGGAGTTGGAGCTGTACCAAACAGGCCCTTAGTGCTATATTGGTTGGCTTCGACTGTTAATTAGTAGTGGAAAAATAAGCAGTGAAATGAGAAAAAATTTTAAGGTATGAATATGTTTCTTAGCGATTTAAAAGCCAAAATTAAAAATAGAAGTAAAAAAAATATAAAAACACATAGAGAGTTTAAAATTTAAATTTTGACCGCGACATTACCAAGAACAAACAAACAATCAGGGCTCCTTTGATTTATAGGATTGGCAAATGATTTTCATAGGATTTAAATTCCTATGGTTTTTTTCCTATATGTTCTTTTGATTCATATGAAAGAAAGGAAATTTTTCATAGGATTGTATTTCTATGCTTCACATTTTATAGGAAAAATAGTAAGATGTGTGACCTCTTTGTGAGAAATTTTCTATAGGATTATATTTCTATGCTTCACATTTCATAGGAAAAATAGTAAGACGTGTAACCTTTTTGTGAACTTTCTTTTATTTTTCCCATAGCATAAGAAACATACTACTACTTCAATTTCTGCTTTTTCTCTATTTCTATATTTTTCCTATCCTGCAGATCAAAGGATCACAAGGTGTTATTTTGTCCGTAGCTGCACATGAAACTATAGCTACGTTTGAATGGTTTTGCACTAAAAAAAAATCATTGCAACAGTTTTTTATTAGTCCCAAAAGCCAAGCATTCCCCGCAAAAAAAAAAAAAAAAGCCAAGCATTAACCTCACGAAAATAGGCTGGCGTTTCGCGGTGGGCAGGAGAACGAACAGAGAAACACAGGAGGCCAAAACTGCAAATTGCAGCAAAGCAAAAAGGTAGCGGTGGGTGCGGCTCAGTCTCCCAGGGGTCGCAACCGTAGATGCGCAAAGAAGAAGAAGAAGAAAAAAAAGGTTAAAAATTCCGTAGGCGCCCGTGGCGCAGATCAAACTCGCACGCGCACCCGACGCATCATACACACACACTGTCTCTCTCACTCACTCTGCATCTGCTGCTGCTGCTGCCACTGCCACTCTTGTCCAGAGGCCACCACACACTCTCTCTCTCTCTCACTCACTCACTCTCCTCTACTAGCTCGTCTCCATCTCTTCTACTCGTCCAGGCCTCCAAGAATCTCTCTGTTCTTGCTGCTTGCTTGGTGGTGGTGGTAGCTTTCATAATGGAGGCGGTGGTGGTGGCGGCGCTGGTGCTTCTCATGTCGTCCAGTCTCGTCGCTTCAGGTGAGCGAGCTTAAGCTCAGCTCTCCCCGGGGGAGGGTCTTTTTCTAACCTTTCTCTTTCCGTCTCGTTTAGATTTCTGTCCTGAGTGAGTTTGTGCCTCTTAAATAATGGCTGGGAACTGCAAAGGCTGCTGCTTTTTGTTTCTGAAGGTTGATTTTGTTGGAGTTTTGGGGGGATTTGTTCAGGTGTTGTTCTATTCTACACTTCTACTTGTCGGTGGTTCTTTTTCTTTTTTTGTTCTTTGATGTTTCTCAGTTTCTGCTTGGTTCATCCATTGGTATGTTTGGAACTTGGAAGAAGAGATCTTTCTGTTTGGTTCTTCCATTTTCTAGGAAAGATCAGCATTGCATGTAGGAGTACACGCTACTTTTGTTATGGTTTGTGAACTACTTTTTTTTTTTCAGATTCCCCTTTCCTACCTTGCTATGTCAAACAGTACTAGCCATGTACTGCTTAGCTCTTGCTGTTCATCTATTGCTGAAGAAAATAACTCAACAAGGACCAAGGACAAGAAATCTCTTGTTCTCCCCTCTGAGACAGTTGGAGATGTGTTCTTCTCAAGTTGATTTATTTTTTTTACATTTTTACTTTCTAAAACAAGCAAAACCGTTACTACGCCGATTTTCTCCTAGTTTTCTGCTCTTTCTGCGCAGACGCTACTCTCTCTTCTTGATTGCTTTCGTCACATTCCGCATCCCATCTCTTCATCAAGAAACTGGCATAAAAACTGCCGCCTTTTAATGAAACGCACGAGTTAATTAATCTCTCTCATTGAATCTCTTCTTTTTTTTTGTGTGTGTGGTGTTTCTTGGCGAATGCAGATTGGTGCGTGTGCAGGTCGGATCAGCCACAGGCGGCGCTGCAGAAGACCATCGACTACGCGTGCGGCGCGGGCGCGGACTGCAACTCCATCCACGAGCAGGGGCAGTGCTTCAACCCCAACACCGTGGTGGCGCACTGCTCCTGGGCCGCCAACAGCTACTTCCAGAGGAACAGGGCCATGGGCGCCACCTGCGACTTCACCGGCACCGCCACCCTCACCACCAGCGACCCAAGTAAAAAATGATTCACCACCCAAGTCACTTCAATTCTTGTTTTTTTTTTTTCACGAATGCGCAAAAGGATTGCACGTCAATATATTACTTCCTCCGTTTCACAATATAAGTCATTCTATTATTTCCCATATTCATATTGATGTTAATGAATCTAGATAGATATATATGTCTAGATTCATTAGCATCAATATGAATATGGAAAATGCTAGAATGACTTACATTGTGAAACAGAGGGAGTAGTAGTCACTTCAATTCCTTCCCAGCATTTCTGTCCACTGTCTACTGCTTGATTAAATTTGCGCTCGCGTTTCGGGTTCAAGAACGCGTTTGAGTACTGGCTGTCATAATGTCATTGAGCGCTTGCAAGTTTTTGCGGCAAGTGTTTCTGCCTTGCACGATTAGAAATGTTTGGATGGTGATGAGTGGGAGTGGTGACTAGCAATGTGAAGGACGAGCTGTACAGATGATGGAATTAAGATTTGTCGTGCGTTGGGGCAATGCAAGCATGGCGTAATGGGACGTGCTTTAATTCAACCGTAAAGTATGTTGAAGTTTTTTTTAGCTTGTTTGCTTGTGTCACCTTATCTCAATTATAAGGTCTCTCAGTCTGATATGTTGGCTAGCATTTGAGCTTGTGGTCAGTTAGGACAAACGAAAAGGAAAAGGAGATGTCGGTGACATCTTTTTGATAGCTGGCATGGAAGTTCATCTGAGTGTGGGATGATATCCATTCTATGTATTTTTGTTATTTTCTTCATTGGTTAGAGACATATCTATTCCTCACACAATCTCATATTATCTTTGGTTGCAGGTGTTTCTGGCTGCTCCTTCCCTGCTAGTGCAAGGTACATTATTAACTTCACTTTAACTGACTGAGTTTTATTAAGTATCACTAAGGATGATTGACGTTTCAAAGTGGTAACCACCAATGAAACTTTTGCATTGTGTTTGAGCAGAAGGTTCTTTTGAACACACTATCTGCCTCCATTATATAGTACATGTTCACTCTGAACTGCAATACTAAGACCTATGAACTGAATGTAGCCATCTGTTCAATGAACTGAATGTGTTACAACTTCCTTATCTCTTTTGTTTGCTTGTCAAAGTCGTATATGCTTTGTTATTGAAAAATACCAAAGAGTCAATAAGTAAGTATACATCACCATTAAGAACCAAGTCCATCTGTTATTTAAAGCTAGTCTTGTACCTCATCCTCAACTACTCATCCATACCAAAATGCACACCTATGCCTTTCCGGCCTGCATTTGTGATGTACACATGACTCCTGAATGATCTATAGTTGATGCAAGTATCATTGAAGGATTCCTATAGTATGGTGTGCCATATATCTGAAGGCAACTGAGATGCTTTGCAAGTTGAAACACGCAAGACTCTTCTGGATTTCGTTGATTGTAATATCCTAACAACATTTCCATACTCATGTGCAGTGGTGCTGGAACATCAACCACTCCGACCATGGGAGGCACAACTGGAACAATGACCCCAGGAACCTTCACACCTGGAACTGGTATGGGCACAACCACCGGCACCGGCATGGGAACAGGGACTACTACCGGCACCGGGCTGGGCGGGCTAGGGCCAACAGGCACAAGCAGCATGGACACCGCGGCAGCGGGATTGCACCTAAGAGCCGGGCTAGCCACCTTCTGCACCGTGCTCCTCTCGTTCGTTGCGATCGCATGAGGGTTGCACCCTTGAAGCAACACTCATTTTCGCTGATTGAAAGAACCCGATTTCGGTGGTTGCAGGAGCAATGTGATCTGTGAAAAGAAAAAAAAATGAACAGAAACCCTGATCCTTTCTGAAGATGTCATCCCATCCGAAAACCCACTATTGCCTGCCAATTCTTGTTTGGTGTCGATGGGTGTTTGTGTGGGGTGAGTTTCTGTACTCCCTTTTCTTATGTCGTGTACTCTGTAATTTGGTAGTAGGATGTCTGTCTCTTTCATGCAAGGACTCCCACTATTTCTTTTTCTTTTTCCCATCTTTATTATCTTGTAAATCTAGGGAAAACCAGTAGGTAGGCTCAAGGTTGGTTGGAATGAGAAGGTTGTTGTTGGGACAATGCCATCTTAAGGCTGTTATCAACTTATCATCAAGTTGCTCATCCCTGAAGATGGTTGTGGCTCACATCCTTTTGCCCTTCAGTATCTCTGAAAACCGCAAAAAATGAGAGTGAAAATGTGAGAGGCAGAATTGAACATGTGGTACTAGTATAGTAGGAATAAGCCCCCTTTGATTCAAAGGAAATTCATAGGAATTCTAAAGGATTTTATTCCTATAGGAATTTTTTCTATATAGCCCTTTGAATCAAAGGAATGAATCCTATAGAATCATGTGAAATTCCTATGGAATGCCTAATGCCATGCAAGTTTTGTAGGAAATCTAGCATGAGGTTTTACCTCATGGAAACTTTCCTACGAGTCTTCATCTCTCCTTTAATTCCTGCGTTTTTCCTGCGGTCCAATCAAACGGCTATTCCTGTGTTTTGCAATACTCTCGTTTGCACTTGCATTTCTGCCAGAATTCTATATTTTTTCCTATTCCTCCGTTTTTCCATTCCTACGATTCGAAGGGGCCCTCAGATTGTGCAGATGTGGCTCCTGCAGAGTGACATTTTAGCCCTTTAGCTGTTAGGTAACGTGGCGCATCAGTGCTGCTACTCTGCATCGCTGAAACCGTCGTCCGTTTCTTGCGCCCATGTGGGGGTTCCATCGCGGCGTCGGGCGTCTTGTTGTTGCGTAGCGCATCGAGACAGATTCTCGGTTGATACTTGAAAAAAATATTGTGAAACATGCACCTGCAGCTCTCTGATGACCAATCAGTGTGTTGGTACGAAGCTAGTACAGGACACAGGCATGCATACAGCTAAGCTAAGCCAAGGCTGTGTTTAGTTCAGCGTAAAGTTTGGATTTTAATTAAAATTAGAGATGATGTGACTGAAAATTTATATATGTATGACAGGTTGATGTGATGGAAAAGCACTGAAGTTTGAATCCAAACTTTAAATCTAAACACAGCCCAAAGCCAAAGCTGCCAATGATGATGGAGCAAGAGCAAGAGCAAGTGAGGAACTTGATGAATGATGATGGTGTCACCACTGTCACTCACGCGGGCCTGGTGATCGGCGCAGGCAAGCCGAGTTTAATGGAGGCAGTAATGGCCGCGCAGAAGCAGGGTGGATGATGCAGGCAGGCGGCAGCGAGAGGGGTGGGGCTCGACTGGAATCATGGCTGTCTAGCGCGCGCGGCGCATCAGGCGAGAGGAATCAGGGGGGGTTCGGGGGGTGACACGGCCCAGTTAACCTTCGGGCCCACGTTGGACAGAACAGATTGGATGGAAAAAGTACACCGAAGGTCCCTCAACTTGTCATCGAGTTACAAAATCATCCTTCAACCGTAAAACCAGATATATGATATTATGAAAACCGTTCTTTTTGCCCAGCTCGCTACCTTACTCCGCTCGGCCTACCTCTCTTCGGTCCAGTCCACAAGTGGACCCGCAGGGCCCAGCTCGTATATCCAATTGCCATCTACATCCTTCGGAAGACAGCCCCTATGATACCGGAGCCGATCCTTCCATTAAATCCGGTCGAATCTTTCTCGATCTCCCAAAATTGGTTGAGAGCTTTTCATCCACCCGATCTCCTCTTTTTGTTTACCCGAAATCAGAAAGAATCCGCAAAACTCGGGACAAAAATGACTGGGCAAGCTCGCCAGTCGGTCATCATCGGGGTGAATTGAAAAGGAAAATCATGGGGAAAATGACGAGCGAGGAGTGGGAAATCATTTTTTCAATCAATTACTGGAGGAGGAAGATCGATGTGGTAGCGCCGCTAGGGTTTGGCTCGGGCAGCGGCTGGAACGGACAGACAAAAAAAAACCCAAAGACTCACCGAGTGCGCAACAAAAAGAAACCATCCATATGTGAAAAAAACTAATCGGAAAAACCGCGAAAATACTTTAACTCGGGCGAACGGTGCGGGGGGGGGGAGCCGGATCGGGCGCTCCCCCCGCTCGCCCCTCCCACCACGTGCGCACCTGTTGGGCCCACCTACTTCTCCCCCCCTTTTTCCACAAAAGATGTTTCACCTAGTGTACTTATAATGTTTCACTATTTATAGATCTAATGTTGCGGTGAATTAAAATATTCTTTTGTAACAAAAACCCACATATTTTGGAAGCTCTCTATTAAGAGAATTTGGTTTATTTTTTGTTTCACCTAGTGTACTCACAGTGTTTCACTATATATAGATCTAATGTTGCAGTGAACGAAACATTCCATTGCAACAAAAAACCCACATATTTTGGAAACCCCCTATTAAGGGAATTTGGTTTATTTTTTTGTTCCACCGAAAAATGTTTTACCTAATGTACTCACAATGTTTCACTATGTATAGATCTAATGTTGCAGTGAACTGAAACATTCTTTCGCTATTTGCTGAAACATTGTTTTTATATAAGGTGAAACAACACTCGATTTAAACGAGTGAAACATTTTCGATCTACTTAGTGAAACAATTCCGATATACCTGGTGGAATATCGTGCAATATTTAAAAATAATTCAATAATAAGATAATTTTTTCGTCGGAATATATCTATGTGTGGTCTTGTTTTGAAGATTTAATTACAATGAATTTAATGGTGTAATCGGATCATGATTTGGATAAATAATTTAGAAGAAAAATCAGTTTAAAGTAGTTTTGCACGTAAATCGGACGCTGACGTTAACGCCCGATTTTAACCTCCTCCCATCGGACGCCCGAGCGGGAGTCACATCCAAAAAACCGGCGACGATAAAAAAACGGATGGAACAAAAAAAATAAACCGGAAGCTTTATGTATTTCTTTTATTAGATATAGATTTAACAAACAACGTTGAAAAAATATTAAAAACAACTTCAAATTAAATTTAAAAATACAAAATTTTCTAACTAAGGCAATCAATGGGGCTCCTTGTGCCATGATCGAAGCTTAAGGGTACGAATAAAAACAAAACGAAGTCTGTATGTACACGTTGTAATTCTATTACCAATCTCTCTGTTCAGTGAGTTCACAATAAAAACGATTGCTTTGGGTGGCCTTCGGTTGTAACGAGCTGGGTTTTGGATTCTACAGTCAGGCGTGTCAATCCGTGTTCGGTTCTGCTACTTTTTGTTGTGCCATGCATGGTGGCCATGGACCAACATCGTGCACGTAGTGTCGAACGACGATGGATCTCGCTGCTTCGTCCGTGTGCGAATCGGACACATGCGACTGACGTACCAAGCCACGGTAAAAACATCTTCCCCATTTTTATAATAGTAGAGATAGAGATGTATAAAAAATATAATACTTATATGAACTTTTTATATATACACAAACATTATATGGGGAGTGGATTCTAATCCCTCGAGGAGATATCCCCTCGTATACCTTTTTCTTCTAAATTCGATGCAAATAGTTGTGAAAAATTCTGAAAAAAATTGACAATGTAGAGTATAATGGTACCTACTAGTCCACCAAAATTCATGTTCAAATTTGATCTACACATCGAGAAACAAAAAAGACAAATTTAGATATAAACAGTACGCTACTATTCATACGCTGAATTTGTCTTTTTTATATCTCAACGTGTGAGTTGAGTTTGGACTTAAGATTTTGTGGAGTTGTATATATGTGTTGTATGAATGTTGTCAAATTTTTCCAGAATTTTTCATAACCGTTTAGATGGTTTTTGAGCAAACGAGGGAACATCCCCTCGAGAGATTAGAATAGTTTCCCATTATATGTATATATACAAAGTCCATATACGTCTATATACAAAAACTATGCCGTTCCGTCCGCACTCTTCTCCGCACTTCCACGTGCGTGTTGTCCGGCCCTCTTCCGTCTTTCCCACGCGGCACGTGGCGCGTCACACGGTGGGCGCCACGCGCGCCTAGGTGCGGATTAGGGATTTCGCAAGGCAGTGCGTGCATGGCTGCATGCACTCTCTCTCTTAAAAAAACATAATCTCTAAGAACTTTTAAATGAAAGATATATTTTTTTTCTTTGTAAATAATATCTCTGTAGAATTGGTTGTTTCAATTGAACAGAATCCTCACTATCTAAACTAACAAAGCGGCAATTGCTTTGCATCAAACACGTGAATAAGTATCTAAATAAACACTGCACTGCTGACTACTATCCTCTTAATCTTCTATATTTAGTTGCTATCCTTTTGATCTTCTTTAGTTGCTGCCACTATCTTGCTCCTCTACATCATCTACCGGCTTCTCCAAATCAACGCCCCAAATCCGCACGACCACATTTCTCCTAGCTCCGGTTGGCGGAGTTGTCGGCACTAGCTCTCCTCCATCTCCATCTTCAGCCACCTCCGCTTCTGCCTCCACCGCGGCGATGGCCGCTGGAGCAGGAGCAGGTGTAGGTGTAGGCGGCGCGGCGAGTTGTCCGGGCGGTGCGAGGGAGAGGGTAAGATCAAGGTCCTTCCTGTAGTGCTTCCTCTTGTGGCCACCGAGCGCCACTCCTGTCGGGTACTCTTTGCCGCATACGTTGCACGGGTGCTTGCCCTTTGGCTTGCCGGCGCCGCCACTGCCGCTGGCGGTGGCCATCTTGTCCCTGTTGATGTGGCCAGCGACATGGCCACCTAGCCCCTGGTGCGACTCGTACTCCATGATGCAACCCTCGTACTTGCACTTGTACGGTCCACCTGATCGTGATGCTCCGCGTGTGGGTAGCCGAGCCTGGGGATGAACGGGCGCCGCCACCTGCGGCGGCAGCGACATCGGCTCCTTCTCGTTCTCGGCGTGATGGACCCTCATGTGCCCGTGCACCGCCTTCCTGCTGCCGAACTCCTTGTTGCACAAGTGGCACGGGAACGACGCCTCTCGTCGCGCCGCCACGGGGGCAGCGTCGTCGTCGCCGGCGCCGATCACGTCGCCGCCGTGGTCGCGGTCGCTGATCGTCCCCTCCGAACCGGAAGAGGTAGACGGCGTGGGCGGCGAAGGAAGCAGCGCGAGGATGTCGTCGAGGCGGCGGCGCCGCTTGCAGGCCGTCGCCGGCAGCACGCCCTCCTCGTCGTCATTGTCGTTGTCGCTGTCGCGGCGGGATTGGAACACATACCGGCAGCCGTCGTCGTCCTCGGTCGCAGAAGCCGAATTCATCTCGACCTCTTCCAGTGGATCGGCATGGCGGCTGCTGGACTTGCCCTCCATGATCGCTCCGATGCCCCTTGTTCTTGCTCCGATCGATCTATCTGATGGAGATCGGGCAGCACAAGCAAGTAGGGAGTAAGTAATCACTAGGGCTTAATTTGCTTGATCGATCGCTAAGCGAGATTTTTCCTAGGGTTTTGCTGCAGTGGAGAGAGAGAGAGAGAGACAGGGAGGAAGGAGGATTGTGTTGTGGGTGACGGCAGCACTGAAGATATCTAGTAGTAGACCGTGAAATACACAGGATTGAGTCGGTATGATGCGTGGGCGCTAAGTCGGGTGATCCACGTCACCGTTTCGCACCACAACACAGCAACGAAACGGAACTGCAGTAACAAGTAACAACCGAGATTTCGTACGGATATAGGAGTATATATCTTCTTTTGTTTCTAGAAACTTTTTTATAGGATATTTCTTACTCGTTTTTAGGAGAGAAATTAACTAGCATACGTATACGTACGTATACGGGCGCGTTCTCTGATCACGTCCATCGATCAATCTGCGCTTGCTTCAACATACATACAGGGAAGATCTTTATTTGGATTTCAGAACAAATTTTAATTTGGGCCTGATGAGGTTCAGTAATTATAATTAGTGGGAGGTGCTCCTTAACGTGATTTCTGGTGTGGATAAGAATACTGTTTCGACTGTTATTTACTTCTGTTTTGCTGTGGGATTTGACGATGGCCATTGACAATAACTTCCCAACTTGTTTGTGAATTCATATGCCAGCCTCACCACTCTCTTTGAGGCTCGTAGCTCTCGACGATGCTAAACGTTCAGGGAGGCACAGGCACCGTGGCTCGTCAGGAAACGATGGTTTTGGTTGGGGTCGTCGGAGAAGAAAACTCCGACCCCTACTGCTCCAAATTGCTGGGCCCTAGCCATTTTGCTTTTGGGCCTTCCGGCCCACTAGATTCGATGGCGGCCCACTCGATTCGACGGGCGACACTCTGTGGACTTCAGCAGATTCCCCTCACGATCTGATAAACCTGCATTGGGACTACCTATACATTTGTCGACAAATTTTTCCCCAAAAATTTGACAGATGTAATTATAGTACAATCGTAGTGTAATTACACTGTAACTTATATGTAATTACACTGTAACTTGCATGTAACTACAGTGTAACTTATATTTAAGTGTCACATAATTTTGAATCGTTAGATCTATTACACGATTTGTTTAAGTGAGGAAGAAAACAAATCATAGCACACACATATGTGAAAGAATTTGTTCCCACGACCTCCATTTTACCGAAATAACATGTTACGGAGAGATTTTTGAAAGTTACATACAAGTTACACTATAGTTACAGTGTAATTACATACAAGTTACAGTGTAATTACACTACAATTGTACTGTAATTACATCTGTCAAATTTTTGGGGAAAAATTTGTCGACAAATGTATAGCAAAATCGACCTGCATTTGCTCGCTAGATAGGCCCCGTTTGGCTGGGGCTGTGCCAAACGGTCTAGATTCACCAAATAATGGAGCGGAGCGGGGTGAATCGCTCCAACAAATTATACTACCGAGATGGAGCGGCAAAAACGTCGCTATAGTTTAGTTTATTGCTCAGTTAAAGACGGATAATTGAGCAGGAACGAATTTACCAACGGATAATTGAGCAGGAACGAATTTATCATTCATCAATCCGTTCTCACAGAATGTACGCACACGGTATACATGTACAGGTCAAGCGAAGCAAGGGATTTTGCTACACAACACATCACATCAGACTATCAGAGCTCTCCCAGCCTCTTGGCACAGTCCACGCTGCTGTCCAGCGTCTCCTCCACTCCATACCTGTACTTGAACCCTAAATCCACAAGCTTGTTGGTGTCAGCTTGCACTCTCACCCCCTCCCCAATGACCCTGCGAAAGACGAACACAAAACCAATCTCACAAATTCACAACACAAATCAGATCAAAGCCGGGTCAATGAAAGTTGATCTGATTTCAAAAAAAAAAAAAAAAAAGAATCTCACAAATTCAGTTACTACATACTGTATTCAACAACAACTAACTAATCAAGATAAATACGTAATGAATACTACCTCATATATACATTAAAGGAAGGAGGTAGCATATCAAGAGTTGGATTGGTGACACATACTCTTTGAGCCTGATCTCGATGTCGGGGAACTTGGCGGCGAAGTGGTCGACGCAGTCCTTCATATTGGGGTACCCGGCGGCGCAGAGGAATCGTCCGGCGATGGACGGCTGATCCATACAGAAGACGTGCGCGTCGCAGGCGTCCTCGACGTGCACCAGCGGCACGGACCCCAGCAGCGCCTGCAGGAACTTGAGGGAGTTGTGGGAGGGCTCGTCGCCGGTGAGCGGCGCCAGGATCACCGGGATGCTGCTGCTCCACGGGCATGGCTGGAGCGTGTCGCCGCCGACGACCGCGCACGTCAGGGTGACCACCTCGAACGCCGGCGACGGCGAGGAGCCGTTGTAGCTCAGGAGCTCCTTCTCGGAGAGCGTCTTGGATGACACATAGCCCTGCATTATGCAAAATCCATCAGAAAATTAGTGTCACCGTGAGAGTGATCGAGTTGGTTAATTATGTTGATCGATCGATTACGGACGTTCAGGTAATCGTTGGTGAAGTCGCAGGTGAGGTTGGGAGGAGACCAGCAGGACTCGTTGATGAAGTCCTTGTAGCCGCCGCCGCTGCCGTCCTCCCGGAGCGGCGAGGCGGCGGTGACGGAGCCCGTGTGGATGACGCGACGCACCGTCCTCGATCGCTCGCACTGGTCCAGGATGATGCGCATCGCGTCCGTGGTCGCTTCGGCGGTGTTCTTGTACTGCGAGAGATGGAATTAACAAATTAAGTTACTGATGATACATATGAAAATTAGCAACGACAAGTTATGGGTTAATTATATGGCCTTTTGGGTTCAATAGTATACTCCCTTTGTCCCTTGAAAAACCAACATAGGTTGTGTTCTTACCCCCAAGTTTTCCAACTCGTTTCCCTCGTTTTCTGCGCGCACGCTTTTCAAACTATTAAACGGTGTGATTTTTTAAAAAAGTTTCTATATAAAAGTTGCTTATAAAAATGATATTGGTCCATTTTTTTAAAAAATTAGCTAATGCTCCCTCCATCTACTTTTGATAGTCATATTTCCAAATCTGAAAATTTTATTTTTGATAGGCATATTTCAATCCAACAACCTATCATCTTAATGATTTTCTCGAATTTAATGCATGACTCTCCATTTTTCCACATATGATTGGCTACATGGGCTTTGAGAAATGTAAATATTAATGAATCGCTTGTTTACGATGAATGACTAGTAGCATGTTTAAATGGATGATAAGTAGAATTACTTATCCTTGGTCTGTGTGTTAAGATGAAATATGACTATCAAAAGTAGATGGAGGGAGTACTTAATTAGTCATGTGCTAATGGACTGTTCCGTTTTCCGTGCATACTGTTCCAGGTTGGAAACATGCTCCAGCGAACACAGCCATAGTGGTGCAACAAAGACATATATATATCTCTTTATAGATTCGTTATACTCACGTCGTTCAATACTAGATTCGTTTTTCCGAGGACGGATGCGAGCATACCTTGGTGCTGGTGGGGTCGTGCTGCATCGGGGTAGCGACGAGGAAGACGAACTCGCAGCCGGCGATGGCGGGCTCGAAGGTGTCGGCGTCGTACATGTCCGCCTCGAACAGCACCAGCCGCTCCGCCGCGCCGGGGAACTCTCTCAACGGCGCCGTCTTCTTCTCATCTCCTGTCAAGATATATTATCAGTTTTATCACCATCTCCATGAATTGGAAACACGAAGCAGAGAGAAAGAGAGGGAGAGACATTGGCAGAGTATTCGTTGTACTGCATACCAAGATTTCTCAAGGTTCCATGGACGACGCAGCCTCGTTCCAAGAGCTTCTTGACGAGGTAGGCCGCGATGTAGCCGCTGGCCCCGGTGACACACACCCTGCTCATCTCTCTCTCTCTCTCTCTCTCTCTCTCTTCTGAAACCGATCGATTCAGTGAGTGGGACGAATTGTGAATTTGTGATCTCAGCAGTAGTTGTCATCGCACTGTTCATATCCATCCATTCCTGCCCTGCTGACCTGTGTGGCTAACTGAGTGCACCCAAGACTTTCGTTGTTTGATTTCCTTTCCTGCACGCAAGTGGGTGTCATATGTGGCTCTGAACGAAACGAGTTTCAGGTCCATATCTCGCAGGACTGACCGGCTTGAGCTGAAAAATATATAGCTCCCACGAGATATATGCATTAAAGATCACTACAATAAAATCCTTTATTCGTGATGGATGATAACCTACATAATGTATGCCTCGTCGGTGATCACTAGTAATAAGAAAAATATCAACTGTTACAAGTGCGGACCTGTCAGAGATGACTATATCTCAAAACAGTCCAAAAGTTGTGATCCGTTGATGATGACTATAACCCAACATTTCCTCACATCTCGGATCGATCTGCGTTTACGAATATTCGAGCAAGAACGAATTTGTCGTTCATTCGTTTCTTACCGAACACACACACGGTATACCCATGTGTATAAGGTCAAGCAATTCACGAATTTTTGCTACACATCATCACATCAGAGTTCTCCCAACCTCTTCGCGCATTCCACACTGCAATCCAGCGTCTCCTCCACCCCATACTTATACTTGAACCCTAAATCTACAAGCTTCTTGGTGTCAGCTTGCACCCTCACCCCCTCCCCAATGACCCTGAGAGAGACGAACATGAAAGCAACCACACACAATTTAGTCATGATTCATCAATTAATCAAGATGAATTAATATGTAATAATCAAGATTTTTTTTGGTCACACGTACTCTTTGAGCTTGATCTCGATCTCTGGGTACTTAGCGGCGAAGCGGTCGATGTAGTCCTTCATGTTGGGGTACCCGGCGGCGCAGAGGAAGCGGCCGGCGATGGACGGCTGATCCATGCAGAAGACGTGCGCGTCGCAGACGTCGTCGATGTGCACCAGCGGCACGGAGCCCAGCAGCGCCTGCAGAAACTTGAGGACGTTGTGGCAGAGCTCGTCGCCGGTGAGCGGCGACATGATCACCGGGATGGTGCTCCACAGGTACGGCTGGAGCGTGTCGCCGCCGACGACCGCGCACGCCAAGGTGACCACCTCGAACGCCGGCGATGGAGAGGAGTTGTAGCTCAGGAGCTCCTTCTCGGAGAGCGACTTGGATGACACATAACCCTGTACAAAATCCATCAGAGAAAATGTCAAGCTCTAGTACCAGTTGATGCGGAGACTGAAATAGGGATTGGGATCCTCTAACGTGAAGTCAGAGGAACGTGGTGACTGAGATATGGACCCCGCCGCTCACGGGCCCACCAGTCAGTGATCACGTAAGAGGGTAGTTCACGTCGGAGGATCCTCTTCCCTGAAATAGTTTGTTAATTAGTTGGTGATTAATTTAACATTACGTCCAGATGAGCATTGGTGAAGTCGTAGGTGAGGTTGAGTGGAGACCAGAAGGACTCGTTGATGAAGTCCTTGTAGCCGCCGCTGCCGTCCTCCCGGAGCGGCGAGGCGGCGGTGACGGAGGCCGTGTGGATGACACGGCGCACTGTCCTGGATCGCTCGCACTGCTGCAGGATGACGCGCATCGCGTCCACGGCCGCTTCCGTGTTGTTCTTGTACTGCATGCAAAAGGCGACACCTATTATTATCTACGTCTTTTATATATAACGTCGTTGTTTTCTTTTAAAACGTTTGATCTTTCGTCCTATTTAAAATTTTTATAAATATAAAGAAAATTTAAATCACGTGTAAAGATAAATTTAAGTTATATTTAAAAAGTTAACGATACCCTGTATTAAAAGATGGATTGAGTATGTTTTGATGCTATGATCCGGCCGGAGCATGTGCACAAACTTCGGAATTGTTTATGCAAGTATTTCACTTCGGGACTAGTACAAGGTCATGAATTATGCAAGTATTTCACAGGCATAATAAGATGATGTATGCTGAGTTTATTAGTCTAAGACGGTCTAGCGGGGAGGAGAAGGCCCTGTTGACAGCCTGGACTAGATCCTGTTGAATGATTTCCCAACATTTTTTGAAGAAACCACCTGTGAAACCATATGGGCCCGGGGCACTAGATGATGGTCTAGTGCAAGGTCGTGAAGACAAAGAAAGCGAGCTGCTGTCCTTCTTCCATCAACACCTAGGGGTTGCCCGAGAACGCTCGTCGGCAATCAATTTCAGCTACTTACATGAACAGGCACATGATCTGGCGGATTTAGAAGTTCCTTTCACAGAGGAAGAGATAAAGAGAGCGGTTTTCCAGTCAAGATCAGATAGTGCCCCGGGCCCAGATGGTTTCACAGGTGGTTTCTTCAAAAAATGTTGGGAAATCATTCAACAGGATCTAGTCCAGGCTGTCAACAGGGCCTTCTCCTCCCCGCCAGACCGTCTTAGACTAATAAACTCAGCATACATCATCTTATTACCCAAAAAAGAGAATGCCTTCCGTGTAGGTGATTTCAGACCGATAAGCCTAATTCATTTCTTCGGGAAACTGCTCTCCAAACTACTAGCTAACAGATTGGCCCCGAGACTACAACAGATGGTATCAGCAAACCAAAGTGCGTTCATAAAAGGCAAGAACATTCAAGACAACTTCCTCTTTGTCAACAACATGGTAAAAGAGCTTCACTCCTCGAAAACGCCGGCGATTTTGCTCAAACTAGATATAGCCAAGGCCTTCGACTCGGTCAGTTGGGCCTACCTCGTAGATCGACTAAAAGCGCTAGGCTTTGGTCATAGATGGATTGACTGGATCATTTCTATCCTGGCGAGCTCTTCCTCCAAGGTGATTTTAAATGGCAGGGCAGGACTCAGCTTCATGCATGGTAGGGGCCTTCGACAAGGCGACCCCCTATCTCCGATGCTTTTCATTCTGGCAATTGACCCCCTACAAAAACTCCTCGCCGCGGCACAGGAAGAAGACCTCCTTCAACCTCTACACCGACGAATAGCAAGGTTTAATGTCGCCTTGTATGCTGACGATGCAGTGGTCTTCACACGGCCAGACAAACAGGAACTTCACACGGTGCACAGCATTCTACAACATTTCGGCCAAGCCACAGGGATGATCACAAATCTAACAAAAAGTGAAGTCTACTCCATTAGATGTGAGAACCTTGATCTACAGGACATCCTAGCCCCTTTCCCAGCACAACAAAAGACCTTCCCCTGCACTTACCTTGGGCTTCCTCTGCACATCAGAAAACTCCGGAAAATGGATGTACAACCCTTAATAGACAGGTTCTCAGCGCGACTACCAAAATGGAAAGGAAAATTGCTAAATAAGACAGGTCGCTCAGTCCTCATCAAATCCACTCTGTCGGCTCTACCAACCTATCATCTCACGGTTTTCCCTCTTAAGAAGTGGGCAGCGAAGAAAATGGACAAGATCCGCAGAGGATTTCTTTGGACAGGCGCCGATCAGGCTAATGGTGGGCACTGCCTAGTGAACTGGAAAAAGGTATGCAAACCAAAAAATTTGGGCGGACTAGGTATAACTAACTTGGAGTTTTTTAGCCGATCCTTGCGTCTTAGGTGGCTCTGGTATGACTGGAAAGCAGATGGGAAACTGAAAGTTCAAGTGCCATTGATTTGGTTTTGATGATTAATAACAAATCCAATTATGTGAGACTAATATTTTTATAAGCATTTTTTTGCCTAGTCTCATGTGGATATGAAAGTGGAGTGTTGGTGGACCTAAATCACAAGGATGAAATGCATGGAGATCAAGCTATATGTATCACTCTTTCTCTTCATATACATATTGATATGTTTGTATATAATATTTCCACGTGATTGGCATATGCATGTGAGACTAATGTTTTGTTTGAGTATTATCTCTTATTTAGTCTATTTACATTGAGAACGTGGAGATGATGAAGGTATGTTTTTATTTTAATATCTATATTTGAGAAATGTCTTCTATTCTTGTATAGGATAAGCTCTCAATGTTTAATATTTTGTTATGCATACTCTTGCTTCACACAAATATTTTGTATGCATACATTTAGGGGGAGCAAATCCTATACTTTAGTTATGCATGTAATTGATTAAAGTTATTCACCTTCATTTAATTGGGATCTTTACATTTGAACATATATTTGAGTATATGACACTTGTGGTGTTGATTAATACTCATCATTTATTCATATCCTTTTATACATGCGATCGGTTGGTCAACATAAGGAGGTTGACAACCGGATCATTGGGACTAATAAGTTTATTGAGTTGAATGAAAGAAATAGGTCCCAAGGATTACAAAAGTGTTGATGCTTAAGTGATATCATTACACCTAACAATACCAAGAATGACAAAGTGAGGATATTGAAGATGTGTGATACGAAGTGGCTATTATGGCAAGACGGTGAAGGGCAAGCGATGCTCGGTCGCGATGGACCATGCGGCGGTGAAGGGCAAGCAAGGGGCTTGGCGCCGAAGAACCAAATCCGGTGGTGAAGGGCGAGTGACGGCTTTGTCATGATGGACCATGAGGGACTATTTGAAGCTACAAGTAACCGCATCAATCATTTGAAGAATATATGGTGAAACGGTATCGGCATTGGTCTCCCTCAAGACAATGAAAGAAAGATAAAAAAAAAGGCATTCCTAATAGTATAATTATCTTCTTATGTACATTTGAGTTTAGGAATGCCGTACTATTAAGAGGGATGCAACGTCGAGGTGTTTGTGTATGTCTCGGTGCTCAAAGTGACCTATCATAGTGCTACCTTGAGAGAAACCCAAGCTTTAACCTATCCTTTGAGTGGTTTTAGACCTTGTTTTTCGTTGACTTGGGTAGTCCTCTGAGTGAGCTTTCCATAGAGTCTAAGTTCATAAAAAAACGGACTCCCGAGCGAAAAGTTATAGTCGTTTTACTCTGTGCTTTTCGGAAAGTCCGAAAAATTACCGGAAACTCCGATAATTTTTCGGACAACTTCGAAAATTTCCGGACATTCCGAAAATGGCTGCGAATCTGAGATTTGCTTCTGTAAGTTTTCGAACTTGTCCGAAAATGCTTTTCGGAAACTCCGAAAATTACAGTCTTGGCCTCCAACGGCTAGTTTTTGAGGGGCTCGGGTATATAAACTCCTCCACCCCTCCTTTGAGTTGCTGCTGCTCTTGGGGAGTATTAGACACATCCAAAGCCAAATAGCATCCCCATTTCCCTACCTTTGTGGTGCCTCTTTGTGAGGGGGATTTGAGAAGGGGAGAGAGTTGGATTGAGAGAGTGAGGAGTTGAGAGCTAGTGAGCTTCACTCCATCCTTTGTGGTGCCTCTTTGTGAGAAGGATTTGAGAAGGGAAAAGAGTTGGATTGAGTGATTGAGAAGTTGAGAGCTAGTGAGCTTCACTCCATACTTTAAGCACTCGAGTTCATAGCAAGCAAATCTTCGATTGTGTTTGTTACTCTTGGGGACTAAGGTCTCCTAGACGGCTAGGCGTTGCCGGTGAGCACCCAAGGTTGTGGTGTGCCACGGAAAGTTTGTGAAGGCTTCGATTTCGCCTCCGCAAGGGAAGAAATCAAGAGTGAAACCGAGGAGTGCATTTGTGCAACCTCGTGAGAAAAGGGTTGAAATAGGCCCGGCCCTTGTGGCTCCTCAACGGAGACGTAGGATCCGTGGATTCGAACTTCGGGAAACAAATCGCGCGTCTCCCCTCTTGGTTTGCCCGTTCTTGCATTCTCTCATATTGTGCTTGAGCTTGTTTTTACCCGATCTACTTGCATGCTTATTTGATTTAGTTGGTGACCTTATATCTTGCTTAGATACCTTATTTGTCACCTTTTGATTCATATACATTTTGTTTGTTTGAGCTACAAGTTCATAGCTAGTGTTTATTCCGTTATCCGCCGAACTTTTCGATTGAGACCGGAACTTCCAATCCCATACCGGAAGTTTCGATTTGAATCAAAAGTTATCATCACTCTAATGTGCTATGAAGTTGTGATAATTTTTAGGAACACCTATTCACCCCCCCTCTAGGCGACATTAAGGTCCTTTCAGAAACCATGGCAAGGCTCCACCCTACCATGCGATGAAACGGACAAGCAACTCTTCAGGGCCTCTACAATCATCACACTAGGCAATGGGGGCAAGACAAAGTTCTGGCACGACAGATGGCTTGATGGCCAATCCCCCAAAGATCTATCTCCTTCCCTATACAAGCTTGCTATGTGGAAAAACAAAACAGTGGCCCAAGAACTAGAAAACCACAAGTGGTTACGGCCACTCCGAAGGATGAACTCGACGACCGAGGTTCGAGAATTTATCCTGCTCTAGCACTTGATACAACAGGTACAACTGGATGAAGACAGGGAGGACGATCTAATGTGGAAATGGAATGCGAATGGAATCTACTCAGCCAACTCGGCCTACAAAATTCAATTCACTGGAAGCATTCAGGACAATCGTGCTAACTTCATTTGGTGAGCAAAAACAGAAAATAAATGCAAGTTCTTTGGATGGCTCATGGTCCAAAAGAAAATTCTGACGTCTGACAAACTCCAAATCCGAGGTTGGGACAACAGTCCAACTTGCTCCCTCTGTGGGACAGAACCAGAAACAGCGACACATCTCTTCATGGATTGCCCCTTCGCGAAACAGGTATAGACAAACATTTGGTTGAAACTAGGACTCAACATGCCTAGGTCTTCTTCCTTCAATGGAAACATGATGGATTGGTGGGAAGCTTGCCGGAGAGAAATGATCAAAGAGCAGAGAAGAAATTTTGATGGCCTCTTCATCTACACGACATGGGGGATTTGGCTACAAAGAAATGCTATAATTTTTAACAATGACTATGGTACAGTGTCACATGTGGTTGACTTCATCATCAACATGTGCAAAGCCTTCGATGAAGCGCAAATCGCTTAGATGATAAAACGCCGACTTTTGCTGTTAGTGGCTTTGCACTTTCTCAAAGTGCTGTAACCTCCTCCAGTGTAAAATCTGAAGACACCTCTTGGAGGTGTCCATGTACGTGAAACTATTTCTTTCTCCTCTAATGAATAGGTAGAGCTCCTGCCATTATCCCCTCAAAAAAAAAAAACTTCGGGACTAGTAGCTATATATTTGTGTCACATTTTCTTTGAAAAAGTCCAATAATTTTTTAGGAAAGGCAAGCGTTTTTACACTAATAAATTATACATAAATCAAGATAATTTTTAATACCTTACACTATAATTTTTCTATTAAGTAGAATTAGGATAAAAATCAATTTATTATCTACTTTGAAGAGAGAAGAGAAGATAGAACAGATAGAAACTCAAAAGGTAAGTAGTATACGGTAGCAAGCATATGTAAGTACTCCCTTCGTTTCAGGTATATAACATGTTTTGATTTTGGTCAAAGTTAAACTGGTTCAAGTTTAACTAAGTTTATAGACAAATATAGTAATATTTACATTATCAAATTAGTTTTATTAAATCAATAATTAAATAAATTTTTATAATAAATTTATCTTGAGTCGAAAATATTACTATTTATTTCTATAAACGTGGTTAAATTTGAATCAGTTTGACTTTGACCAAAGTCAGAACATCTTATAACCTGTAACGGAGGGAGTAGTGACTAAAAGAATATGACGTCATATTATTTTAGCAAAATTGTTTTTCTTCCCTTGAACCGCGTGACATGACGTTTTGAGCCCGTTTGGTAGAGCTTCAACTCTTAAATTTAACTCTAGGAGTTTGGTCTGAAGTAAAGTTGTGGAGCTGCACAAACCCAACTTCACATCTCTAGTTCATTTTGTGATAGAGCTCCACCCAACTCCACTCCTATTTTAGGTGGAGCTGAAACTGTTTGGCTGGGCTCTAGGAGAGGTGGAGCTGGAGTTGTGCCAAACAAACCATTTCTTTTCGTTTTAATTTGGTCCATTAATTTGACTTCCTTTTGACATATCGAAATCCCGATCGACCCATCCAAATTTGTGGGCTTAAAGAAAGCCTGCTTTGATGGAGTTCTTTTTTCCTATCGATAAGATTCAGATATATATGATCCGAGAAAAAAATAAAATAAAAAGATTGAGCTAGATACTTTCCACGCGAGGTAACAAAAGTCGATTAATCGGATGTCATCGACGGTGACATTTTAAAAGATGGACTTTTTATCCTAAAGTGAACATGTCCTGTATATCATTTGAAATAGTTTTGATTTTTTTTTTATAAAAATATAGTTTGATAAGATATATCAATAATCATCATATCCCTACACACACAAATTCATTATACCTCAACATGTTGCTTAAAAGAATAAATTATACTCTAACTACAATACGCACACCATTTCATGATCGTATTTTTTTTTCACCAAATTTAAACTTGTATGCCGTGAAGTAATAAATCGTATATTAATCTGCCTTGTCCTTGTCCATTTTGTTTAAAAAAATTCATAACTGTTTTCACTGACTTGCAAGAAATGAGAGATGGTATATATCCTTAAAGAGAGAGAAAAAAAATGCTTTCACTCTTTTTTCTTCAATTATAAAAGAAACTATTTTTTTCTTATTATTATATTGAAAGATACCACGTGCGCACACTAGCGCAACCGAAAATAGAATAGTCCCAATTAATTCCCAAATCACTAGTAGTGGAACCATTTTAATACTAATCCAGTACAAACAGACGAACCATTGGAAATATTTGGAAAATAATAAGATTTAAGTCAAAGACCAGTAACCCCTATCAGGACACGACACGCTAAAATGATCTGATCGAGGGCTTATTTTAAGCCAGATAGCGGTGGACGAGCCGACGAATCAGCTGACAAACACGTCCTATTCGAGCCCGATATCTCTTGATCGCTTTCCCTCTAGTTGCTGTCAGCCAAACTCAGACTCAACCAACTACTGCACTAGACAGTCAAATTTAATTTGAAATAATGCACAAACTTAGCAAGATTTAAGGAGAAATTTAACACAAACTCACGAAGGACAAAGTGGACGATATATATGATAATGGCAAGTGTGTACAGTACCTTAGAAGTGACGATTGACAACGCTGTATTTTTTTTGGACGGGAGAGTAAGCCCTGTTTATTTTCCAAACAAAATTTTTGACTCTATCCCATCAAATATTTAGACACATAAATAGAGTATTAAATGTAGAAAAAAAACCAATTACATAGTTCGCCAGAAAATTGCGAGACGAATCTTTTAACCATAATTGTGCAATGATTTGACAATATGGTGCTACAATAAATATTTGTTAATGATGGATTAATTAGGCTTAATAAATTCGTCTTGTAGTTTCCTGGCGGAATATGTAATTTGTTTTGTTATTAGACTACGTTTAATAATTCAAATGTGTGTCCGTATATCCGATGTGACATGTAGGGGTAAAATTTTTTGCCAACTAAACCAGCTGTTAGTACTACTCCCTCCGTCCCATAATAATATAGTGTATCACATCCATCTATCCAGATTCAATGTGTCACGTTCCTCTAAAATCTCTTACATTTTAGAGGGGGAGGGAGTGCTAGTTTGTTCTCATCGTATTCATGACTGTTCATGTAAGTACTTCATGCTAGTTACATGATTACTCGCATGAACAGTAACAAGTTGTCCTAGGAATCTAGGACGCATGCCGTCAGTTCCTGCATACTATGTATATACAACACAGTGTACTGACAAAGCAGTCACGAGGTTGCACGCCGTCGTGAGCTGTAAACTAATCTGCCGATCGACCAATCGACGACCAAACTAATTAACCAAGGGATCGATCGATCGATCGATTCGAGGCAGCAGCGCACATGTTGATTTATACGCACCTTGGTGCTGCTGGGGTCGTGCTGCAGCGGGGTGGCGATGAGGAAGACGAACTCGCAGCCGGCGATGGCGGGCTCGAAGGTGGCGGCGTCGTACATGTCCGCCTCGAACAGCACCAGCCGCTCCGCCGCGCCGGGCATCCTCCTCAGCAGCGCCGTCTTCTTCTCATCCCCTGTACGTACGATTTCTTCAGATCAGCAATTAATCCACAGATTCTGAATGATGGATTTGGCGATCTTAGCAGCTGAGATCGAGATCGAGGTCGATGGAATTAATCATGGAAAAGAGAGAGAGAGAGAGAGAGAGAGTTACCGAGATCTCGCAGGGTTGCATGGACGACGCAGCCTCTGCCGAGGAGCTTCTTGACGAGCCATGTCGCAATGTAGCCGGCGGCTCCGGTGACGCACACCCGGCTCATCTCTCTCTTTCTGAAATCTGAGGCTCTTGCTGGATCTCCAGTAGTCAAGCTAGTGAGAAGTCAAAGCTTGGAATGGGGGTCTTCACTATGGCTCTCTCTCTCTCCTCTATCTCTTCCCGGCCAATTTAAATAGTGGCGCACCTATTGACTTAGGCTGTGTTTAGATCCAAAATTTAGATCCAAATTTCAGTCATTTTCTATCACATCAACATGTCATACACACACAACTTTTCAGTCACATCATCTCTAATTTTAACCAAAATCCAAACTTTGCGCAGAACTAAACACAGCCTTACAGCAACACATGCATGCACGTTGCAATCTCCTAGCCGCCGCACACGCCATTCGATTTCTCTTTTGCAATTTTTATAAGACAAATCACATGCTCACGCAGCCTATCTACACCCTCCGTTCCAAAATATAGCTACATGTATGTTTATGCCATAAATCTAGATACGATATCTTGGGACGGAGAGAGTATTCATTAGAATTAAATAGGCTAGGTCCAATTTAATTCTAGTAAATTTCATTGGCACACAATTAATATTAGAATTAATAAGATATGGATTTTCATCCCTTAAGGGGATATCCACTCATTGTTTGCATGTCATCTAAAAAAAGTTATGAAAAAATTGAAAAAAAATTAACAACATAGATTAATATGAAATATATCACCCATAAACATGCAAGACCAAATTCAACTTCTACAAGTTGTAACAAAAAGAACAAATTAAACTAAAAATAGTTATCGTACATTCCCATCTATATTTGTTATTTTTGTTACAACTTATATAAGTTGAATTTTAACTATCATGTTTATGGAGTGATATATTTCATATTAATCTATCTTGCCAATTTTTTTGATGACTATTTAGATAACATGCACGAAACAAGGGGATATCCTCTTGAGGGATGAAATCACTTTCCCGGATTAATACCGTCTTGGAAACCAGTATGGAGGGAACTCGACTTATATATAATGCTAATTGAGAGCACTTATTGAGCGGTTGATGAGGTGGTGGTGGGACTGCCACACGCCCTCGCCGAGCCGAGCCCATGGGCGTGAGTGTGGCATTTTTTCTATTCATCTCCCTGGTTCTTCCTCTGGAACACACCACCCTTCTGATCCTCTGTTCCTGAGCAGCTTACGCAATCTCCGGTTCTGAGCACATGCGGGCATAAGTGTTCGGGACGCAGGCCTCCGGAACTCCGTTCACATGAGTACCTGCACGGGTAAGCGGACGATTAAGTTTGTAGTGAGCATGAAGAACGCGTGATTGCTCTTGGCACTTCTTCCTCTATATCATGTTCTTCTTCCTCTATATCAATAATCGGGATCGTGTCTACCACCAATGGAGGAGGAGACGGTAACGGTGATGACAACACCATCACGTCCCCCAATGCCTCTAGATCTGAAGCGTTCTCTGGGTACGTCACTTTATTCACTTTAGTGTTGAACATGTTACTAGATGATGCTATTTATGATATTAACATGTTCATGGTTAGCAATATAACTTGATGACACTCTTTTTCGTATGCCATGTTTGTTATGTTATATTTTTGGATTAAAATATGCTAAATTATGACTAGATTTTTCTAACAGTATCTTCTATGTATCATCATCTGTATATTTGTCATGTCTGTATATATACATGGATTCATATTTAGATATAGATACAGATATGGAGATATCTAAATCTAAATCTCTATCTATGTCTACGTCTACTTCCTGATGGTATCCTTTGAAGAAGAGTGGCATGCCTCATATAGCCAGTTAATTATAGGAAGAATCTATAAAATATTCGTAAGTTTCTTTATGAAAAACTTTTAAATATAATTATAATATAATTACGATGTAATTACATTATAACTAGCATGTAACTGGATGTATAACTACATTGTAAGTAGCATAACATAATCAAGTTATCGTTACAATTATTAGACGAATTAAACTAAGACAGCATATAGTTAATTTTGTAAGAACCGTGATTATATAAAGAAGAAACTGCTCTAGCAATAGAGAATATCGACCGCCGTGTTCTTAATAAAATAACTGCGGGAGGTCTAGAATATTGTAAAAATCAGAACAAGACATATGTTCTATTAAAAAATATCAGAAGAAGTAAAGACTATAGTTTAATCTATAATTTATAGGTAAAAATTGCTGTTGGACATTCAAACTTTATGGGTTTAGGTACAGGTATAGGACATTGTAGAAAAAGATCTCTAGAATATGACAACCTTAAAACTCGAATGGGTTATGCCCATAATTATATTTTCTCATTGCCGGTCATCAACATAAGAGACTATAAGCCAACTATAAACTTATATGAAGAAGAGAGAAGTATAAAAATGAAGAGAGTTAGCTCTCACGTAAGAGTGAGCTATTCACACATTTCAAAATAAATGTATTTATAATACATAGGTGAGAGAAAGATATAGAAGAGAAAAAAAACTTAGACACAATCTTATAGTTTGTCTACCATACATATTAACTGTAATACTATAAGATATAAGGTTATAGTTAGCTTTACTATTTAACTTGCTCTGACTGAGAGTTTGGTTTTACCTGATCAACTGGTAAAGCGTTCAGTATTTTTGTATTGACTCCGTGACTCCATGCGGCAAGGTTGGTTTGGTCTAGTCTGGAGGCTGGAGCTGCCCGGTCTGGTATTGGTGGAGGCAGTTGGCTGCGGTCTGTGGCCAACGTTACGCTTCGATGGAGACACCGTCCACTACGTCCTGTCCACTGGCTAATGGCGCCTAGACAGGCAGTGCACAGGAAAGGGGAACGATGGTTTTGGACTTCTGGCTAGGGTCGGAGAAGAGGGCAAACTTTGCTACATGACACTCAAATTTTATGTAATTTGCTAGCAGACATCGTAAAAACGTATTACGGCTGAAAGACACTCGAAAAAACTGGTAATTTGCTGGAGAACACTCTCAGCTCATTTGGAGAGAGAAATTCTTCAAAAAGACAAGAGTACCCCTAGGGTCAAAATCTTTTTGCGCTGAGACTAGAACAAAGATGGAATATAATGTATGCTAGTGAAGTACTTGGGGAGATGACAAATTTAGATTTGCATAATTTCTAAATTTTTACTCTAACATCATGTTTGAAGAATGTGATCATAGGGGCATTCTCGTCTTTATTAAGAATTTATCAATTAAATTCAGCCGAAAGTGTCCTCCAGCAAATTACCAGCTTTTTAGAGTGTCTTTCAGCTAGAACACGTTTTTACGATGTCTACCAGCAAATTAAACAAAATTTGAGCGTCCTGTAGCAAATTTGCCAAGAAAACTCCGAGTCTCTAAGTTTTCATGGGCTTTTGTGGCCCACTCTATCCACGGGCCGACTTCTGGGCCGCGGAGTGTTCTTTATTGGTAGTAGTAGCTATTTATGGAATAAGTTCACTTGTGGTCCTTTAACTAGTCAACCAATCCGATTTTCGTCCTTCAACCAGAAAACCAGATATAACGGGTCTCTCAACTATCAAAACCGGTATAAACTAGGTCCCTGAACGGTTTCGATGGTGGTTTTGGCAGACGTGGCTGGTTTGACTTGGTCCTTGCCCTACGTGGCGGTGATGTGGCACTGGAAACAAAATTTAAAATTTAAAAAGAAATGTGGGGCCCACATGTCAGTCAGATAAAAAAAAGTGGGACCCACATGTCAGTGAGTCCAAATCCCCTCTCTATGCACGGACGACAACGCGTCAGCACCTCCTTCTCCTCTCTTCGTCTCGGCAATCCTTCCTTCTCGAGCTCAGCTCGCCGGCCGGCGAGGGGAGTGGAGAGGGAGAAGGGCGGCGGCCGGTGAGGGGTGCAGCCCGCCTCCTCCCTCTCCGCGCATCGCCTCCCTCTCCCCGCTCTCGCCGTCCTCCCTCTCCATGCGCGCTTGCCGGCTTCCCCCATATCCTCCCTCTCCGCTCCTCGCGCCTCCTCCACAAAGCAGCAGCCTCCTCCTCGCCAGTCGCCGACAGCCCACCGCCAAGTGCGGGCAAGAGAGAGGGAGTGGGCATCCGCCGCCGACCGCATCTAGCGCTGGGCTCGTCGTACTCCGGCGGGAGCGGCTCGGACGACGACGACAGTTGTAGGGATGACTCCAACGAATCTCCCGGCCTCCCTGGCCCCTCACCGGTAGCGGGGGCGGAGAAGGATGACGAGAGCATGAGAGGAGGGCGGCGACGACAGGGTCCTAGATCTGCGCAAGATCGGGACTGGACACTGCGGCATCGTTGTCGTCATCCTCAACTTCGGAAGGGGCACCGTGAGCTTCTCTTCGTTGTCCGCAATCCTTGCCAATCACCACCCTTTTCCTGTCTCCTTGCTGGCCGCCACCCACTGTGCATCTCTCCCTCCATCTGTTACCGTCAAGCCCCCACCCACGGCACTCGGCCATCGCCGACCTCCTTACGTCCTTCCTCCCCGACCGTCTCGTCGGTTGCCACACGCTGCTCCCTCATCTACCGTCGGGCGCCGCTGGTGCCTAGAGAGAGGAGAGGGTGAGAATGACATGTGGGGCCCATGTGGGATCCACCAATTTTTAATTAAATGTTTTTGTGTAACTGACATGTGGGCTCGGTGGTTTTTATTATTTTCCAAATTAAATTGCTTGGTAAGCTCCACGTCAATGCCACGTGAGATGAAGAACGAGTCAAATTAGCCACGTAGGCGCCACGTTAGCGAAAACCGCCATCCAAACCACCTTGGACTTGTTTTGCACCGGTATTGATAGTTAAGGGACATGTATCTTGTTTTGCGGTTGAAGGACGAAAATTGGATTCGTTGACAAGTTAAGGGACCTCAGATGAACTTGTTCCACTATTTATTGGTTTCACATTACTTACTACCTGATATGAAGATTAAAATATTACTCCCTCCATCTACTTTTGATAGGCATATTTCTAAATCTGAAAATTTTATTTTGGCAAAATTTGCTACAGGACACTCAAAAAATGTGTAACTGGCTGAGAGACACCGCAAAAACATGACACGGCTGATGGGCACTACAAAAATTATGTAATTAGCTATAGGACACCGGATACAATATTTTATAATTTATGGCTCAAATGAGGTGAGAAATTTTTCGAAATGGCGAAATTGC